AAAACCTCGTCATATTACTACAATTTATACTGGCCGTCCCTGTGTACAAGTTGAGTTAACATTACTGTATGACGCCTAAATTATATAGTTTCTAACATGACAGCCTGTAAAGTAAAGACCAGTTATCTCCCTTGTATTGCCCAGAAGAATCCCTCCAACTTGGGCGAATTCATACATTGTAGCAGAGACCATATCTGTGTTTTGCCTGGTAGTCGTCGGGGGCTGTGAAGAGTTGCATCCCTTTAGCTGTCACGGCTAAGAATCCCATTTCCATTTCTATTATTATCCTTGGCCTTGGAGCGCTAAATCCTTCTCATTAGTTGACTCTGACATTAAACTACCGTTCTATTTAAAAACGGAAATACTGTTCAAAACGACGAGACCCCACGTCACTCACTCGCTCACTCACTCACTCCGGTTCCTGTAGCAGCCGCCAACATGACCAGAAGCCTTCACCCTCTAAACGTCAACGTTGATATTGTCTATGCTTTCCCTAGCGTCATGACGACTGTCACTTTAACACCCGTTGACCCACTGACCATGACGCGCCAACCTAATACTGACACGCCCTATATAACAGAAATACAGTTCAATGCGGCGTTGAACACTTTTCACTCGGTCTACTCTGGCTTGCTGTCTGACCGACAATGTCTCTGGTTTTGGCTAGTTCCACTGCCCAGAGTTTAACAAACTTACACAGTGAGAAATAGCTAACATGTATATCTCAGACCCTTCTTCCCTTTGACACTTAATCTAGATGCCCATGGACAACAATATGTTTGTACTACGCCTACAGCAGTAACTACGTTTATGTAATTTCACTTTGCAACGATGATACATTGATAAACATTTATTTTGTGCACATTATTTTCAGGTACATAAAGCGACAGAAATGTACAGGGGTCGGTTATAACATTGCATGTAAGTAATGAAATTGCACAATGCTGACAAAGGTATGCATTACTACTGAATAATAAAACATATTTCCCCATTTGCAAATTAAAATGGCAGGTAAACTACATACAGAGTAATTACAATCTGGCAACAAGATCCATAAATGATCTTATCCCAGATAGTGTTGTCATATTGTTTTCAGATATTCACACCTCAGCTGGCCAAGTGTGCGTTATCTTGCACATAAGTGTTTCACCCAGGTAATGTGTATACATACATGTGGCTTTCTATCTCCCAATGAATAAAAGGATAAATATATACAAACATAAGATGTCATTACCTATCATTATCATTATTGATAACTTACTTGTAGCTTGCTTCTAGATATTTACCATGTTTTCAACTCGAGTGACAGAGTAATGTCATACTTTTCCTTGACAATTTCCGTGCATAAACTGTGACAAGTTATCATACCTCTACGTCAGAATGATGAGTTCTGATTGGTTCACGTGATCTTGATAAAATACTATGTATCCCACCTTGGAGGCAAATACATTTCTCAGCGGGAGAATATATCCCCTATACCCCGCCACGAACAAGACATGCTGCACGTGGATTTCTGAAAGGAAGAATAAATCCCTTAAGCCCCGCTTCGAAGCAAACAGCCGCTCGCTTTTTCCGATTCATTGAGAGTCAGGTGACATAGCACTAGTTAATCTTAGCTCAATCGAACAGCAGTTTTCTATCACTTTTGAATTTGTTGAATTCTTTTATGAAGTCATATTAAAACATGTCGGTGAGATAAATTCGTTGTAGCAGTATCACTCGGGGTACCTGTGGTTTTATGCCTCATTATAAAACCTAAGGAGGGACGCATAAAACCTCGTCATATTACTACAATTTATACTGGCCGTCCCTGTGTACAAGTTGAGTTAACATTACTGTATGACGCCTAAATTATATAGTTTCTAACATGACAGCCTGTAAAGTAAAGACCAGTTATCTCCCTTGTATTGCCCAGAAGAATCCCTCCAACTTGGGCGAATTCATACATTGTAGCAGAGACCATATCTGTGTTTTGCCTGGTAGTCGTCGGGGGCTGTGAAGAGTTGCATCCCTTTAGCTGTCACGGCTAAGAATCCCATTTCCATTTCTATTATTATCCTTGGCCTTGGAGCGCTAAATCCTTCTCATTAGTTGACTCTGACATTAAACTACCGTTCTATTTAAAAACGGAAATACTGTTCAAAACGACGAGACCCCACGTCACTCACTCGCTCACTCACTCACTCCGGTTCCTGTAGCAGCCGCCAACATGACCAGAAGCCTTCACCCTCTAAACGTCAACGTTGATATTGTCTATGCTTTCCCTAGCGTCATGACGACTGTCACTTTAACACCCGTTGACCCACTGACCATGACGCGCCAACCTAATACTGATACGCCCTATATAACAGAAATACAGTTCAATGCGGCGTTGAACACTTTTCACTCGGTCTACTCTGGCTTGCTGTCTGACCGACAATGTCTCTGGTTTTGGCTAGTTCCACTGCCCAGAGTTTAACAAACTTACACAGTGAGAAATAGCTAACATGTATATCTCAGACCCTTCTTCCCTTTGACACTTAATCTAGATGCCCATGGACAACAATATGTTTGTACTACGCCTACAGCAGTTACTACGTTTATGTAATTTCACTTTGCAACGATGATACATTGATAAACATTTATTTTGTGCACATTATTTTCAGGTACATAAAGCGACAGAAATGTACAGGGGTCGGTTATAACATTGCATGTAAGTAATGAAATTGCACAATGCTGACAAAGGTATGCATTACTACTGAATAATAAAACATATTTCCCCATTTGCAAATTAAAATGGCAGGTAAACTACATACAGAGTAATTACAATCTGGCAACAAGATCCATAAATGATCTTATCCCAGATAGTGTTGTCATATTGTTTTCAGATATTCACACCTCAGCTGGCCAAGTGTGCGTTATCTTGCACATAAGTGTTTCACCCAGGTAATGTGTATACATACATGTGGCTTTCTATCTCCCAATGAATAAAAGGATAAATATATACAAACATAAGATGTCATTACCTATCATTATCATTATTGATAACTTACTTGTAGCTTGCTTCTAGATATTTACCATGTTTTCAACTCGAGTGACAGAGTAATGTCATACTTTTCCTTGACAATTTCCGTGCATAAACTGTGACAAGTTATCATACCTCTACGTCAGAATGATGAGTTCTGATTGGTTCACGTGATCTTGATAAAATACTATGTATCCCACCTTGGAGGCAAATACATTTCTCAGCGGGAGAATATATGCCCTATACCCCGCCACGAACAAGACATGCTGCACGTGGATTTCTGAAAGGAAGAATAAATCCCTTAAGCCCCGCTTCGAAGCAAACAGCCGCTCGCTTTTTCCGATTCATTGAGAGTCAGGTGACATAGCACTAGTTAATCTTAGCTCAATCGAACAGCAGTTTTCTATCACTTTTGAATTTGTTGAATTCTTTTATGAAGTCATATTAAAACATGTCGGTGAGATAAATTCGTTGTAGCAGTATCACTCGGGGTACCTGTGGTTTTATGCCTCATTATAAAACCTAAGGAGGGACGCATAAAACCTCGTCATATTACTACAATTTATACTGGCCGTCCCTGTGTACAAGTTGAGTTAACATTACTGTATGACGCCTAAATTATATAGTTTCTAACATGACAGCCTGTAAAGTAAAGACCAGTTATCTCCCTTGTATTGCCCAGAAGAATCCCTCCAACTTGGGCGAATTCATACATTGTAGCAGAGACCATATCTGTGTTTTGCCTGGTAGTCGTCGGGGGCTGTGAAGAGTTGCATCCCTTTAGCTGTCACGGCTAAGAATCCCATTTCCATTTCTATTATTATCCTTGGCCTTGGAGCGCTAAATTCTTCTCATTAGTTGACTCTGACATTAAACTACCGTTCTATTTAAAAACGGAAATACTGTTCAAAACGACGAGACCCCACGTCACTCACTCGCTCACTCACTCACTCCGGTTCCTGTAGCAGCCGCCAACATGACCAGAAGCCTTCACCCTCTAAACGTCAACGTTGATATTGTCTATGCTTTCCCTAGCGTCATGACGACTGTCACTTTAACACCCGTTGACCCACTGACCATGACGCGCCAACCTAATACTGACACGCCCTATATAACAGAAATACAGTTCAATGCGGCGTTGAACACTTTTCACTCGGTCTACTCTGGCTTGCTGTCTGACCGACAATGTCTCTGGTTTTGGCTAGTTCCACTGCCCAGAGTTTAACAAACTTACACAGTGAGAAATAGCTAACATGTATATCTCAGACCCTTCTTCCCTTTGACACTTAATCTAGATGCCCATGGACAACAATATGTTTGTACTACGCCTACAGCAGTAACTACGTTTATGTAATTTCACTTTGCAACGATGATACATTGATAAACATTTATTTTGTGCACATTATTTTCAGGTACATAAAGCGACAGAAATGTACAGGGGTCGGTTATAACATTGCATGTAAGTAATGAAATTGCACAATGCTGACAAAGGTATGCATTACTACTGAATAATAAAACATATTTCCCCATTTGCAAATTAAAATGGCAGGTAAACTACATACAGAGTAATTACAATCTGGCAACAAGATCCATAAATGATCTTATCCCAGATAGTGTTGTCATATTGTTTTCAGATATTCACACCTCAGCTGGCCAAGTGTGCGTTATCTTGCACATAAGTGTTTCACCCAGGTAATGTGTATACATACATGTGGCTTTCTATCTCCCAATGAATAAAAGGATAAATATATACAAACATAAGATGTCATTACCTATCATTATCATTATTGATAACTTACTTGTAGCTTGCTTCTAGATATTTACCATGTTTTCAACTCGAGTGACAGAGTAATGTCATACTTTTCCTTGACAATTTCCGTGCATAAACTGTGACAAGTTATCATACCTCTACGTCAGAATGATGAGTTCTGATTGGTTCACGTGATCTTGATAAAATACTATGTATCCCACCTTGGAGGCAAATTCATTTCTCAGCGGGAGAATATATCCCCTATACCCCGCCACGAACAAGACATGCTGCACGTGGATTTCTGAAAGGAAGAATAAATCCCTTAAGCCCCGCTTCGAAGCAAACAGCCGCTCGCTTTTTCCGATTCATTGAGAGTCAGGTGACATAGCACTAGTTAATCTTAGCTCAATCGAACAGCAGTTTTCTATCACTTTTGAATTTGTTGAATTCTTTTATGAAGTCATATTAAAACATGTCGGTGAGATAAATTCGTTGTAGCAGTATCACTCGGGGTACCTGTGGTTTTATGCCTCATTATAAAACCTAAGGAGGGACGCATAAAACCTCGTCATATTACTACAATTTATACTGGCCGTCCCTGTGTACAAGTTGAGTTAACATTACTGTATGACGCCTAAATTATATAGTTTCTAACATGACAGCCTGTAAAGTAAAGACCAGTTATCTCCCTTGTATTGCCCAGAAGAATCCCTCCAACTTGGGCGAATTCATACATTGTAGCAGAGACCATATCTGTGTTTTGCCTGGTAGTCGTCGGGGGCTGTGAAGAGTTGCATCCCTTTAGCTGTCACGGCTAAGAATCCCATTTCCATTTCTATTATTATCCTTGGCCTTGGAGCGCTAAATCCTTCTCATTAGTTGACTCTGACATTAAACTACCGTTCTATTTAAAAACGGAAATACTGTTCAAAACGACGAGACCCCACGTCACTCACTCGCTCACTCACTCACTCCGGTTCCTGTAGCAGCCGCCAACATGACCAGAAGCCTTCACCCTCTAAACGTCAACGTTGATATTGTCTATGCTTTCCCTAGCGTCATGACGACTGTCACTTTAACACCCGTTGACCCACTGACCATGACGTCCTTCAGCCAATGTTCCCTGTTGGCTCTGTCCGCAATAGTGATCTCCCACGTGTAAGAAAGAATATTATGCTAATCTTCATAAGGGAGACGAGCAGCTTATTCCGGACAGATGCCCGTCTAGCCTGTCCAACTGTACGTATCTGGGTAGCATCTGTTTTGTCGTATCTGATTGTATGTATAAAATGTTTCTCTGTGCTTTGTTGTGCTCTTAACACCCTCATCCGTTAACCAAGTCTTCACCCTCACCCGCCACACCAGGTCCAACATGGTGATACACCCCAGTGCTAGCATTAGTCTGTCCCCGAGATCTTCCACGCGGGAGCACGCACATTGTACTGATCTTCACCTTCAAACGACCCACCAGGTCCAACATGGTGATACACCCCAGTGCTAGCATTAGTCTGCCCCAGAGATCTTCCACGCGGGAGCACATTGTACTGATCTTCACCTTCAAACGACCCACCAGGTCCAACATGGTGATACACCCCAGTGCTAGCATTAGTCTGCCGCAGAGATCTTCCACGCGGGAGCACATTGTACTGATCTTCACCCTCACCCGCCACACCAGGTCCAACATGGTGATACACCCCAGTGCTAGCATTAGTCTGCCCCAGAGATCTTCCACGCGGGAGCACATTGTACTGATCTTCACCTTCAAACGACCCACCAGGTCCAACATGGTGATACACCCCAGTGCTAGCATTAGTCTGCCCCAGAGATCTTCCACGCGGGAGCACATTGTACTGATCTTCACCTTCAAACGACCCACCAGGTCCAACATGGTGATACACCCCAGTGCTAGCATTAGTCTGTCCCGGAGATCTTCCACGCGGGAGCACATTGTACTGATCTTCACCTTCACCCGCCACACCAGGTCCAACATGGTGGTACATCCCAGTGCTAGCATTAGTCTGCCCCGGAGATCTTCCAAGCTTGAGCACATTGTACTGATCTTCACCCTCACCCGCCACACCAGGTCCAACATGGTGATACACCCCAGCGCTAGCATTAGTCTGCCCCGGAGATCTTCCAAGCTTGAGCACATTGTTCTGATCTTCTCCAGTGTCCGCAGCATGAAGATCATGTTCAGTATAGATATGATTATAGGTACTGTCATCTCGTCTTACACGTTGCACCTGTCGGGTCGTATCATACTCCCCGCCCTCCCCAGAAGCTCCTCTGATGTGATGGTACAGCCTTAAAGACTCGACGTCATCAATGATGCAGTAATTACCATCTGCAGGACCATGTATGCTGCTCGGAGAGACGTCATTACACGACATGGGGCCAGTATCAGAGTGAGTATGTCCCGTGGCTCTGTCACAACGTGCATTCATCTTGAAGCAGTACATCTTCTTCCTGTAATCAAAAAGACAAATATCGAGTTGATGACAACATTCAATTTTAGGGTCTGTTATATTTGTAGAGTTGATTATTCTTAACAATGATTGAGCTGATATCGATAACATTTGTATAAATGAAGCGTTAATAAAAGCTTCTAGATATAAACAAGATCTACTTTACGGTGACTGCTCCTACAAAACTACATTTGGTAATTCTGGGCAACTACCACAAAGTGAGTTGGTCTGGATTTAGGCGACTTGAAGCAATATGTCAGTGAAGTAACAACTGATGATGATTTTCACACATTAAACTCATATGGAGAATCAAACCCGCGCCTCGCCGCGACGAGTCCACAATTGTAACCATAGGGCTACCCAGTCTACCACGAATTATTATTATGTTGGCGCTTCATGGCTTGTTTTAAAACGAAATTAATTGAACAATTAGGATTTAATTTAACGTACCTTTTCAATGTTATAAACACAATTATAACAAACGCAGCCGACACAGCCACGACACTCACTGCCACGCCCACATCTGTGCATGGAACACAAAAAAAGAGATAATTATAGCATTATATAAAAACTAACACTTGGCGCTAACAATTCAGCAACAAAGGTGTTTGATCTATCGTTTGCTCAGAGTGATATGCTTTTAGGGTTCTTTTAACAAGACACAGTACTTGTAGGTAGGCAGACGCCGGGATATAACTGGAATACTGTTATAAGCGGCGTTAAACCCAACTCACTCACTCACTGTAGGTATGCTGAAATCTTTGTTTTACGTGAAGTAAGATATTTCGTACACTACAACCAAACCTAGATTTCAAGATATGTAACATATTTACTTAAAGGGATCGTATTTGTAGACGAGGTCATTAGTGGAGCATAGAAGATCATTACTCATTCTTCTGTGAGTAACATCCCAGATTGGCCCTGATTATGACCACGGGTTTATTGGCACCAAATACATGGGTTCACCAAAGTGTTGCACGTGAACGGTCTGCATCATTTCGAGCTTTCCTCCCAAAGCTGACACGAGTTGGCGATGCACATGTTTTGCAAATCCTTCAATCGACCGAAATCTGCATGAGAGTTTACGAACCGGATTTCGATTTCGTTGCGCGGTTTTGATTGGACTATGCATAGACTCGTTAGTACAGCCAAAATGTAACTCCATAATACCTGCCTAGTTCGGCAAGGGTGGAAGCTGGACTTTTATAGTCAGTTACCTCCCTTGCCTCGGGAAGATGAGACGATCTATGAGGATCGAACAACCCACTTCGTCACTGTATCAGTTGCGACCTGGCACTTTAAGCCTTGAACGTTTCATCATTAATAATCCCTGCTTGTGTAATGTGTTAGATTCATTTAGCCTAGGTTCATTAAACTCGGTATAATACAATAAATGCCCAAAGACAGTGTAATTATTAGATCCAGTACAAGATCGGCTAGTTACAGATAGAAGTCATGTGCATTAGTTCTTATATCACATGTCAGTCATCTGTGAAACATAACGTTCGATATTAACATGAGTATTAAGAAAACCCGTTATTACTAATAACATGGGTCCACAGACGCAGACTCGACTCAGACAAAGGAGGTCTTAATCCACAACTTAATCCACGTTCTACTGAATAATATCTATATTGTATGAATTGTTATCAAAACAGAGAAGAAGGGATTACAAAATATGTTTAGGGTCACTCGGTAATCTTGATCCGTTTCCCATTCGTAATTAAAAGTAAACAAACCCAGTTAAATATGCATCAAGACATTCGTGAATCTTCTGAAACTCCTATTGGTTGAGGAGGGTGATCACCACCAACATACGTAATATGTTACAGTATAATATTAAAGTTTTCATCATTCACCCGTCACATGTGTATCCGGTTGAAGATTGTCTGCCATCGGTGTCACAGAATCGGTGGCAGAGGTGGACACTGGAGTGGTCCCCGGAATGTTGGTGGTCATTGTTTTTGTTGTCATACGCTCTGGTAGCTTTGTAGATTCGGTAACTGTAGATGGAATAAGAGACTTCAATTTAAATATGTAACTATGGTCCATACACATATCTTCAGTAACCCCCTGGTGACTTGTGTTAGAGTATATTCTATTGCTGGTTGTAAGAGGCGACCAAATTGGATAGGATGGTCAGACTCGGCGAGGGACTTTACGCATGATATCGACCACTGGTTAGACTCGCTCAGATTCAGTTATTTACAGGATGCCGTGATAAAATGTGGATATTGATCACTGTGACGTGAAACAAACAACACAACTTACCACTCACTGAGACCTCGGCAAACGACACATTATATTATTACGAACATCACATCTATTCAGTGATACAGAAGTTCAGGTTAGGCTAACTCTAGAAATGGAAACCTGGCGTGTACCCCTCCCTGGTTTGCTTAATGCTTTAGATAGGTTTAGGTGGGTGACATGACCATGGTTACCTGACTGGCATACAGCTGGGTATCTTTCATAACAATTACGCCAGTCCAGGAATAATGTGACACCGTTCCGACGAGCCGCCAGACATTGTCTCGCAAAGTCCTCACCACTAAACTTCCGATCCACTGTAATTCCTATGAGAGGAAGAGATTGTATATATGTGATGACTTGTTCAGTACCATGAACACGGATGACTATATAATGATATACATACCGTCTGCGGTTTTTAAGAATAAAACATGACTAATTTGTTTACATTATAGACAAGGTCATTATTACTCACACGCTTCTACTCAACGATTATAATGTTGGCATTTTGTACTGATGACGTGTACAACCGCACTAACATGGTATGTATTTCATCATATCAAACTTGAAAACAGGTTGTAAATGTTCAACCAAAGACATGAATATGCCAATAGCGATACAATACCATTAATCCATCTCCATTCTGTAAAACGTCTCAACCCAATCCAGTAAGAAGAGTACTTCATCGCAGTTCGAAGATTTTTTGTATTAGAGTCTGTTACTTTAACCAGTCTGCAGTCACCACGTTCCTCTTGCCATGTCTTATTTACATTGTCAACACATACGTTTCCAGAACAGTCGGAAAGCCCAGCTGCATCTGAAATAACCAGAATATGTCAAAGGGTGAATCTTTGCACTTGGATTGATAGCGTTACTGATCATACTGGTCAAGACAAGACATTTATCCCCATCAACTGATTGGTCGAATACGATAACTTGAATTGATTTGTGTTAATGAACTACATGAAATGAACTGGTGCAAATCTGTAATACTATTTAATCACTTAGAAATGAATACTTGGCCAGTTTTAACAAAGCATGGTTCACCTGCCGTCTACATTTGGCCTAAATGTCGTTTGGGAATGTTTCGGACCTTTTCGGACAAAATTATGCCCAAATCGATCAGTATTACCTAAAAACCAATATGGTCGTATGTCATACATAATATTATATCATCTAACTTAAGCTTCAGGAGGAACACGTGTGGAGGATATTTCCAAATTTGACGCATCAGTGATAAAAATGATGTCCGATGCATTCCCTATTTTGACTTGTGCCATATGTTCCCGTGTTTTTTTCACGTGAACAACTGACTTACCCTCACATCTGTATATTACGGGTGCCACCGGTGGGGCAGGGTACTCTCAGCTTTTCGCAAATACCTGGTATCATTACTAATTGGTGGTGATTCATAAACATAGTCGGAATCGCACAATCGACTCTGCTTTATGCAGAAATGTCTATTGGATATGGAAAGGGTGAGGTGAGGTGAGATGTTGTAGCCTTGTGGTTAAAGAATTCTCTGGTCATACTCATGTTGAGGTGGGGTGAAATGGGGCTTAACGTCTCGTTCAAGATTGTTTGCATGTGTGTATGTTTGTGTGCGTGAGGGGGCGGGCGCGTGTTTGTACTATTCTGGGCTTATGCCTGTTTTATAGTCCTACCTAGCCGAATGTTATACCATGCTAAAGTATAACATGGATACCCCACTCCGTATACAGTATATTCAGAGCCGAACAGGGGCGGTAGCTTTGCCAAGTAGTTAAAGCCTTCTCTCGCCACGCCAAAGTTCCGGGTGGGATACAATGTGTGAAACCCAATTCGGTGTCCCACAACATGATATTGCTGGAATAATGCTAAAAGTGCTGTATTGCTAAAAGTGCTCACTCACTCACTCATTCTCACCGAGCCGATGAGTCGTTGTTTGATTCCAAAAGTGCCGCGCGCCAGCAGGGTAACATCAAGTGCCATCTTTTAACGTCGTTATGAAGCGGCCAGGGTTCGAACCACCAACCTTCCTCTCTCTGCCGGCGACACTCTACCCACTAGATCAGAGGGGCAGTCTCATACCGAAGGTAAGGGTTCGATTCCTTACAAGGCCACAATATGTCAAACCCCTTGGATAATGCCCCCATACCCACTCACTTACCGTGGGGTAGAGGTAGCGTGGGTGGATGGGGTGTGGGTGTGAATATAGGGGGGGCAGCGGTCTAAGTTCGCTGTCCAAAGTTAACTGTGCCAGGATCTGCTTATCGAATTGTACATGCCCCTCATTATCTCTGGGGCGGTCGGGTAGCCTAGTGGTTAAAGCGTTCGCTCGTCACGCCCAAGACCCGGGTTCGATTCCCGACATGGGTACAATGTGTGAAGCCCATTTCTGGTGTCCCCCGCCGTGATATTGCTGGAATAGTGCTAAAAGCGGCGTAAATCCATACTCACTCACTCACTTATTATAATTCTAGGCCCATACCATAAAGAATAAAGGTTTCACCACACTGATTTACCTATCTAAGGCCTGCATCACTTTGGTGTTTCCTCCGACATTAAGCTGACACGCTGTAACTGATAAAACTGAAATACTATTTGAAAGGCGTTTACCAAGCTCACCTACGCACTCATTCCTCAACGTTTGGTCATGAAGCTCCAAACAATGTAATATTGTTTAGGTCATAATCAATACCTGTTTACCTCAATAAACTAAACTTTCACCTGAGACAGAAAACAATGTTCATGTTATACAGAGCATAATACCTGTAGGTTTCTTGCATGCAGAGAATCGTTTGGTCTCACAGTTCCCATCGAGGTAGAATGATTGGTAGTCTCGTCTTTCACCCCTTCCTTTCTCTACGTAGCCACACCTTCCAGATAGTGAGACGGTTACGCTCGGCGTACCTACAATAGTATGTAAGAGAAGGACGAAGCATATACAGCCGCTATTAGCAAACCAAACCATTGTGAGCTGATCTTGCCTGGGAATTTATCGAAAAATATATTGTCCTCATTTATAGCTGTAGCTGAAAAAATAACAACTCTCGATACAAATCCAAGACCCCCCAGAATATGTCGGTCCCTTACGTCATATCCACTACACATGCACGGAAACTTATTTACTTGCAAAATGCAGCGTTGACGGATATATACATTCATATATTCTTATTTCAAATACATAAGTTTGTTTGAATTAACTCACTTTTAACTCACTGTTCATGCAATCCTTCTGCTTCTGCATGTATTCGTGCCAGGGAATCCCAAGGAAGTGTTCCGTCAGTGTTTCAAGAATAGTCTCGTGAAAAACGTATGAGCGTCAAAACGGGTCGTTCATACACCAATGAACCTCAGTTTCGCGGTCATGTGACCGACCTTTGGTCCAGTCGAAAAGCAGTATATCGTGTAAACCTCGCATTAATCATGCTTTTAAATGATGACCTCGGTCAAACGTTACGTTACCTCGTTTGTACACAGTTATCGTTGTGTCATCTCCACACAGCTCATTGTAATCCCCGGGACATCGGATCTCTGTCGCTCTCGTCTTTTTAACAATGTCCAAGCTGAGTTGCTTGCTCAGGGGACCGAGACAGTAGCAGGAATCGCCCTGGTATAAGATACAGACATTATATTAAACATAAAAGATGTTTTATCGCAGGACAGTCTCTTTTCGGTATTTTATGTTAATGTGAAGTTCGTGGGATTTCCGCTTTGTGAATTGCCAAGGCGATTTCATCCCATAACTAACTAAACTGACGACCAAAAGTAACTTTACCACAATTTTGTAAATCACTCCAGTTTAAAAAAAGATCGATGCATGAATTAAAATCTATTGAAAAGATAAAAAATCTCAGCGAAATCAACATTTAAAATGACAACCAGACAGCATCAGGATATTGGCATGACAGCTGCCCGAATTGAGGTGGGGTGGCAAAAACAAGCTTTCAGCGTAATAGACACATATCTAAAATCGCTCAAGTTCAAAGACACATTAATAACGTGTATGACCACTCCCTGCTACAAGTCACGCACAAACTCTAATAGTCTGATGACGTCACGTGTGACATTCTCCTTGCAGGGCCTGGATCAGTACTTGTCGGTCGGTTGGAGGATGTGGTCTCTGTCGAGCACGACATCCCAGAGACGTTATTTTGAGGGCATGTCTAGGGAGCATGCAGGCCACGGCAACACGTTGACGTTGTTGGCTGCAAGTAAATTCTGTATGATTCTGGCTGTATGGGTTGTGGCGTTGTCATGCTGATAAAGGACACCACGCGGCAGCTGTTGCAGAAATGGTAGGACATTCGGAGGAAGAATGTAACGCTGAGCTGTCAAATGTTCTATAACGATGACCAGTGGTGTGTTCTCGTGCCCACATACCATACATCCTCCCGATTCCATAACACCCCCTCCACCATACGGCACGATCTCCTAAACGCAACATGTGCCTCCGTTCGTTCTCCCCTTCGCCGGTAAACAAGCTGTCTTCCATCAGCTCTGAACAGACAGAACAGACTTTCATCAGTATAAACGACGCTCTGCCAGACACGTCGCTGCCAATGACGTAGAGTCAGGACCCATCTCAACCATGTTGTGTTGTCAATAACTGTCTTCTGTAAGGTCTGTAAGCCCTAGTTCCGTGAGTCCTGAGTCGCCTGGCCACCCTCTGGCGACTTACCATATGACCTAAGGCATTCGTCGCTGATAATGTCACTGTCAGGAATCGATTCCGGAGATGCAACGTACCGGTCTTCATTGAGCGTAGTTACCCTGGGCCTGCCTGCTCTTGGCCTGTATGATGTCTGGCCCGTCTGTCTGTAACGTTACATCAGGGGCAACCAAAATTTCTAGCAAAGTTGGGATGGGTGGCTCCCATCTGCATCATACCCAGGGTCCGCTGGCGTTGTTAGGGTGTCAGGGTACATTTCTGTGGTGTGTTTTTTTTATCGTGTTAGTTTCTGACATGACGTCCGTATAATTTATTTACCCTTATTGCACGTATTGTTTTGGCTGCCCAAGCGGCTCGTGTTTTTCACTTTTCGCATTTTCGAAAACGTGCTGTGGACGTGTATCACTTTCTGCATAAAGCATTGGTGTGTTTGGGCGATGTGCTTTGCATTGATTAAGTTTGAACTTGTGTTTTTAATTTTTTGCAGTTTTCATCTTTAAAGTGGTAAAGCTTCCTTTGGCCGTGTGTTTAATAATGAAATCGCTAACGAACTACACGTTAATCCACAAAGCTCGATATCCTGGGAATATGTACCAATCTATCCCAGGTCTTCTGCGATATAATTGATCAATTTTTTCTTGTGGGTATTTTGACGTGAAATTGGTTTGTTATGTACAGACAACTGATCAGTCTCCAAGGTCATATTGTACTACAGTATGTTGATGAGATGTTTCCGGTTTATGAATTGTCCAAGGAGATCTTATTCCCATAAATAACTAATAACGAAATCACCAACGAACTGCGTGTTAATGCACACAGCTCGATACACTGGGAATATGTGCAAATGTTGGGAATCGAAACCGAGTCAATGGCGAGATAACTTAACAATGTTTGCACTAGGCTTCTCAAGCAACATCATACTTCTTGATAACATTCTTCAAAATGTTTGGTTATTTCCATTCCTCATAAGATAAGATACAACACTTATAAAGTGGAGGAAAGGTTAGGGCGTTACGTTCCATTTCACCCAAATACATGAAAAGCTTGCCTGAACTTTAACTTACATGTACACACATACTTTAACATACATGTACTCACATACTTTAACATACAGCTTCGAGATTCGTAGCTCTATGATCGCTTGCGAAACGCGCCCAAGCTTAAATTTGGAAAGTGGTTTGTTATCATATAGACCTCAGATCAGAATTGAAAGTCATATCGTACTGATAATTATTATATGTGTTATTGTGTTTATTACTTGTATGTTTTTACAAATACGGTCTTAAGAGGATAATGCCTTGAAGATTTCTTGATTTGCACTCACTGAGTCTGCATGATGTGAAATATATATATAAATTCAATGAAATTTAGTATTAAACATGTCTGAACTAAAATTCTTTTTGTCTTGAGGAAATCAACAATTAGTGTTACTTACCTTCAGACCGAAAAGACCAAATGTATCTCCACATGCCAGATGACAAGTAAATACAGAATTGTTTTCTTTAGTAACAGTAACGACATCTTTTGCTTCAGAAGGGGACATGTATCCGACTCTCGTGTAATATCTGGCCCTGTCCTCTGAAACAATTGGGTTAGGCGAAAGGTGCAATCTCTAATGAAAACAATAATTCAAGCAATCATCATGCTAAATGATATATGCCTACTGATCATGTTAATAGATTTTATAATTTCATGTACGCAGACGTTTAACTTTATATTATTGAAGCAAATATAATAATTTTGTACACATTACTGCGATTTCTCTTTCAGTTATTACGAAAAGTTGTGTGACACAGAAATTGTTATATTACTCAGAAACGTGGGGATAATAACGTGATAATGATATATTTGGAAAAGATTCGCTGTTAGCATGTAAAAAATCCTTATTTCGGTATTTTGATTCCAAACTGTATGATCTATGGAGAGTTTTAAGGGCTTCATTAATTTGTAAATATTTAAACATACAATGTTTAAGATAGTGGCTCGTTATTCTTAAAATGAATGAAAAAAAGAAGTTGTCTGCAGATAGGCGTACAAATGTTTTGTTTATCTATTGATTTGTATATATTTACGGGAGAAATACGTGGTCGTCAAACAGAAGAGATCTGGGTTTGTATCCCACTGATTTCGTTAGGACATTGTTTTTCAATCATTTGGAAATGAAAATTTCAGTTCGATGTCGTATTGAGAATGCTGTTCAGTTTTAAGGTCCACTATATTATTCGTATAAATTGTTAAAAAGTATATTACAGACGACAAAATATATATTGAAGACATAGAAAAAAATCAAAATTGTTTGATTATAATTAGGATTAAAATTTAATGGCAAAGGAAGGAAGAAAAATGTCCATGGAAAGAACAGCTAGAAAATGACCGATGTTTTAAAAAACGTCGTCGGGAAGTTTAAAAACACTTTCCAGGGTCGTTTAGTCCTGACTACAATGACCATTAACAAGAGTGTTAAGTACGTTATATTAAACAAAGCCTTGGTGTTCGTGTCATTGACCTCATCGAACGTGGAAACTGCACAACATACATTAGCGTTATTTGTTTATGAAAATTATTTTAAAAATTAAAAGGGTCTTTATAAAGGCCTTGTAGTTCGTCTTTACCCTCATCATACACCATAGCCTTTGAAATCTTCAAAAGAAAGAGTATCCTTTTGAGTTTATAAGCCTCCGAACAATCATAACACGAGGAGTGCTTACACACCTGGCGTCATCACTGATTTTCAGCGATCTGTTCATATTATTCTCGCCACTAGTCTGCCTTTTACACACAATGGAATCTGAGCCTGACGCTTTGGAATTGTATATAATTATTTAAAAGATAAACCTACAAATCCTGAATTACAAAACCGAGAAGCAATCCCGTTTGTATTGTGTTCTTATTTGCATGAAACAAAAGTATCCAAAATGACACCAATGTCACACAGATTTGTATAATATTGTAATTTGTTATATGCTAACTTGATCCATATACAGTGATTTGGTTTGTGTTTAACGCCCGCTATGAACAGTGTCCCAGTTATATCAGTTTTAAGTGGTAGGACACCCATATCCGAATTAAAAGCCTGAACGTTTCCGACCTTAACCAAAACAACCAAGAGAAAAACTAGATCATCTCAAAAATTCAAAGAAAGTTTGGGTGATGTTTTACCTGTCCATACCAAAGACGAATATTGAAATCCGCCAACCCAGTACACCTTGTTTTCCTCAAGTAAGTTTTCCAGCTCATTAATTGACTTCTGAGGTACAAACAGGTGCCCGCCTGAACTGGCGCACGCTTTGACTGCTAACCACCATGGACTTTTGGCTGTATTTTTGTTACTGGAATATGATCCATTACCGGTGATGTTAATCCACTGAGCTGAAACAGAATGTTGTTAAGTGTTATTAAATACAGAGATATTGGCGGAATATGTACCCTGTTGTTCTCGATAATAAATGTTGTAGTGAGGGTTTAACGCCGCTTTTAACAGTATTCCAGTTATATCGTGGCGCGTCAGCTGAATTTGGGAGGAAAGCCCGAAGTGATCAAGGTCTTAGACGTTTACCACTTCGGTGAAACCCACGAGCACGGATATGGTGCTGACAAACCTAGAAACATAATGGAGTCGAACCGGGATTCGAAACCATAATCATAGGTTTCTGGCGTGCCCAAGGGACGCAACTCTGCTGAGCGAATCGCGGCGCCTTAGACGACTGGGCCACGACTGTACGACTGTAAACAAATGAGTGCCAATGAGGAAGGGTTTCTCTTCTCGATAATAAATGTTGCATTTTCGAACATTATTATATATTCTTTAGAATATGTAAGCAAACGGCCCGGATGTGTCCAAACACGTGTAAATGCCCCCCTGATACCAAGGGTGGAATTGAAAAGAAACAAAAATTTGTATCCATACATGAGTTGATAATGATGAATCGGGAAATGCTGATTCAATCTGATGAATTCTATTGTAAGTACGGATAAGATATATGGATGAACAACTTCTTTATTACAATTAGGAGCGACGTTTCGAAATAACCATAACACCGTTTTCAAGCAAGTGATGTACGGAGTATGGTTGACAAGTATATATATACAGGATAGGAGGCAGTGTTTATACAGTTCACACACACATACACACACACTCACTCACACACACACACACACACACACTCACTCACACACTTACACACACACACACACACACACACACACACACACACACACACACACACACACACACACACACACACTCACACACACACACACTCACACACACACACACACACGTGCATGCACGTCGCTATGTAAGTACAATAATCTTGGACGCGACTTTAAACCCCATTTCACCTCACCTCACCTTATACAGTTGAGTGAGTTTAAGATGCAGTTACACTGGAGTGGGAAAGCCTGTTATGTACACAGAAGGGTAAAAAATATATAAACAGCCCAACATTGATGAGTTTTCAAAAGAAGTCACAGCATTCAGAACACAATTAAAACCACAGGAAAACCACCATCCAACCACAAGCTAGAACCATCAGGAGCAGTGTACCACATTCCGTGCAATTGTGAGCAAGCTTTTTTTGGCGAAACATCTAGGCCTCTCAAACCCCGAGTTAAAGAACATCAAAGTTCAGTCTCCAAAAATGACTCTAACTCAGCTCTATCAGACCATATCCATGACAACCCAAGCCACAGCACCCAGTGTAACAAAGTCAAAGCCCTCGCCACCTACCTCAAAGACTTCAAAATCAGAAAACTACAAGAAGCTATCAACATCAAAAGACTTCAACGATCAATCAACCGTGACCAAGGCTACTACATAGCATCGGCGTACCGCTAACTAATCAAAGACCCCAGTCAGTCATAATCCTTTTGTTGTTTATAGAAGAAGAAGATGAAGAAGAAGAAGAAGAAAAATAGTTTATTTAAGTGTCCAGCGGTGTAAACATAACATTTCATCAATTTATACAGGAGGTAAAATATATTGAAAGATATACATCGCCCGGCCAGCGTGGGCCTATTAGACACTAATGTTCTTAAAAGCACTGCAAGTGCTAAAATAGTTATAGTGGACAGTGATGAATTTATTTATTAATGGTGCACAAAATACGTGATAAAAATAAAATACTCGTAAATTTATAACAAGCATTGCCATACAATGACATGTTTTATAAAATATACAGAGGCATACAATACTAGAATGGGTTTATGACACGTTGTTATATAACCTACGTTTGTACATGGATTTAATTAGTGCAGCTACAGAATAGGATAAATTATCGCACTTCATAAGGAATGTGGTTTGATCTACAGGGGTCATGAGACAAAAAATTGGGCAAAGAGACGAGGCATAACCCCAAACATATCCTCGTTGATCTGCATAAAGATTACACGTTGTTAAGAAATGAACCTCGTCTTTATATTACAGGCTTCACCCGCCAATATGTTTTACCCTTCTGTGTACATAACAGGCTTCTCCAGTCGAGTGTAACTGCATCTTAAACCTACTCTACTGTATGAACACTGCCTCCTATCCTGTATATATATTTGTCAACCTTACTCTGTACATACATCTATTCCAAATCTCAAAATTCCCAAATTCTATATAAGCAACCCCTAAACCCCCCTCTTGGGTTGCACAGACCACTTTCGCCCCTTTCGGAAACACATTAAATGGCCTGGCCGGGCCCGTGTGCGAAATACGCATCAGTCGGAAAGCGCACGTTAAATCTCCAAAGTAAGTAAGTAAGTAACTGAGTACATCAAGTGCTTGAAAACGGTGTTAGAACTTACACCGAAACGTCGCTCCTAATTGTAATAAAGAAGTTCCTCATCCATATATATTATCCTTACTTAGAACTCCAACTTCTAAATGCCTCTCAAAGAAGTTATTTCTATTTTAATTTGAAATATTGATGTAGTTGTAGACTATAAGATCCTACTTACATTTCTGCCCGGAACAAACAGAGGCACACCACAAAAACACGCACACTGCTTGGAGCATCATATCAACTGTGCCAACTATGAACTCGCTAGTTTTGCCTTATAGGGAAGTTTAAGATTAAGTGTGAGGGCATATGCACGAGGAGCTGTATCAATAGCAATGATTCATGTCCTGGGTCAAGAGTATTGAGTTTAGAATGGTACATGTAGCTTCCTGCATTCGTCATATCTCGTACATTTGAAATATTTGTTATAGAGCACAGTCGTCAATAGTCATCTCCGTACTTCAACTCTAAAACGGATATTACAAATTATTCTCATATATGTATAGCAGGTATAGCTTAGAGTGGATACAGATGATGGATTGATATTATGATACTGAACCGTTAAAAGAGTCGAAGCATTACCAACGTGTATCAATGGAAATACTCGTACATTTAAGTTGAGATCATGCGACACGTCGCATGCCCATAGCTTGTATAAACATTACCCTGGTCAGAGGATTAGTGAATAATGTTAATACCTATAGTGTACATAAAATGTATGTAATTATAAATATGTATGCCAATATCATCTACTGGAGAAAACAAAACAAGAGATTCCAGTGTGTTAATTATGTAAAGTTATGAAACTTATCTAATCATATCATCTCAATATTCGTCCCAAGGTGATAATTCAACTACAAACTCGTCATCAAATTCTGCCCAACTCGGGATAAGAAGTAGACTAACACTAAGTCATGAAAACATTTTTTTTTTAAATAATTACAATTATTTTCCTCTGCTGTTTTCATATGTGGAATCAAGGAAAGTAGACAGGTTTTAGTTTTATCTAGACTTGCGAATCGGGTGGTCAGGCTCGCTGACTTGGTTGATGCATCCCAGTTGCCTGGGTCGATGCCCATGATGTCAATCACTGGACTGTCTGGTCCATACTCGATTATTTACAGGCATATTGCCTTAATATTGCACAGTGATGCGTTTAATAACAAACAAACATGACACACCCTGATAAGCAGCATCCGACTTCACATCCCCATGTTCATTGTAGAATCCGAAAACACTTGGTACCAGTATCAGTTTTCTCTTCCTCTTCCTTGTAGTTTTCGATTTGAGCTATCACTGTCATACATACATCTTAAAATGTCTCGCCGAGATGAAGAAATATCTGCAACAGTGACCACAAGGCATTTCAATACAAATACAATACATTTTCTACCACTATCAAATATATTTTACCAAAAGTAAATGTTATGAAAGTTGGTTCACTATGTCCATTTATGTACAATGTTATTTGCTGAAACCCGAAGTAATATCTTCTGCACTGATTTTACAATTTTATAGTGACTGAGCTGGATTTAACAGAATTTGGAAAAAGTCACACTGCAGCATTTCAGCTTAACATGGGAGGAAGCTAGTTTGATGAAACCCACGAGCACGGTTATTCCGTGATAATAATAAATACTATTATCAAATATCAAGAGCGAGTGGAATTGCATTAGAATTGCATTAACCCCATTATACATGATCTAGTTCGATTAAAATGTTAAGCGTGTACTTTTTCATAGGACTAGTTTTTAAACACACTTTAATAGATTGATGATCTTGCTACATGTGTTATACAAATGTGTTATGTGTTCGGAATTTGAACATTGACACTATTTCCAATGTATGGTGCCCGAGAGTTAGATTGATTATCATGAGGGATTTTTCGTCTTGTGATCATCATCGCCATTGATTATGATTGGGATATCTTAAACCCCCTTTTTGAACACCGGGTACTTAAGTTTTAGACGGATTCCAAGACCAACTGAAAATTACCAAACCATCTCCAAAAGATCCTTATGCTTGCCGTAAGAGGAGACTAACGGGATCCCAATTGCGTGGATCGATGCTCATGATGTCAATCACTGGATTGTCTGATCCAGACTCGATTATTTACAGACCGTCGTCATATAGCTGGAATATTGCTGAGTGCGGCGTAAAACAACAAACCAATGAACCGACCAACAAAACGATACATCATCTGCAAATTGTGCCGTATTACTATTTAGAAGCAGGTCCTCGAAAATGTCATTGATCATGATATTGAACATTGGACTTTTGTGGGGTATCATTGTCTCCAAATCATGTCCTGGGCCTTGTAGACATCAAGAAGGACACACACACACACCACTGTGTGTTCATAGCTTTCGGCCATGGGAGCCGTGCCAATTTACACAAGGTACACAAAGTACGTGATCTGCACTACCAGTTATTCGGACATTCATTTTCGTGGAAGTCTTGGTGGCTGAGTGGGTTATATCGCTGACTTTGAGTGCTGTCGATGAGGTGCCTCACTCAGTGTGGGTTCGAATCGTGGACTCACCCCCCAAAAAGTACGAGAATCTGAACTTTACTGATAAAGTGTTATCCCAAATATAACATTTGTTACATTTAAATTGTTCAACATATGCTTTCTGACATTTTGTAATTAGTTGTCCAGAGTCTCTCATTACCGATAAAGCCGATCGTTTTTGCCTTGGATATTAGTTAATGGTGTGAATTAATATTGATATTAGAAACATATTATTGCCAGCTTGATTGTTTAGTACTACGAACAATATCCTGAAACATGGCTCGTTAGTGATATGGGGCGGTCGGGTAGCCTAGTGGTTAAAGCGTTCGCTCGTCACGTCCAAGACCCGGGTTCGATTCCCGACATGGGTACAATGTGTGAAGCCCATTTCTGGTGTCCCCCGCCATGATATTGCTGGAATATTGCTAAAAGCGGCATAAAACCAAACTCACTCACTCACTCACGTTAGGGATATCCCCGTCCCCTTCAGTGTCGCTTCACATACCTAAATATATCTTTAAAAGACTTGAGATGAAAAGTACTTCATGCGCGAAAACAGATCTAGAGGCCATTTGGTGCGAGAAGTCCGTGCGAAAGAATATAATACACAAATATAGTAAAATAAGCCAGTATTTCACACTAGGTATTCTACACTCACTTACCATTAAGGCAATATAGATAATACTGCCAATATAAACCAACATTATTGATAATTATCAATGCCTATGGGTCGCATCTCAGGACAGTGAATCCCGGCGCCTTAAAAGTTGGAGCATATGTGCTGGACTACCTGAGTTCCATTTGCCGAGAAATACACAACACAGAGTACAATCAAGAATTTATTACAAATGTAATTCTACACAGATGTAAAAAAATAAATTGTTCACAAAGATGTGTTGAGCTTCATACCGTCCCATGACCTTGACGAATACTTTCATACAGCTATATTTCTTGTGTACAGTAATATAGTGGTCGCGGGATGTCTTCCTTGATAACGAAAAGTACACGTCGGCAGTACCTATAACGATATAACGTGTTAGTAATAACAGGTTAGAAAATACACGTTACTGCACATACAACTTTCCACACAAGCTGTGGCTCAGCTGTTGAATCGTTTTCTCAGAGGACTTTGTTGGTTCCTGATAATGTATGGATTCATATCCGTGGAATATTACCTACTCACCGTGGAAACCCTACTCACCCACTCCTAGCGAATAAGTAGATGGGTGAGTGAGTATGGTTTTACCCTGCTTTTAGCAATATTCCAGCAATATCATGGCGGGGGACACCAGGAATGGACTTCACACATAAATTGATGAAACAGGACGGAGGTGCTACCCTGGAGTTTGCGAGCTTGGTTTAACGACGCTTCGACCATTATTCCGGTAACACAACAATCTCATTAAAATAAGATCTTAGTAATCGCTACCGCTCAACAAAGATCTGAGGACATCCCATTAGGTGAGGTGAGGTGAAATTGGGTTTAACGTCGCGTCCAAGATTATTGCACTTATATAGCGACGTGCATGCACGTGTATGTGTGTGTGTGGCTGCTTGTACTAGTCCGGACTGATGCCGATTTATAGTGCTAGCTCACTGAGATACCATGCCGCAGTTTAACATGAATACCCCACTCAGACACAGTATACTGACTCCGAGCCGACCAGTCCTTGTTTTAGCCCCTTAATGCCGAGCGCTAGACAGGGTAACAACAAGTACAATCTTTTAACGTCTTTTTGTATGACGCGGCCCGGGATCGAACCCTGGACCTTCCGCTCTCCGGGCGGACGCTCTACCACAAGACCACGGAGGCGGTCTCATCCCATTAGGGGTCACGTCAGAACGACCTCCATTCGACCAATCAGAACGTCGCTTACCAGATCATGAAAGTGACAGTCGGAATGTGATTTCTAATCATGCAACCTTGAAAACTTAATTCCGAACGATAGTTACGGTTTTAACGACTGAATCAATACAATCTAGCCCATCTATTAGCCATTCCAGAATGTTCTTTTGATCAGGTTTCATATTTGTAATCGAGAAGTTGTCTAACGGGTACTAAGATCTGATTTTAATGAGATTGGTAATACAACTGGGTGTCAGCTTAGTTGGAAAGCCCAAAGAGATGCGGGTCCCAGGAATTCACAACTGTAGTGTAACCCACGACAACGGAATCTTAAACAAGGCGAACCAGGATACGAACCAACGTTCACAAGATCCTGGCAAGCCTAAGGGACGAAACTCGAGACATTTTGGACACTCTGTTTACCTTAGAACATTTTACAGCACATGGGGTAATGTTCTGTGTACACGTGCCTAAAGAATTCAGCGTTAATTCAGTGAAACCCCGTTGTTCCGGGCCCCGTTTTAACCGGATCCCCATCTTCCGGGCAGTTACTGTTGTGAACCCTTAAATATGTACGACGGGATATTTCTTCATACCCATGATTCGCTGATCTGGAAATTTGTTAATCAGGACGATATCGCTTGGATTAGTACCGTGCGTTTTAACGGGGTTTTTCTCTGTATAAATTGTTCTCTCAGTTCGATATTAAGCATAAATCTGGATTACATATTGTTAGTTTGCACGTTTACCACGTGCCCTTTAGAGAGCCACCGTTTCGATCTTCACAACCTCTTATCTTTAACACTCTTTCATGACAGCATACACAATTATTTGTAAATAATAATAATGATAATAATAATGCGCATATTCATAATTCGCCAAAACCATTCCCTAAGGCATGCTCAAAGCGCTACATTATTACCCCGGTCTATGAATCAGTGTGCACTCGTTTTTCATTCTCACGTCCCTTGGGAGTATACACCCAAAGCTGCCTGTGAGGCGCGAGAAGGTTAACAGCCACATTACAATCTTAGCCTACCGAGTAAACATTGCTGGGTGAACAAAGTCCCTTGCTCAAGGAGACACCACATGTGCTACATGTGCTTCTATGTGGGGCAGGACCGAAGCCCCAGAAGCTCTCAGGAGTCAAGCTGCTGAACGTGGTCACCCATCCAACTACTCTCCCAGGCCAACGTTCCTTCATGTCACCTGATTTGTGAACTGTAAACAGTACCACGTGTATAGTGGTGAAACATAATTAAATGAACAGTTCCAAGTCAGCCATCGAGCGTTCATCCACGATGGTGCTTAATCCCGAAACGAGGCTAACATTGTGCTATTTTGTTGCGCCACGTGTCTTCTTTCCCTTTTGTTCCCGTGCAAGATGTTTACAGACGTATTCAGGTCACGTGTTTCTTTGGTCTCCCAACCTTTGGGTGTCACTCGATGGCTTCCTCTAATTCTGTTTGACGAGTTCCGATTCATCCATAGCCAATGAATTTTGCTCAGATTTAAAACGAAACAAAAAGTTCAAACGAAAACAAACAAATGTGCCCCTACATATGCAGACCCACATGAAATGAGAAGGTTATACGTCAATGAACTCAATTTGCATATTTTCTTATGGTTATTGACGCTATGTTGAATGTCGAACTGTATAGGTATATTGTTCAGGGACTGTTAAAGACACTTCAAATCTACAACGGCACATGTAATACATGCATCCCAATCACCTTCATTTGGCCTTTCTGTAACTGGTTTACGGTTAATGTCCGTTAAAGATGCAGTTACTTGTAAGTTTAAGAAATTTTAGTCAGATGAAGTAAAGAAAATACATAAGAAGGATTTATGACAAAGGGCTGCTCACCTTCTCACAGTGACCTGTTCGAAAGATGTTTTCTAAAATAAGTAAACAGATCGAGACAACCGAAAATTTGACACATCCGATTCGACTTATCAGATTCTAATTATGATAAATATAAAAAAATTGAAGTTTATTGAGACCGGACAACAGCGAGCAATCACTTCATCAGTGTCCAACTGTGTCCAACAGTATCCAAACAACAAAGGGACCTATAGACGTTTACGACTGCATGGAAAAGCTACAGGATCTAGGAATTCTACAATCGTCCTAAAACTTCAAACAACAAAGGGACCTATAGACATTTACGACTGCCTGGAAAAGCTACAGTATCTAGGAATTCTAAAACAGTTCTTAGTCTAGATGATTCTGCAGATCTGGGAATCGTAACTTAGCGTGCTGGGTGTATGTGTACTGAGGTAAAAAGAACAAAAATAGTAAGCTTAATGATGTCGAATGTGTCTCCCAAGGCGACTGGACACCCGTTCCCGTGGTTACTATGCTTTATGCCAAGACGTTTCGTCGGCCTTTCCCAGCCTATCCGTATGCTGGTTCATGTGGACCATTGCCCACTTCTTCATCCATGGTCCCTGGATGGTCGTGTCGAACTCCTCCTCCTCGCCAACCTTGCACAGGAATTAAACGTGCATAATGAGTCAACTATGTGAGTCAATATATATATACACGATGGGTAGGATTAATGTACAACGGTAACTATATAATGATGAGTGACTGACTGAGTGAGTGAGTTTGATTTAACGCTGATTTGGACAGTATTGCAGTTGTATCACGGAGAGTCAGCTAAATGTGGTAGGAAAGGCCGAAGTGATTCAGGTCTCAGACGTTAACCCATTTGCACAACGAATTGCGGCGCCTCAGACGACTGAGCCACCCGTGACCCCATATAACAAGGAAGCCAATGGAATAAACGGGAGTGAAGCCAATTAATTCGCAGTGAAAACAATGAATACTCATTTTCAGTATTCACCTGATAAAGGGGATTTCAAAACTTTTAAATGCATATCAAAGACTTAACGTTCATAACATTTAAATTCCTAAACTGTGTTTTTTCTATTAAAAAAATTAAACAAATAACTATTCTGTTCCCGAAAAATATTTCGTATAAATCCTACAGTGTATATGCTGGATGTTCTGCGTAACATAACTGCAAGTTTGGTGTTTGTTTGTTGTTTAACGCTGCACTCAGCAATATTCCAGTTACATCACAGTGGCCCGTAAATCCTCGAGACTGAACCAGACAATCCCGTGACTGGAGTACGAGCAATAGTTCATGCAATCAGCCAAGTGACAGAGCCTGACCACCCGGCGTAATTTGATTGTTTGTTGCTTAACGCCGCACTCAGCAATATTCCAGCTGTATGACGGAGGTCTGTAAATAATCGAGTCTGGACAAGACATTCCAGTGATTGACATCATGAGCATCGATCCACGCAACTGGGAAACGATGACATGCATCAACCAAGTCAGCGAGCCTTATCACCCGATCCTGTTAGTCGCCTTTTGGGGCATGCATAGGTTGTTGAATACCTAGTCTACCCCGGATCTTCACGGTCCGATCTAATTTGGTTGCATCCCAAGTCCATTTAGGGTAAACGAACCCGAGTTAAGGGAAGAACAATTTGAATATATATATATATATGTTCAACTTCTCACTAATGCCATACTTGAAAACGTGTAGCACGTTTTGAGGACATCGTCATTCTGAAACGTACTGGATTTATTTTCGGAGCGTCTTGTTTAGCTTTCTTGTGCCTGTCCACTTCGTCGAACGAATCCCAGTTGATCACGTGATCAGGGTCTCCCGATGACCTCATGAGAATGCTGTCCTTGAGACCATAGAAGCCGACTGGCCTGTCCGGCCGCTGCCATCTGAGATCTAAACTCCATCGGACGTCTTGGGAGAGATTCGGAAGGCTAGAAACAGACAGAGTGAGTAAGTGAAGGGGTGTGCTCCACTAAAAATGTCGCCTACATCAGGGCCTGTCAGTTTAATATGTGTGGACAGCCCAGTGTGACACAGGTCCGTCGGATGTCTTGGGAGAGATTCAGAAGGCTAGAAACAGATAGAGTGAAGGGTTGAGCTCCACTAAAAATGTCGCCTACATCAGGGCATATCAGCTTAATGTGTGTGGACAGCCCAGTGTGTTACAGGTCCGTGGCGTTTACCAGATTGGTGCCGACAAACCAAGGATCATTATCGGGGAGAATATGATGTACGAACCCAAGATCAGAGGATCCTGCCACAGGACGTTACTATGTACAACGTCTTCCGGGGCTTAAGACGACCAGATCACACATACACATGAACACCATCGTCAATATTTCACGTTTTGCACACATTACGTTCCTCATTACCCGTGAATTCATACGGCCCCTATACTGCATAAATTGTGACACGTGCGATATTAGTCGCTAAATATTGCCGATGTAGCCTCATGCAGGAATCTAGCTGTACGTTGATTCGTAGGTTACAATAGCGACTGCACCGCATAGCGACCCCATGTATTGACGGTGATGGAGGAACGTACGTATGCAAACCCGTTAAGTTCTGATGACCCCTGACTTGGCAGAGAGTCATTCGTGACCAACTCGTGTTATTCCGGGACAAGCCGAATAGCGACTAGTGCCCCTCTCGTGGCCATTTTTGCAACCGGGTTCCGTCTTAGCGCAAACGGGCATACCTAAAACAATTGTCAACTCGTTGCGCAATGGTTCACATATATTTCCCCATATATCATTTATATTTCAGATGCAATTAAAAGCACATCAGGACATGCGAAATTATACAGTATGATTGAACACATTTAACTGTGTCTTGGGTATATTTTTAGATGCAAGACATATGTAAAAACAGAAATTATTTCTGAGGGATTATTTGACAAAGAACTTGAAATCATACGCGCATTCTGATTGGTTGTCGTATTTTCGCACATAACATTCATCGATAGGGGGACGAGTCTTCTTGCAGGTTACGGAAAGGGGCGAGTGGTGACGAATGGGCAGAGAGTATGTCATCCCCTTGCAGTGACCCCTTGCGGCTCGAGACCGGAAGATATGAAAATATCTCATCCAGTAAGTTGGCCACAAGAGGAAAAGAGGCTTAGTTAAGATTTTCGTTCCCACTTTTTCCTGTATACCTAATTTGTTTCTATTGCACGAAGGACGTATCTGCACACGATTTCCAACAGGTAGTAAGCTTGCAAGTGTGCATAATTTGACAAAATTGGCTGAAACATTTTTATTAAGTCATTAAACTATTCAAATTATGTCTTTGATAACAGGTAATATGTTTGGTTATAAATATAAATATTATGCAGTTAAGATATACAGGAAAATGTGGGAACGAAAATCTTGTTTTTCACCCCTGGCCAACTGACTAATCCAACAAGAGAAACTGTTTCGCCTGTTCAGATTCTGTCGAGCACGACATCCACTGTCTTTGTTTGTTTGTTGTTTAACTCAGCAATATTCCAGCTAAGCACGGTGGTCTGTTAACAAAATCGACGAGACAATCCAGTGATTGGCATCATGAGCATCAATCTAGGCAAATGGGAAACGATCACATGCATCAACCAAGTCAGCAAGCCTGACCACCCGATCCCGTTAGTCGCCTCTTAAATACCCCCATTTCACTACGACCTAGAATATCCCGAATCACCCCGAACAGGAAATCGTCCATGTTCGTAGATAAATCTCAATCATTCCTTGAAGTTCTTAAATGAATCTTATTTGACTCCCAAACATTCGTACAGTTCGCGGGAGTTCGTCGAATCGGCGAGAAATTTTGTTTGTCAAAAACGTTCGTGGAAGGGTCCCCGAATTGCAATTTCGTGGCTGTATCGTAATCCATTCGTAATTAATTCTTATGTTCCGTAACAGCTTCGAAATCGATTCTTTTGCATTCTTGGCTATTCTTAGCGATTCGTGGCTCCCAATCTCAACCTTGTCCTCAATCCGAAAACATCCCCAAACAGCTACGAATGTCCCGAGTCAACTACGAATCATGTAAGAATTAAGTAACAACATTCGGGATATTCGTCACTTAGTCGTAGGTGATTCTTAAAATTCGTGTATGATCTGTACATGAATCTTGTAATTCGTACATGTTTCTTAACCCATTCCTGGTATTCTTCATATTTTTCAACCCGATTAGCCACGAAAGTTTGCATTATTGCCCGAATCATGATCATCACGAATTTCGAAAGTTTCCGATTCGGGGTGATTTGGGATATTCGTGGTCCTAGTGAAAAGGCGGGCATTATTAACGGCAAGCTTGGGTTGCTGCAGACCTATTTATTCTCTACCCGGAACTTCACTGGTCTATTGTCTTCCTAACTGTCCCACGAATATCAGTTTACTTGACCCTTTTAACAACGGTATATGGAAAAAGCTAACGGTTTTAGTATTTTATCTAATGAAAAGTTGTCACATTTTTAGCAATCGTGTATTTGTGTTTAAGTCCGTTTTTCTGTACACTCTTAGTTATCTGCATCATCTCTCATGTGTAATAGGATACATCTGGTGCCTCTCGTGACTGATGGAGTGGCTTGAGCATGTTTTATTTTTGTCTTACATATTGTATATATGCCCAGTGTATGACATAAATAAACCATCTGGGACATATATAAACTATCTATCTGTCACTAAAACACGAAGAAACAGAGAAACACAACAGAGAAATCAGTAGCTGGCTACGATGCCAAGCATGGGATGCTGGAATCAGAAGGGGGTAATGTTAGCAGTATGGCTACGTTGAACAGAGGCATACCTCCTGTGTGGAATAACGTTGTTGAAGAGAAGGAAGCCTCCATAGGGAACGGGGCAGCTCAGCAGGTCCTTCTTCAGGTCAACGCCTGCGTCAACAGAGAACGGGACCATCAACTTAGCATGGGGTTAACGAACGTTGTGTTATGTTCACATGGTCAAGAACACGGTCAATCTGATATAACGCAGCTTCGACACAATGAATGCCAGTGGATTGTCTGGTCCCAGATTATTTACAGATCGCCGTCATATAGCTGGATTATTGCTGAGTGCGGATACGATGACATGCATCAACCAAGTCCACGACTACCCTATCCTGTTAGTGGCCTCTTACGACAAGCATGGGTTGCTGAAGATCATTTCTAACCCGGATCTTCACGGGTACAATCAGCTGGTTCTCGCCTCTCTATGCTCATCGTCAACTTATATTGTGACATGAAGAGACGGAGCCCAGTTTATGAAAATAACATGATGATTACCCAGAGATTTCTCCATTTCCTCTTCTTCCAGCATGACATACCACGTGCCACCATAGCAACACTGATGAGTGGCTATCTTTCCACTGCGGTGACCCCCTACTGCAACCTGCGCCCAGAAACAGAGCATCGTAAGTGAACTTTGAATGAGGATTAATGCTGACATGTTTATTTAATGCGTCAAATTCATCATTTTGGTTCCATGCGTTTCTTAAAACAACGCTAAATGGATTTAGTGTGCAGTTGAAGTCTCACCTCGCTGGGGAGTATACAACTCAAGCTGCCTTATCATGACACTACCATCTCACCCTACCTGGTACCCAGTCAGTGATGGGTGAACAGATGCACATTTTGAAAATAGTTAGCTGGCTAAGGTGAGTGAGTGAGTGAGTTGGGATTAACGCCGCTTTTAACAGTATTCCATTTATATCGCGGCGTGTCAGCTAAATGTGGGGGGAAAGCCCGAAGTGATGCAGGTCTCAGACGTTTACCACTTCGGTGAAACCCACGAGCACGGGAATGGTGCTGACAAACCTAGAAACATAATTGGGGCGAACCGGGACTCGAACCCACAATCATAGGTTTCTGGCGTGTCCAAGGGACGCAACTCTGCACAGCGAATCGCGACGCCTTAGACGACTGGGCAACCCGTGCCCCCAGCTGCCAAAGGAGGCCCCCATATGTAACATGTGTTTTAGTATATGGCAAGACCGAAACCCTAGAAACTCACATGAGCTGAGCTTGTCGAATACGGTCACCTACTTTTCAAAAATCACGAGACTCATACAGACCATATAGTGCTGTGGAAACATTCTAACTTGGATCAGAAGTGCATTCATATATGAGAGGGGTGCTTGAAAGTAAAGATGTACCCAATTTCATTATTTTAATCCGAAGATCAGTTTCCAGTGCCACAAGCACACATCAATGGCCCACATTTTGGCATTAAACAAAGTGTCAAATTTGACTACATAACTACTGTGGTGTGACGTTCATGTCTACTCATTCAGGGTATCAATTTAGCGGTTGTCAAATCTGGACATTAAGGAAAGGAGTAACTAGGAAATAACTGAAAATGAGTCTTTTGGCATAACGAGCCCCTTTTAAAACTGCAGTACCTGCAAACACCCGTTCTCCTCGGTAGTGTCCAGCAGGGGGATCCAGGCTGTAGGCTGGAGGACCTCATACGATTCATTGTCCAGGTATGCACAATCTACAGGTATCAACAACACTTAATATAGCCAACCCTGTTTAATATGCATACTTCACATAATGAACACTAAGGACTTACTCTAATCCCTGCATTTGGTCAAAATTAAATTAACAGTTAAAAACATTCTATTTTTATATTGTCTGTGAAATAAAAACGAGAGATAATTGTTTGTTTTTAATTAAAAGTCAAACATAACTTCCCTCCTCGCTGCGGTTACCATATCCCCACATATGTTCGATATCAGTTGGGATACGGATCGACATCAAGGGATACGGATCGCCCTGTTAGACGGTCGAATTTATGCCAATGACTTCCTGAAGCATCACTCTCCAATTATATATACATTATTTCACCGATAGTGCACTCTGAATAAGGATTCCAAAAAGCATTCGCGTTTACTAAAACAAGATGGCCACCCCTACGAACACACCAACTGGATTCCTTATTCAGACTTCAATTTCGGTGAAATAAAGTACACGTACTTAAAATGAACTGATTAAAAGCCATTGGGATGTGGATTTTAAAAAATAGGAGATTTCGTGTTTCTTGTGGTATTCCAGCTTGTATTGGTAGCTTCTCTCAAGACATGTCTAGTGCTCTATAGATACCTTGGTGCCAGGGAACTGTTGTAGCCTCGTTCTGGGGTGTTTTTGTGCGCAGATTCCACACCGGATGTCCTGCAATGTCGGGGCCAATCAGTTGCTCGATCACATTGAGCAAGCGGTCGTTAGACCACAGATTTCGAAATGCCTGTCATGTACAAAGCAAAGCAAACTGTAAGATATTAAATCAATATTCTGCTTTCTTTTCTGATCAGCAATTCCCACAAGGATGCATATTATGAGATTCTATCTTTCTTTTTTTCGTTCTTTTCTTTAACGCCGCATTCCAGCTATATAACAACGACCTGTAAATAATCGTGTCTGGACCAGGCAATCCAGTGATTGACATCATGAGCATCGATTTACGGAATCAAACAAGTCAGCTCGTTGCACGTTTGCTGTGTTAATGCTTAGAAAATATTAACTTAAACATCTTTAGTTACTGCGAATCAGTGGCGAAGAATATCCAATGCATTATAACCCCATTCCATTATGCTGACTGCCCTGTGCCCTTTCTCTGCCACGCCTTCGGCTTGAGGCCGAATGACATGACGTCAAAAGTGTCTGTTCAATTAAACTGCATTCATGAGCCAGGGACATGATGCTCTAAGACAGCATGTCCCAAACTAAGCTTTCGTGGCGAATGCTTTCAGAATACTTAACATAATCATGGAGTATGTTTTCACTTGTTTGTTTGTTTGTTGTTTAACGCCACACTCAGCAATATTCCGGCTATATGGCGGCGGTCTGTAAATAATCGAGTCTGGACCAGACAATCCAGTGATGGACATAATGAGCATCGAACCACGCAATTGGGATCGATAACATGCATCAACCAAGTCAGCGAGCCTGACCACCCGATCCCGTTTGTCGCCTCTTATGACAAGCATAGTCGCCTTTTACGGCAAGCATGGGTTGCTGAAGACCTATTCTACCCCGGAATCTTCACGGGTCTCGTGGAGGATGTGACGGGGAGGGAGAGGTACTCAGTTTCTGATTGATGGAGGTGAACACAACTAATGGCCTGCATCATAAAGCGTGCGTCATCTAATGATCATGAATAGTTTACTCACTGGAGGGAGCTTGCCCAGCTTATGCAGGAGGATGTTTGCACCTGGGAAATCCTTCTCCACCTGGGTCAGTCTTTGAAAGAGACCTAGGTCCTTGTATGTATCTACCAACAGAACATAAGGCGAATATAACAATGAGTGACAACGGCGTAGTGTGAATACAGAATAGGGTGAATACAGCACAGAGTGAATAAAGGATAGGGTGAATACAGAATAGGTTGATAACAGTATAGGGTGAGTACAGCATAGGGTGATAACAGCATGGGGCGAATATAGCATTGGGTGATAACAGAATAGGGTGAATACAGCATAGGGTGAATACAGCATAGAGTGATAACAGCATAAGGTGAAAACAATAGTTTGATAACAGCATGGGGCGAATATAGCATTGGGTGATAACAGCATAGGGTGAATACAGCATAGGGTGAATACAGCATAGAGTGATAACAGCATAGAGTGATAACAGCATAAGGTGAAAACAGAATAGTTTGACAACAGCATGGGGCGAATATAGGATTGGGTGATAACAGCATAGGGTGAATACAGCATGGGCCGAATATAGCATTGGGTGATAACAGCATAGGGTGAAGACAGAATAGGGTGATAACAGCATAGGGTGAATACAGCATAGGTTGATAGGGGATAGAACTCAGAATGAATGAAATAAGTTTGACAAAACATCCACATACATATACACATACCTTTGCAAAAATAAACCAAATGAAAGTAAAACAGACTTTTTATCTGCATCAGGAACGTTTAATCACCAATAGAACGAGTGTACAAATAATTCACAAGGTTTATCTATTTCATTTCAAAACATGGTCACTCACACAAAGGAACCAACCTGTGATTTTTCCTGCCTTGAACAGCCACTGGACCAGATCTTCTAGAAGGACCTCTATAGCGGTACGGCAGGGGTCCAACTCCTCTCGTGTGAAAAAGTCCTCAACAAGTACATATCCCTAAAATAGAAAAAGAACATAAACTTATCCGTGGTTCGAGACCAGCGGCGTGCTGGACCCGTGGGTTAGGACCCTGGCAACCTATGCCAATCGTAAAGGGCGGCTCAATGGATCGGGTGGTCAGGCTCGGTGATGGCATGTCAACGCATCCGACGTTCATAATGTTAATTACAGAAGTGTACAGACAGTCGTCATTTAGCTGTAATGTTGTGAGTGCGGCGTTATCCTGCAAACACGTTTGCGCATGCATATAAGACTATGATTGGTTGGTTTGGTTGGTTGTTTTACGCCGCACTCAGCAATATTCCAGCTATATGACTGCGGTCTGTAAAAAATCGAGTCTGGACCAGACAATCCAGTGATTAATATCATGAGCATCGATCCACGCAATTGGGATCGATGACATACATCAACCAAGTCAGCGAGCCTGACCACCCGATCCCGTTAGTCGCCTTTTACGACAAGCATAGTCGCCTTTTACGGCAAGCGTGGGTTGCTGAAGACCTATTCTACCCCGGATCTTCACGGGTTTATAGGACTATGAAACTCATGAGAATTGTAGTGACCCCACAGCTAAATGTACATGTGGTCGGGCGTCTTTCTACTGCATACCAACAAGAAAATGTATGCTAATCAACAATGGAAACGCCAGGAACCCTCCTGCAGCCCTACTGCCGACAGCTAGGTGTTTGGATTTTTATTTATTTTATATTATATAAAGATTTTAGCTCATTTGTGCACCAAAAAAACTAGTCGTTTCCTTTGAAGTAATGGGGGCGGTCGGGTAGCCTAGTGGTTAAAGCGTTCGCTCGTCACGCCGAAGACCCGGGTTCGATTCCCGACATGGGTACAATGTGTGAAGCCCATTTCTTGTGTCCCCCGCCGTGATATTGCTGGAATATTGCTAAAAGCGGCGTAAAACCATACTCACTCACTCACTCACTTTGAAGTAATGTGTGTGGTAAAAGCTATTTATCATGCTTTCAATCACTGGTTTGTGTGGTCTGTCAACAATTATTAACATGTAGTCGTGAAATAGCTGGAGTATTGCTGAACGCAGCGTTGACGATATTCACTCATCACTAGTACAATACAATATTATTCTGATTATTTCGCACACACAAAAAAGAACTTTTGATTGATGCGCTGCATGTAATAATACGTCCGAATATCTTATGTGGCTTATACGATAGCGACAGTCATATGTAAAACGCAACATCTGAAAATAAATAAAATACATGAGCTCCTTTTTAACAGTGTACTCTCTCCAGGGACCACGAGTAATTCCTGGATTAAAAAGGTCATAATTATGCCAACATAATTGTGAGAAGTGAAACGGATCAGGCAGTCAGGCTCGGCACCTTGGCTTGTTGCGCGTGAAAATCCAACACCAACGGCGTTGGGTGTTGCTCATAACATCAATCACTGGTTCGTGTGTTCCAGACTTGATTATTTTCAGGCCGTTGTGAAACGGCTTCATTGTTGCTGGCAACGTCGTTGAACACGAGAGAAAACACGGACACTAAAGTGATTGAGGCGTTGTAAAATCCTGCACACGAACTCGATGCAGGCCAGAGCTTAAGTCTATGAATTTCCATATAAAATAAAAAATGCTACACTATTGGTATCAACAAAGCAAATAAATGGGAAATATCATCTTTGAATAGACCGTTGTTATATTAAGTTATATTAAGTTGTAATAGCTTTAACACTGCTGTGGTGCACAAGCATCATCTGTCCTTAAACGTTCCATTCCCCTATTATCCTTGTATTCTCTATATCATTTAAGGGGTTCAAAGTGTCATAAAAACATGAAGCGGCCCTAAAATAGTCTTTTCACACAAAACACGTTTTCTTCCGAGAAATCTGTTCCAGGTTATATATTACGAACACAAGGCTATGTAAACTCCACAGTGCCGGCCTCAGTCAGTTTCCAGATTTATTGGTCACTTTCCTGAGTAAAGATTAATGAGCTGCCTACGATTACCACATAAATTTGCATGATGGTGATGAAAACCTAAGTGAGTGAAGTTTGTGTTATGCGAGAGTAATGTGTTATTGTATACAATACACACGCACACATCTTTTGTACGTTCGATTTGTTTTTGTATCTGTTATTGTTGTTGTTCTTGGTGGGGGTGGGGAGGGTCTGTTCTTTCAATTCAGGGGAAGACTTTACTGGGGCGAACGGGACAGAACAAATATCTCAAAACGTTGATGTAACTGTAAATCTTGAAGTAAATGGTTACTATAGACATATATTTCCTTTTTTTCATTTCCAGTATTTTAATTTTCTTAAACACGCCTCAAAGGTGGCAGGTGGACCTCTTACACAAGTAGGTCTGACTTTATCTTAAGCAACAAACCTTTTCAAAGAATTGTTTTATCATTGTCTCCGAGAGTTGCCCCGGTTTTTTCCGATCCGGCTGTTTAGGCATTGTGTTGAATACTTCCGGGAAAGGCGTGTCGACTTGCCCCGGGTAACGAGGGGGTACGACTTCTGTCTCCGCCGACATACTGTTGCAATGTGTTATCTGGAACGGAAGACAACATAAATTGGTAGTGGAGAAACAAATAGAGCTGCTCAAAAGCAAGCAACAAAGTCACAACTAACAGGTCATGATAGACATGCAATTGTGTTCTCAACATTCAGAAGATAATCTCAGCTGTATCTATAAGTGGCATTTTAGAAGCTGTAGCAACAATGAAGATAGGCCTGACTTCAACTCCTAAACCTTCTTCGTGTCTGTGTAACCCCGTGAGGGGTTTTCGAAATGGTTGAATTCGCCAAAGACCGCATTAGCTTAAATGTAATCCTTTGCATGTTATGAATTTGGCATGTTATGAATTCAGTTGATCCATGCTGCATGTGTTTTTTCTCTCGCACACTTTGATCGAATTCCTTTTATACCGCGACACAGTGTATTGTTTCACAATAAGGTATATCGATGTTTTATCATCTAGTGTTTTTTTAAGTAATGGAAACCTTTACCTTAACCTTCGATCCTTAACGTATTCTTTAAATGCGACTTTTTCGGTACAGGTGCTGGAACATACGGCGAATCGTACACTGAATTAAAGAAGTTGAAATACTTAATCAATTCTGTCCTTATTAAGTTCTTATGGTTTGGGAGTTGTGCAGTTTTTATTTTGATGTTTTATTTATTTGCTGGGGTGGGGTGGGACGTACCAACAGGAACCTGTTGTTATTTGTCTGTATTGTAAATTAAGTCCTCGATCACATGTTTAATTGTCACTCACAAATCGTCATGTGGTTGTTTTTTTAAATTAAAACGTTTTCGAAACAACTCGTTATTGGGTGACCAGGCTGCATTAAAATAAAAGGAAATTTTAAAATCGTGGGTATGATCAATAAGAAATTGGTTTAATTTATGTTTCGTATAAGTAATCATGTATGTACCCTTATCACTGACTTTAATAATGGGACGATTAGCCCCAAGTTACAGGCAGAATAACCAAGATGACTGTAAATAAACGATGAACGGTTGATGCGATACGGTGACAGGAGCGTCCATTTCAGTCACTCTGACGTTGTATAACAGGCAGCTGACCCGTACATGACCCTGCACTGCTAGTCATGGTCACTAACCCAGCTGCGGCATCAATATGTGTTGACAGCAATGTCATCACTTAGAGAGATAGCTTTAAGTTACATAACTCAGCGTGTACAATCTGTAATCTACCTTTCACAACCTTATCTCCTCAAAGTGCCTAGAATAAAGGTCAGGAGTATTTTAGGCGTCTTACTCCTGTGCATTTCGCAGGGAATGCTGCTATTCAAAAGGATCTTGTTTAGTACAGGACAGGCAATAACTGAATATTTTACCGACCTCGACACACAATGCCCTCGCTGCTCCTTGGACCCGATTATTTCACCCAGTCAAGCCTGTAAGGCAAACCTAACTGGGCTAGTGGTTGGTGTTATAGCGGGGGAGGATTCTTTTTTTTAAGCAAGTGTCGCCGGATATATTAAATACTACTTGAATACTATTAATATTCCGCATTTATCTCCAATTGTTTCCTTTCACGTGCGGTCCTTCTCTCACTCTCAAATACTCATGCGGTTGTCTTCCCAGCACTTTCTCGTGCGCATACCCGGGGTGTCTTGAGGAGAGACTTTCAAGCTCCGTGCTGCCAACCCCCTATCGATACGCGGGATTTCGGGAGGTGTGTGTGTGTGTGTGTGTGTGTGTGCGAGAGATGGCACCCTAAGACCCGCCCATACGTTCAAAGAGGCGGGCCGTCGATATACGGCTTTTATTTCGGGATAATCATTTACTCACATTGTTCTTGAGGTCGGAGTGACATGCAATGCAAACCACAACCCGGAAACATTTTCCTAACTGATACCCGCATTGTGATAGCTAGGTTAAACATGTGCACAGACATGTAGCGCAATGCCAGAGTTGTTGGTTGCAGAGACCATATATCGGTTTATTGTCTCTGTTGGTTGTCACTAATTTTCATAACTAGGTAGATATGCGTGTTAACAGTAACGACATGACGACGGTCGATAAAAAAATACCTGCTTATTTGTTCCAATCCCACACCGCTTGTCAACAAATTCCACTTTCCAATGAAAATTAACGGAAGCCAAATAACCGAGGCTCAAGTGGTGTGTAGCAGATGACCCGGTTCTGTGAAGCAAATGCGAAGGAACTATAGCGTTTACAAGCCTCCGCCAGCTGACAACTTGTGTAATTCCGGGACAGGCCGAATTGCGAAGGTTACGTAAAGGGGCGAATGCGCCAGCTCATTCGTCACCACTCGCCCCTTTCCGTAACCATTCAGCACAACTCGTGTCTTTTCCTGAACATTCGATATATTTCGTTATACATACACATTCGTGACCAACTCGTGTTATTCCGGGACAAGCCGGATTTTCTTGCAGGTTACGGAAAGGGGCGAGTGGTGACGAATGATACATACACATACATTTAGATTCCGCATTTGGATCCTCCTGGGCATGCTTTATATTCTCGGTTTGAACTCCGTTTCAGGTGACGGATTGTGAACTATGTACTAAGAAGGGTTTTTACACGACGCAGATATGTGCGTCCAGGACCCACACATGTATAGAATGCACGCAGAAAAACAAAAACATTGCTTCCTGACGGACACACATAATATATTCATTGTACCCAGTTCTGAACGAAGTTCCTGCAATAAAGTAATTATGTAATCTTATATCCCACTACATCACTTCATTACTTCACAGGACCCTATATATTTCCGGTAGGTATTCGTAAAATTATTTACTGGGGGTCCGCTGTAGCCCTAGATTTGTAGGTCAAGGTAAAATACTGAGAACTATTTGTAAGTCGTAAGGTTACTCCAGTGCAATTTCCACAGGTCTTGACACAAAGGATAGTGCGTAACAATGTGCGAGTTCAGTTGAGACTCGAGTAAGCACTTGAATACACACAGCATGTTCATATTTTGGTAAAAAAATGAAGGCCTGATTGGTTTCACCATCAATTTGGATGTTCTTAGGGGTGGGGGTGGAGGGATATCTTTAAAATGAATTATTCTCACGTTTTAGTCAAACTTAACATATATGATTGGTTAAAATAGCTCTCTCACGTTTTGAAGTAGTGACCACGCCCCACCCCCCGAAGTAAATTTGAAACATATAACATCTCTAATACACATAGAGATTTTCAAAATCCTTATACCAGGATAAAACTCATATGTACTTTCCAGGTACAAGAACTGATTTAAGGAACAATTCAGTCTTACCCTGGACCTCAGTATTACCTACTGTTTACGATATGTGTTTTCAGTTTACACTTAAACTAACATCTAGCCTCTGATATGAAACTATAATGCAGACAAAAACGGTAAATTATCGTAATACAATATAATAAATAGGAGCCCAGAGACTCTCTTCATTTTCTCAAACTGTAGTAATCTAGACTTGCGAACTTTTGTAGTCGAACGGGGTGTATTATATACCAGTAGATCCAGGGCCTTTATGAGAGACATTTGTGTACAGTGTTCAGTTTTGTTGATCAGATAACCTTAAACATGTCTGTTAAGTAACGGACATTGAGTTTGGCGATTTCAGGCGAATTACTATCATAATATTAAAACCCTTCTCATATATCATACATGTTACATCGATCATTAAATGCATATATTATATCTTCACATTTTTAGCGTGACTCTAAGATGAGGCAGGACAAGACGGGACTGGCCATGCAAAAATAAATAACATTGTGTGTGGCTAGGAGGTATCTCAAAGTGGGCAAATATTTGTTCAAGTATCACTTGTCCCCACCTTTTTTCAAATAAAACTGTTTTCTATTACATATCTAGGGGGCCACCTGGCTACAAAACATCCCGCCTTACATTATTCTATTGACTCAAATTTCCTAGAAATAGAGATATCGCTAATATGTGTGTTCCTACTCCGTGCACGTAACCCTACTGAACACGCATGATGCTTGTGAATCGCACATGGCGGACACATGAGATACTGAGTTGTGATGCCATTTTCTCAGAGACAAGTGACACTTTAATTTCAACCTTGATGATCAGTTTTGCCAAGTTTCATCTTTTAAATATGTCTCAAAGTATGTTTATCAGTGTTTGGACAAATAAAGTTTCTCATATATCTACCCATGGTGACGTTTCTTTTGCGATATTTTGTCCTATGCAAAAACAGATAAACGCAAAAGTGATTTTAGATTGTCAAAATTGGCACTCATCATTGTCATTGATCCAGGTTCCACGTGACACATGGAACAGTAGATTTTCAAGGTGACGGTCATCTGTTTTCAATATCTTGTATGGCCACCACCATTAATGTCCAGAACTGACATCATCGTCCCATGGAAGCACTCAGTTTCCGAATTGTAGCCTAGGGAGTGTTCACCCACTCCCGCAGTGCTTGTGCCAACTGTCGGAGGTTCTGTGGTGCTTGCTGACGTGCTCGCAGTCAGTTAACTCCCTTGCCTCGGAAAGATGAATCTGGACTAGACAAACCAGTGATTGATATTACGAGCGATGTCTGACCTTTTTCTTGTGTCAACCGCCAAGGGGTATGGCTTGGCTATTGTCAAACGCGGCCTAAACTCACCCACTAAACGAAAGTCAGTATAGAACAGTATATAGTACAGTGTAGTCAGACGTAAGTGTAATACGACATCCGAGTCACAGTCCGTCTCAGTGACGACTTGACATTACATCAATGCCACAAGTTAATTATGAAGCCCATTTCTGGTGTCCCCCGCCGTGATATTGGAATATTGCTAAAAGCGGCGTAAAACCAAACTCACTCACTCACTCACTCACTCACTCACAAGTTAATTTACATATCACCTGACCGGACTTTTCTCTTGTTTATCAACAAACGCGTTCATTCTAATACAGTGCTTCGACGACAGCAGGTGGAGCCGTACAACCAATGAAAAAAAGGATATTAGGATTTAGGATATTTTGTCAATGGAACTGTACATTTTATTACATATGCTTATCTAACTGTCTAGACTTTTCAAAAAGGAAATAGATGAAAAACATATGTAATTTGATCAATGGACTGTATATAATGTGACGAATCGTCACATCCCGCCGGCCTATGGCAGAGATACTAGACTGGGCGCAAGGAATTCTGGGTAGGAATGACCCCAAGTGTGCTGGAGTGGTTGGTTGTTTTTTTGTTTAAGGCCGCACTCAGCAATATTCTAGGTATATGACAATCTCATTAAAATCAGATCTTAGTTCTTGCTACCGCTAAACAAAGATCTGAGGACATCCCATTACAGGTCACGTCAGACCGACCTTGCGCGAACTTTGACCGACCAATGGAATGACCAATCAGAAGGCAGCTTTCTCGTGCTTTACGGCACTAATTTCAAATTGGCGACTACGCTTCGAAACATATTTTGACAAATTCTCGATTACAAATTTGAAACCTGATCAAAAGAACTTTCTGGAATGGCTAATAGATGGGCTAGATTGTATTGATTCAGTCGTTAAACCCGTAACTATCGTTCGGAATAAAGTTTTCAAGGTTGCATGATTAGAAATCACATTCCGACTGTCACTTTCATAATCTGGTAAGCGACGCTCCGATTGGTCGGATGAAAGGTCGTTCTGACGTGACCCCTAATGGGATGTCTTCAGATCTTTGTTTAGCGGTAGCGAGAACTAAGGTCTGATTTTAATGAGATTGGGTATATGACGGCTGTCTGTAAATGTCTTGTTGGCACCCAACACATTCACTCTCTCACTCTTAATATTTACTCCAAACCGAAGTTGCTCCTCGATAGCAATGCGCTTAATGTGACACGGTCTAATACACGTGTTGGGCCCGCTTAAAGTACGTGAATGAGTATGGTTTTACGCCACTTTTTAGCAATATAACAGCAATACCACAGCAGGGGGGGCGGGGGGGGGGGGGGGGGGGCACAAGAATGAGCTTGGTAAGAGGAAGTGGATTGACATCATGAGCATCGATCCACGCAATTGGGATACGATGACATGCATCGACCAAGTCAGCGAGTCTGACCACCCGATCCCGTTAGTCGCCTCTTACGACAGGCATAGTCGCCATTTATGGCAAGCATGGGTTGCTGAAGACCTATTCTACCCCGGATCTTCACGGGTCGTACTTTAGTAATACCCCAAGGGTTCAAACATGGCCATTACATGACATCAGTGCATTTGACCATAAACTCACGGCATCTTTTTCTTATTATTATTATAAATTAGTATTCGAATTGTATTCGAAGTTTGTTGCGTATGGTAATCCAACATAAATTAACCCCTGAGAGGCTGATATAGACGTTATCACTCGAGTGTGTTTGGGGATGGTAAATATCCTGCATTAGGAATAAACACTGTATTTATATACCTCTTGCCCCGATGGCATGGGTCGTTGCTCATGCTGTCAGTTACTGGTTTGCCTGGTCCATGATAATGGACAAGCCGTGATGGTATAGCTGAATCGTTACTGATTGAAAGTGTGCAGGGGGTCTATAACGGTTTGAAGAGAAGTCAGGTTGTCAAGGAAATGAAAGACGACAGTTTAAGATATATAGAAGTTAAACTTGACACCGAGAAGTAGAATGTGTTCAGAAGTCGACAATTAGAAGTAGGGGGTTTGTGTATAGCCGAGGAGGAGAAGAAAGTCGACATCTAGAAGTACAGGGTGCGTATATAGCCGAGGAGGAGAAGAAAGTCGACATTTAGAAGTACAGGGGGTGTGTACAGCCGAGGAGAAGAAGAAAGTCGACACTTACATGTACAGGGTGTGGTATAGCCGAGGAGAAGAAGAAAGTCGACACTTAGATGTACAGGGTGTGTGTAATAGCCGAGGAGAAAAAGAAAGTCGACACTTAGATGTACAGGGTGTGTGTATAGCCGAGGAGGAGAAGAAAAATAACACTTAGAAGTAGAGGATTTGTAACCAAGAAGGTCGCATAGTGAGTGATTTTAATTTAAGTCCTCTTTGAGGAGTATTTCAGTTATATCACGACGTGCGTGTCAGATTCATGTGGGAGTAAATCCGGCCAAGACCCGGGTTCGATTCCCTACACATGGGTACAATGTGTGAAGTCCATTTCTGTCGTGTCCCCCGTTGTGATATTGCTGGAATCGCTTTCGCTCGTCAGATATCAGAACTATTCACGAGTTTCATAAAATTGGTTTGACATTGGAGTAAGTTCAGTATTTTATTTATTACTTGCCGTTTATATATTTTTTAATATCACTGTCGTGTGTGAATAGGCAGACATCTACGTGATCCACAACTTACTCTAATTAAGTTTAACAGAACCATACTTCAAACACGTCAAAGGTTAATACATATTAATTTAATACCATACAACGGCCCACCTTCAGAATTCAGGGGTCCGTTCAACAAAGCTATCGTAATAACGCTAAAGTTATCATAAACCCCTGCTAAACATGGACTTATAAAATTACGACTGTCGTTACACTATGATCGACTTGTGGAACGGGGATCTGCACCACAAAATTGACAATCGCGTCACAATGCCCAATGACGTAATTTGTGGAATTTTGTTGCACGATCCACTGGCAAAACAATGCATTGCGACGTCAGCCTAGTGTAACGGCCATAAAATTTCCGAGTCCCGTGATGGGATTCGAACCACGGACCTTCTGATCAGAGGTTGAACGCCTTGTCCACATGACCAAAGAGGTTAACCCCGTCAGCTAGCTGACAAGGTAAGGATGTAATCTGTGAGATGACTCCACGCCCTGCTACACTAGCATCAAGATTGCTGGTCATCGTAAGCTGGTTCCCGGCTCCCTATGCGCGTCGTCAACTTGCCTATATTGTGATATTAGAGACGGGGCCCAGCTTAGGGTCATCGAGTGTGCATAAGCTCCCCAGTGATCGATCATCTCTACACGCAATGTCGTTGAATAGGTCAAAGGATGTTGAGAGCTTTCAATATTTGTTCGTGAAACTGGTTCTGACAGTACATAAGCACGCGTTTTGGTATTACCAGAGACCATATAATAAATTATTACATGGTCTCTAGCTGGTATTACCAAGGATAGGTCCGTGGTATTACACAATGTGTAATATAGCTGTATGTTTATTAAACGGGTGATCTCTTCACGGGCAAGTAAGAAATATGGGTACAATGTGTGTAGTCCATTTCTGTCGTGTCCCCCGTCGAGATATTGCTGGAATATTGCTAAACGCGGCGTAAAACCATACCAATTCACTCATTTAGACGTTTGGCAAATTGTGAAACCCACGAGCACTTATATATTGCTGACAAACCTAGAAACATAAACTAATACTACTTATAATACATGGTCCTGTTGGCGAAGCCATGCAGGTTACGGGAAAATGCGAGTCGCGATCATTCGGCTCAGGCAAGCTCCTCATAGCAATAATGGATTATGTCACGCCCTGTGTTGGAGCTTGAGGTCTTATATTTCTAAGGGACGCAACTCTGAATCCTTGTATATGTCACAATCTATTAAGAATGCTTTATAAACATACCATCATTCAAATACGCAACTTTGTTTGCAGGGCGCAGCTACAGTAGAACCAGTTTGTTTTATTGTTTTGCACCATGCCCTCGAAAGTACCCGTTTCGTTTTAGTGATGCTGTTTCGGTTTTTTAAAACACTCGCTTAGGTTTTTGTCATCAACCCATGTCATGTTGGCGAAACACGTGCGACCGTTAACTGAGTTGAGAGGCTTGATTGGCGAAGCGGTGAGATATTTGACAACAGTGACAATAACTCACAGTGGTTCTGGTATTTCATCAGCTTCAAATTCACATCTCCAGCCACGGCCAAATATATATGTGAGGACTCGGCAAGGATTATCCACTGTGTCAAAGATGAACGGGGACCTAGTTCACGATGTGAGAATATATTTATATCAGTATTATGGTTATCGCTATAAGCCTTTTTTAAGTTCATTCGGTGCAGTGTTTCTAAGTTCTCATTTTGATCGGATTCTAGGTCATTCCATATTTTAATGTACGCAGTTGATAACATTCTACATTCGGGCAGTAGGCCTATAGATACAGATCTATACGAATATAAAATGTGAAAGTAAGAGGATTTATACGTTCATTACTCGTGTTTTAGGGGTAGATCTAGGTGTTGTGAGTGTGTGATGCACTATAAATGTACTGAAAATAATTTACGGTTCACTAATTCTTGTCTCTTGCGATATAGATATGACCTATTATTCGTATTCCCTTCCCTTCCCCCCCCCACCCCGGCATGAAATGCGGTGGGATAAAGACTTGTCGACGGCTCGATCAACTGTCTGTCTGTCTGTCAGTCCGTTCGTAATCAGAGCGTTCGGAGCATAACTCGAAAACCGTTCAATATGTTTCAACAAAAACTGGCAGATATATCAAACAGATCCTGAAGTGGTGCCTTTTGCTATTTACGGATTTTTGACATTTTTATTCTTCTCGAATTCCATGGTTACAGTTTGGATTTGGTGTCAAAAGGGTAGATCTAGTCGTTTCAGGAGCAGAACTAAAAACCTTTTCTACATTTTTTCATCCAAACTTGTTACATGTCTTAATCAAGGACTGAAGTGGTGCCTTTTGCTATGTAGGAATTTAAAAAATATCAATTGTTCCTGTTTCCATGGCAAAAAGTTTGACATTTACTCTGTTCATAGTTGTGTGTACCTGACATAGAAATACAAATTTCCGAATCTCAATTCCGTGGTACTGTTTTAATAGCTCAATAAATACTCTTGTATATGGACAGACGGATGACATAGAAATTCTCTCTCATCAGTTTGGACTTACAGTAACAGTCAGGTAATTTAATTATACCCTATAGTGTGAGGCCCTCCAATCCAAATGGGATTCTGTTTGTTTATCCGAACAGGATTGGTTAGAAAGTTTTTGATAAACTGCATCGTAACTATAAACGCTTGTATCAGTTACAAGAACAACAGCGCTTGCTTGATAAATATAAACATCATGACAGCCGCAAATTTTGGAAAATTATTGCCAAAATAGGTATTGCAATTGATAGGCGAGGGAGGGAGGTAATTTATGATGGAAGCGTGATCACAAACAAGGAGGATGTTCTTGATATTTGGAATTTAAATTAGCTGTTTATTTAATGCTGATCCATTAAATACGTTTGATGATGCTCATTTTCAGAAACTTAAATCTGAAATTAACAGCGACGTAGTAGAATATCCTCCCTTCAATGCTAGTCAACTAAATGTACCAATATCTCGTGAAGAAGTTGTAAATGCACTCGCCTGTGATAAATACAGCAAAGCGGCGAGATCCGATCTTATATCTGCAGGAGCTCTTAAAAAAAGTTCCTGTTCGAATATTTTGCTAAGGCTTTTTACTTTTTGTTTTGAATATAATATCTGTCCTGATATTTGGTGCCACAGTATTATTTCACCAATCCTGAAATCAGATGCCGATCCCCGGGACCCACTTGGATACCATGGGATCTCCTTAATATCAGTACCCTTTAAAGTTTATTCTGATATTTTAAACACACGTGTTACAAAGTAATACTATTTTGGCCAAAGAGCAGAATGGATTCTGTAGTAAGCAGAACGCTTCAGAGCATATATACTCCTTACATTCTGTTATTGATAATTGGAAATTTTAAAAATGCTCAATATATGTATGTTATATAGGTGCATGGAAGGCGATTGTCCCTGTAAACAGGGATTGTCTTTGGTACAAATTACTTAAACTTGGTGTTAACGGAATATTTATTTCTGCAGTGAAATCGTTATATGATAGCATTCAATCCTGTGTGTCCCTAAACAGATACTTGACAGAGGATTTCCCTGTTTACAGCAGAATGAAGCAGGGATGTGTGTTATCACCAACACTTTTTTCCGTGTTCATAAACGACTTGGCTGAGGAAATTAATGACTTCCACTGTGGTGTTGACATCAGCAATGATTCTATGCTTAGTTTACTCTTATATGCCAATTATATTGCTCTCATAGCCGGCGACAAGCACTCATTACAACGAATGCTAAATTGTGTTGATAATTGGTCCATTATACACAGCATTCTGTTACGTGTTATAGTGTCAGTTTTCATTGTGGGGGAGAGAATATTGAAATTTGTAATGCATATAAATATTTGGGACTTTGGCTCCAGGAACACCAAGATTTAAATTTCACAGATAAACAAATTGCTAAATCGGCTGGAAGGGCCCTCAGTGTAATTATAAGTAAATTTAAATTAGTTGGAGGAATGACCTATGATGTTTTCAGTACTTTGTATGATAATCTTGTATCTTAACGTATGGTGCAGCAATTTGGGGAACCAGAGAATTTAGTTGCATAAATGCCATCCAAAATAGAGCCTGACGCTTTTTCTTAGGTGTAGGAAAAACTACTCCAAATTTGGCCACAAGAGGTGAGATGGGTTGGTTATCATTTATTATGACTAAACACTAGGGCTGTAAGGTTGTGCTGTATGCTTATTTCGTATTGTCGGGTTTAATTCTGTGTGTATGTGTGTTGTATAGTTGGGAGTGTGTATATGCGACAGTGGATTGTTACTTTGTTAGTGTCTTTGTACGTGGTTGATGCTTCTTTTTGTGGAAGTGGGAAAGGATGTGTGAGTGTGGGCATGCTTGATAATGCAGGTAAGGGAGTTGGTATGGATGTGGGAATTGGTATAGGTGAGGGTATGTTTGAGAAATAGGGTGTGAGTGAGGGTACTGTGTGACAGTGTGGCTGAGGGTTTGGATGTGATTGAGCGGTTGTCAATAAGGGTTTGGATGTGTTTGAATGAGGGTTCGGATGTGATTGAGCGGTTGTCAATGAGGGTTTGGATGTGTTTGAATGAGGGTTTGGATGTGTTTGAGTGGTTTGAGTAATCTGCTGTGAGTGAAGGAACGGATGTGGTTGTGTGTGTATATAGTATGCTTGTACAGGGGATATTATGAATATTCAGTCCTGGCAATAAAGTCTTAGTGTTGCTTCCAATCCCTGGTCAACCATTACGTGCTTGGTTCCACAGTCTGTATGTTATTGACAGGAAAGTCAGTGATAATGACCATTAACATATTAAGGGTGTGCGGTATTGTAGCAGGGCAGTGAATGAGTGATAGGCAAACACTCGCTACGGATGAGAGACGTTTATTCCGCCAATGGATTTGTCATATATTTATCTATCTATTTTGAATGATTTCACTTGTCAACTTGTCTGTTTAGGAAATGATCCAGGCCCACAAGATGGCTGTGTATTTATTGAGTAAACATCATGTTGTACCAGCATCTTGTTTTGTTCCATTTATGAACTTGAATTCATTGCTTAATGTATCAGATTGCTACTGCAATTTATTATTATTCAATATTTTGTGATACATATCACGTTACAGCCTTGTGCGTCGCAAAATATTGTGATACACTTTAAACCTCCACTACCCATCCCTACTGACTATGTTGTACAAGCACCAGGCCGCCCTAAAAAGACGCAGCTTTGTTATGTCTATATGAATAGAAAGTATCATGAAAGAAATGACAATGTACCGCCTACTCAGTGAGTTGCGACTGTTTCCCCTGTGGATATTCTGATGCTGATGAGAATTGTGACTTTGTCAAGTTTGATGGCATAGCCGACTGTGGTAGCCCAAAGCTAAACAATTCTGAAGTGTTAGCTAACTTGGATGCTAAGTTAGGTCTATTGTCATCTGAGCTAATGGCTTTAAGTGTCAGAGTTAATTCAAGGTTAGGCTCACTTGTTCATGGATGTTCCTGTCCGTACAGATGTAGTGTGTATTGATGTAGATGGTAGTGACACTGGTGCTGGTGCTGGAGCTGTCCTGTTGCGGAAAGATGCATCAGGTTAGGATCAGCGTGTTCATTATTATATTCATGAAAATTTGACAGGCTTCAGAGAAATTATTCCACCATTGATATAGAAACAGTCATGTTTCGTTTCCGGAGCATAACTCAGAAACCGTTCAATATTTTTTCTTGAAACATTGCAGGTCTGTCAAGTACATGCTGAACTGGTGCCTTTTGCTATTTAGAAATTTTAGAAATTTTTATTTTTTACGTTTCCATGGCAACAAGATGGACTTAGTTCCAAACTCTAGTTCCAAAGTTCCACCTCGGTTAAAAAAGGTTAGGGTTTGTTTAGATTTAATTATGTCATAAATTCTGCAACATGGGCGGGGGATATAGCCACGTAAGTGGCAAACTCTTGTTAGCTTTGCAACAGTCTGAAGTGTACTTGGGTTCTACTTTCTTTGCTATTCAAGTGTACGCTGATCACAATCCTATGACTTTTCTCCATTAAATGAAGAACAAAAACCAACGCCATGTGCGCTGGAGCCAGTCTTTTCAATAATTTGATTTGGACGTCAAGCATATCAAAGGCTAGGACAACGTGATTGCTGATGCATTGTCTCGAGTTGGTTGAATGTGATGGTTCTAACTGCAAACATGATTTGAATTTTGTAAACATTTCTCATAATTATCATGTATGATGTTTACTATTATTTTCTGTACTTTGCAGTTTTTGTACTCATGTATTCACCATCATGTTCATTTTAGTGACTATCAACATGATCAAAGATCATTTTAAACAATTTCCACTCTGTAGTTACCACACTTTTACCCTGTTTGTCATCACCATGGTTACAGCACCTCATGGTTTTATCTTCGATTACAATAAGGGGCATCAAGGGGACCCCCATTAATTTATTTCAAGGGTCCTGACCAATCTCATTAAAATCAGATCTAAGTTCTCGCTGCTGCTAAACAAAGATCTGAGGACATCCCATTACGGGTGACGTCAGAACGACCTTTCTCGAACTTTGACCGACCACTGAAACAACTAACAAGAAGCCAATTAGAAAGCAGCTTTCTCAAGCTTTACGGCACTCGTTTCAACCTGGCGACTTCCATTTCAGACTACGCTTGAAAAATATGTTGACACAGTTTTCGATTAAAATTTTGAAAACTGAACAAACGAACATTCTTGAATGTCTAATATATGGTTGCGATTGTATGGCAGTACTTCCCACTTACTGTGCAACGCCTCCTCCGTTCAAATGTTTATACCATGGAAGTGAGAGATAGATGATAATTTTGACGGAATCAGTCGTAGGGGCCATAACTGTCGTTCGGAATACACTATGTTAACGTTTTCGAGTTTGCATGATTAGAAAACACATTCCGACTGTGACTTTCATGATCTGGTAAGTGACGCTTTGATTGGTCGGATGAAAGGTCGTTCTGATGTGACCCGTAATTGTATGTCCTCAGATCTTTGTTTAGCGATGGCGAGAACTAAGATCTGATTTTAATGAGATTGGGGTCCTGACTGGAGATATGACGGTCCTGTAAAGTAATGAAATGTGGTGTACTGTATGTACATGCTATAAGATTAGATAGTTATTTTAGTTACAGGACCTATATATTTCTTGTCAATAATTTGGTTGAATGAATATTATCGAATCTCTTGCAATGTCTGTTTGTCTGCTTTCATGATATACATTTATACATTCTGGATGCTTGTAAAACACTAGCACATACTTAAATCAAATTACATGTTTGTGTTCTAGTCATGGTAGTAGTTGTACTAGCAGGGATGCAACTCAATCTCATTAAAATCAGATCTTAGCCTGCTGCCGCTGAACAAAGATCTCATTAGTGGTCACGTCAGACCGACCTTTCGCGAACTCTGACCGACCAGTGGAATTACTGACAAGATGTCGACATTAGCCAATCAGAAGGCAGCTTTCTCGTTCTTTACAGCACTAGTTTCAAACTGGCGACTACGCTTCGAAACATATTTTGACAAATTCTTGCTTAAAAATTTGAAAACTGAACAAAAGAACCTTCTCAAATGGCTTATTTATGGTCTAGATTGTATAGATTCAGTAGTTAGGCCCGTTATTATCATTCGGAATACCATGTTTTAAAGTTTACGAGGCTGCATGATTAGAAATCACATTCCGACTGTCACTTTCATGATCTGGTAAGCTGCGCTCTGATTGGCCGGCTGAAAGGTCATGACGTGACCCCTAATGGGATGTCCTCAGATCTTTGTTTAGCAGAAGCGAGAACTAAGATCTGATTTTAATGAGATTGGGATGCAACTTGGCACTAGTCTGGGTTTGTCTAATGTTCAAGTAACCTCGGAACTTGTAGAATTGCATGTGGGTTAGCATGTTTGGGGATGTCCAATCATGGAACCACTTGAAGAGCTATTCAGTAATTCCAATTTTAATTGCATCCCTGATTAATTTGCTAAATCAAAAACATAACAAATAAAACAAAACATAACAAGGATGACTCATTGTTGCTTTCAGAAAACTCGTGTGGAGCAGGACAGTTTCGGTGAGATTAAGGTGCCATCTGACAAGTATTATGGCGCAAACACAGCACGCTCCCTTATTAACTTCGATATCGGCGGGGAAACTGAGAAAATGCCGGTGAGGACACTGTGATGATTTTCAGAATAAATAGGTCATCAGATAATGGGTAAATTTTTGTATTTGTAAAATTTTTATAACATCACCAGTGATCACAATGAAATCACCCAAGTATTACCTTTCAATGTATAGTCTGTGTACTTACCAGTTCATGTTTATGGATGCAATATTAAACATGTTAAAAAGGCTGTTTTACAAAGACATGTTTTATTGTGCGTCAATTTTGAAAGCATTCTCATTGTGAGCATTCTCTTACACAATTACGAGTACAATATTGTCATGTAAAATCATTGGAATGACATATATGAACATGTCAGCAAACTTAACATTAGAAAAATGTGGCAGATATCAGTGTTAGTCAAGCGATAAATGGTTTCATTGTTCTGATCTGCCATGTTTGAAAACTTGCACACACACTCAGTCACATAACCATTTATAGTACAATCACATTATATACCACGGGTGGTCAGGCTGGCTGACTTGGTTGATGCATGTCATCGATCCCAATTTGTGTGGATTGATGCTCATGATATTAATCACTGGATTGTCTGGTCAAGACTCGATTATTTACAGACCGCCGTCATGTAGCTGGAATATTGCTGAGTGCGGCGTAAAACAACAAACCAATCAACCAACATTATATACCATGTACTTTAGACATACAAAACATGCAGTTCCACAAATTAGGCATACCGAAAACACTACATCCACAATCCAATCATATCGCCATTGTCAGTTTCAATGAAAGGAAAACAAATAAAACAACGACATTTTCAGGACATAGTACATGTAGTATCCATGAGCAATTTACTCACTGCTTAAAGGTACAGTTGTCATCATTTTAGAAATTTTACGATAAAATGTGAAACAGTAAGGGTAACTAAGTCACAGAGTTTAATCAATCGCTCATAATTCTTATTCATTTCATATGTGGAAAAACACTGTTGATTACTACAAGCTCTTCCAGTCAAGGGGGCACGGGTGGCCCAGTCGTCTAAAGCGCTGCGGTTCGCTGCGCATCCATTGGGCACGCCAGAAACCTATGATCATGGGTTCAAATCCCAGTTCGCCCCGATTATGTTTCTAGGTTTGTCAGCACCTAACCCGTGCTCATGGGATTCACCGAAGTGGTAAACGTCTCAGACCTGCATCACTTTCCTCCCCCATTAACAGGGTATGAAACTCCCAAAACTTTCAGCCAGACCACAGGACTGGCTAGTTGAAATACTTACCAGCCCTGACCAAAACCTGCCTGCCCACTATAATCATATGTTTCTCAGGATAAGCTTACGGGGTTTCTTTTTGGTTACATTTTATCATTCATCTTTACATGTGAATTAATGCTTATCAATCGGGAAATATTTAGAATGTTTTCACATATGAAATATAACCCGACCGTCGGGCAGGGGAATTTGAAAATCTGGCAGCCCGAGTTGAAATCAACCCGTCTCGGACGGTCGGGCAGGCAGGTATTTCGAACACTGCCATTAAGCTGACACGCTGCGATATAACTGGAATACTGTTAAAAGCAGCGTTAACCCCAACTCACTCACTCACTCCCTTCCAGTCAATGTTTATGTGTCAGTCATGACCATAATCATAAAAAGACAATCTGTAGTATCGTCTCCACAGAGCCATGCTTAATCGCAATGACACACAGTCGATAAGAATGGCAATACTGGACCCAACAATCTTCATTGCAGACTAAACATCTTTGCTTCTGCCAATAACTGTACATTAGTAAAAAAATATATTTTCCTTACCTATTGGCTGCCAGTTCAAATATGGCAGAAAAATGCGGAGAAGAGTGGTAACCACTTTAATAATTTCTCCATATTTCGCAATCTTTAGAATTATATAATACATGATACTGGTGATGATGGTTATTATGTTTATGGGGGCGGTCGGGTAGCCTAGTGGTTAAAGCGTTCGCTCGTCACGCCGAAGACCCGGGTTCGATTCCCGACATGGGTACAATGTGTGAAGCCCATTTCTGGTGTCCCCCGCCGTGATATTGCTGGAATATTGCTAAAAGCGGCGTAAAACCATACTCACTCACTATTATGTTTATGTGGTGCACTCAAGTGTTTGGTATCTTAATTCACAGTCGTGAAGGGACATTTTCTTGTGATCAGGTTCTGTGGCACAAAGGGGGTTGTATAATGAGAGACCATGTATGGTCCCGTGGCCCCAAGAGGGTTAATATGATGCACACTGCTAGCAACCTGTCCAAAATCTGCTTATATGTGGGTTAGGGTTGAGGATTCTTGTCAGTTTTAGTCTAGCTGACACAATATTGATCATAGTAATCATGAAGGGGTAATTATTTGTAATAGATCTTCTTCAACATGTTCAAGTGTTTGGTTACTATATGGTCAAATCGATACATACACAGTTATGTAATTTTTAAACTTATCCTGTCTCACACTATGCATTCCTCTTTACTCTTCGATCCTGGCGTGGAAACATCATAGAACCAAGTTTGCAGCTTTAAAAGAACAACTCGCCCAAACACATCCCATGTATCAGCACTATCACCACTGTGTTCATGCATCACGCACCACTGCAATCCTGTGTGATGAAGGGTACGGTAATCTCCTCTGTTACAGTGCCTCCTTCATCTTCTCGCAAGACTTTTTCCATGACAATTACGTCATTGTCAGTTGAAGAGGACACTCTCTCCAACTCTTTTCTTACTGCCAACCTACCAACTTCACCGAAGACAATGCCTGTGCATGGGAGGGATCCTAGTCAATCAGCTGTCCTGCAATATCATGGTATCTTGCTTTGAAGGATATACAATCGCCTCAGAATCGAGGGATTGACTGGTTGTCAATTATCACCTGATCGACAGCTTTCTCGGACTCAGTCACCAGACAACACACTGGATTGCCAACTGTCGTCAGAACCTTATCTATCAACTGATCACCTCCCATCAATAGATCATCAGATCGCAGGATCAACTCCTGAAGGATCAACAGGTTGATATGACAGATCGTCACTTGGGAGGTCTTCTTTCTTCAGATCACCATCAAGATCAACAGATCGCTATGACGACTGATTGTCCAGCCCTCAATAGATTGACATCAACACCTCAATACACAGTTCAACAACTTTCATCGGATTGTCAATATCCCAATGATCATCAAATCGATAGATCCTCGACACACAAGGAATCAACAGGTTGAATCTGTGATGGATCGTCAGCAGTAATGAGATTGACATTCTCTAATCGATTGTGGTTCGCAAGTTTGTCAAGATCGACACTCGGCGGACACCCATCTCGAAAAACATCATGGGATCGTCACACATCTCAATGTCACTCAGGCAATCATTGTGATTCTTCGGATCGACAAGCATGACCAGATCAACAGAGGGACATCGATTGAGGTTCGACAGGTCAACGTAACCGGAGGGACCGGCCTGCATCCAAAGAGCATCTTGGTCCTTACAACTCGACGAATTCCTAACAGCAGGACCTTCTAATGATCGTTATGCTCTTTCAGATTGACAGAACTCTACAGGACTACCATGATCTTCTTATCGGGGACTCACCATCGGAAGGTCACTATGACACCTCAGTATGTGGTGCTTCTCTGGCTCGTCCTCACTCCCTGAGGGATCGCCGTCGACTGTGATGGCTTTTCTTCATGGGATCACTTTTTGCCTAGTACACTTGACGACCTCGGCGCTTCCCTGATACAGATCACACAGATCCATATGCCTGTAATATCCTCCTTACATCATGGGATATTTGATCTGACTCTGCTTCGTTTCCGGTTCAAGCAATCTCTACAGTATTGGAGCAACATGGCTTCTCTTCCGACAAGACTCCTCTGGCTACTACGACCCGATCCTTACAACCATGTGATTTACAGTCACCAGTCTCCTAAAGTGGAAGTTGTTGACCCTTCAGTCATGCTGTACTGGATCTCTGATCAACTGGACTTACGACATAGTGTCTCTGAAGACGATCAACGTTCTGGATTTGTGGACTCTAGCTCGGCCTCTCTAACGCTTAAGTCAATCTTCACTGATGTAGGAGCAAAATTGGATTTGGCTTTTGCGTCCTTCTGACGTCAGAAGGACAGGTTACTGGCTCAGTGGGACGCACTGTATGGCATCCATTCATAGTGACATTCTCGTCATTAATCTGAAACGATTTACACATTCTGCTATTGTCAAAGATTAGGACTTAGCTCTCCTGGAGCAGACTGTCTGTCTCACACTTCCCTTCCTCTCGACTGTACTCTCTGCTACAGAAGCTGTCGCCTTATCTGTGGCCCATGCCCACTCATCGGAAGGACCATGTTTGTAGGGCCATGGCTTTGGCCAACGAGAAGTTTTCTCTCGTCATGGTTCTTCTGTCACATTGTGTGAGACCTATTATCACTGTATGGGCTGCGACTTCAGAGATATCGCTGACAACCATCTACATTTGGATGCGCTCTATCATCCTAAGAGCTTACCACTATTCGTGATGACTTACTCTGGTTGCATCCAACCCTCATGAAACACGGGCAGTGGCTTCCACCTTGACATTGCACATCAATTTTACTCTCGGAGCCATCATGGAGGGATGCTTTTGACAGTCTCACACAGTCTTTTCCTCTTATTACTGGCGGCATGTCTCGGTCGCTGATGTCTAAAGTCTGCATCACTTTGGTCCACTTGTCCACAGCAGCCCGTCAGCTCAGATAAAGATACTTCACGTGCTACAGTCCTGCATCTCATCTCCTGTATATAAGTCAATAAATACTTGAAGTTATTTACATGGTCTTCTCATTTCTACAGGTTCCCAGTCAAATTCCCGGATGGAGGGTACATGTGCTTGTCTGTTGAGACTCTGGTCTACATCATAGAAGTCACCATCCGGTGCAGCCATTTGTTTAAATGGTGTCCAAATCTTCTACCTGCTCACCCCTGTCTTGTGATGTCTCCGTAGTTGATTGCAGACACATCTGGGCATTGTCGATTGTTCTCCTTCTCATTCTCAGTGTACTCAATCTCAGCGGTTGTGATTGATAGCTGTGATGAAGCAAAAAAAGATGCCAAGTTGGTCTGTCTTATAGAACCTAGGAAAGAGGTGTTTCTAACAATACTCCCACTCTTACGCGGGTTGAGGTTAAGTCGTGACTGAGTTGGCTTCACCTGTCTCAAACGCATTAGTTCTTTGGATCGACATGCTTTATGAAACCACAGAATACATGATTACCCAAGATAATGCTGTCTCTGTCTTGGTAGCTGAAAGAGGGTTTTCAGAAGCAACCGTCACAAAAGTTTTTTATCCATCTGGACTGTGCCAATCCTCAGATCAACAGGGTTTAGAACCAGCTTACTAATGTACATCTCTCCCGGTTGACGTCTATTACAAGCAAGAGTATCTGCGCCACATCATCCAACCCATGGGATAAATGCATAGTGTAAGATAGGATAAGTTTAAAAACTTGATATTTTTACAATAAATTGTATATTTATATACTTATCCTATCTCACACGCTTAACACCCACCCAACCATCCCTGCATCACAGCTACTCCAGCCTGTACGCTCCCCAAAGAGAATGAGGGTGCAGGGAATATCAGGTGATCGAACTGCCAGGGGTCACATCGTACCGGATAGCAGTTCTGGGTGACCCATGAACACAGTGGTGATAGTAGTGATGCATGGGTTGTGTTGAGGTGAGTTGTTTACTTTTAAGGTGGAAACTTGGTTCTAGGACATTTCCACACCAGTATCAAAGAGTAAAGAGGAATGAGATAGCTGAAGTATATAAATATACAATCTCTTGTTAAATTTTCATTTTTTTTATTTGTGATTAAATTATTTAGGGGACTATTTGCTCATCAGTCACTTAAATGAAAGTGAGAAGATATGTTGTGCACAAGCGATGACTTTTGGATATCTGTATTTTGTAAGGGGTGTCTCTCGATGCGGTGTATGTAGACACAGCTTTTCAGAGATGACCTTATAGTAATTGGGTAATAAAGAAAATAACCCACTTGGCATGGAGTACGGATGATATATCCCTCATGCAATAAACTTTTATTCTCTAATAAGCTGTTGTTGCATCACCAACAGATCCCAGTCATTCAAGCGTTTGGCATCTTCAAGCGATGTGCAGCTACAGTCAACACAAAGTTTGGACTGGACCCCAAGTTGGCTGAGGCCATCAAACAAGCTGCTGAAGAGGTTATAAAACTGTTACATTTTTTCATCAATGTTGTATGTTGTTTACTTGCAAGAGATATAATGACTCCTTATGTTTGTGCTGGGTTCTTATCAAGAACATGAAGAAAAAGATGCTGACATTTATTGTATGGTTTACAGGTGTTAATGCCACATGCATGAACAATGTCTTAACAAGAAACATGTAGGATGTGGTAGACTGTTTTATTGGGAAGCCTTTCTGATGTGTATTGTCAACTATTGTACCTCAAAGACCTCTTGATCAGTTTCCCTGGGTGATCAAATACTATTTTTAGCTTCAGCAGCACTCCAATCGGCATGTGGCTAATTTCCCTTGTAAACGCTATTCAATTTTATCATCCTTGTCACATATCATAAAAATGACAAATTTTAAATAGAAATTTTGAAATTGTCTTGATTTTCTCATCCCTCAAAGCCGTTATTTTTTACATATGAAAAAAAAATAGTTGAAGTCGGGTTATGTTTTCAATTTTTTTTAACACCAATAAAAGCCTTGTTATAATAATAAGAAAGGCCCGATATTATGTTATCAAGTCGGTTCTTCCTGTACACATCAGGTAGCAAAGGGTAAGCTGAACTCCCACTTCCCCCTAGTTGTGTGGCAGACAGGGTCAGGGACTCAGACCAACATGAACGTGAATGAAGTGATCAGCAACCGAGCCATCGAGATCCTTGGGGGCACCATGGGAACCAAGACACCTGTGCATCCTAACGACCACGTCAATATGAGCCAGGTAAGTACCAGAAACGTCCTTACTCATCACTGAGGGATGTCTCCCATCAATTGTAACTTAAAAAGTCTAGATGGTAAAAATAGGTCTAGTTAGCTGTCAGCCATCTTCCCGAGGCAAGAGAGTTAACTGACTTTAAAAGTCTAGTTTCCCACCCTTGCCGAACTAGGCTGGAATTACTGGGCTCGATCCTAGCGCCACCAGTGACTATTACCAGTTATGTCTATTCTAAGCCTCACCTATGGACCAATCAGATTCCACCTCTCGTATCACTTGCGTTTGCTTCACTCATAATGGTGGCGCCCAGTCAGGACGATCTGATCGATAATCAAGATCTATATTGTGATAAAACGGGTCTTACATCGCGAAATGCATCAAATCACCTGAGCACCTTGATTAAAAACATGAACAGATTTGGAAAATATCTGCTGACAACGAGTTGGCGGTGCACATGTTTTGCAAATCCTGCAATTGACCGAAATCTGCTTGACAGTTTACGAACCGGATTTAGATTTTGGTGCACGATTTTGATTGGACTGTGCATAGACTCGTTAGTCCAGCCAAACTGTAACTCCATAATACCTGCCTAGTTCGGCAAGGGTGGAAACTGGACTTTTATTGTCAATTAACTCTCTTGCCTCGGGAAGATGGCTGTCAGCATTAGGATGATTCCTTTCTAAACATAGCTATGTTTGTTGTTACAAGCAACTAAATGGGATCGAGTAGTCAGGCTCAGTAACGTGTTGATTGCACGTAATCATACTCTAGCAGCCTAGGACACTGCTCACTATATCAACCACTGGATTGTCTGGTCCACACTCCTAATCATTTACCGGATGTCATCATGTAGCTGAAATATTGTTCAGTGCAGTGTTACGTACAACAAAACAAGACAGACTAATACAATTTTCTGTGTGTACCAGTTCCAAGTTCCACACATGTAAATCGTGTTAGTTCTGACTTCTACAGCCTGCAGTTAAACCAGGCCCAAATTACTGTCTAAAATTGTTCTTTAAGTAACAGATTCTGCAAAGTTAGGACCGCCTCCGTGGTCTAATGGTAGAGTGTCCACCTGGAGAGCGGAAGGTCCGGGGTTCGATCCCCTGCCGCGTCATACCAAAAGACGTTAAAAGATGGTACTTGTTGTTACCCTGTCTGGCGCTCGACATTAGGGGCTAAAACAAGCACTAGTCGGCTCAGAGTCAGTATACTGTGTCTGAGTGGGGTATTCATGTTAAACTGCGGCATGGTATCTCAGTATGCTAGCACTATAAATCGGCATCAGTCCGGACTAGTACAAGCAGCCACACACACAGGCACACACACACTGGCACACGCACGCGCGCACACACACACACACACACACACACACACACACACACACACACACACACACACACACGTGCATGCACGTCGCTATATAAGTGCAATAATCTTGGACGTGACGTTAAACCCCATTTCACCTCACCTACAAAGTTAAAGTGCCCTATAAGCTAACTGTTGTAAGAGTTTGAGAAAAAGATTACAGAAATAGTCCTTAATACCAGGTTCAAAGCCAGGGGAGATGTGATTTGGGTTTTTCACTGTTACTTATCCCTCTTTCTGTCATTGGTATATTCAGGAAGGTTGCACCTATATAATCTTAAACAAATTGGTATAAAATCCTTTCATTTAGTGGAAATATGATCATATATGATGATAAAAATGTTCTAGTCATAATGTCCATTTGGTTAGGAACTAATTGTAAGGTGACAATGCTTGTCGTAAGAGGCGACTAACGGGATCTGGTTGTCAGGCTCACTGACTTGGTTGATGCATGTCATCGTATCCCAATTGCGTAGATCAATGCTCATGACATCAGTCACTAGATTGTCTGGTCCCGAATCATTTTGTACAGACCACCGTCAAATGAATAAATAAATTGTATTGCATTACTTCCTTGCCATGGTAGAGAATGGCTCCAGGGTGTTTATCATGGTGGAGTAGAGATCTATATAATATGCTGTTTAATGGAATATTAATACTGACTTGGTACATTTCAGAGTTCAAATGACTCCTTCCCTACAGCCATGCATATAGCAGTTGCAACAGAAATCAACAACCGTTTGTTGGGCAATCTCCGACAACTGCATGAAGCACTCGAGGCCAAATCCAAAGAGTTTGCAGACATTATCAAGATTGGGAGGACGCACACACAGGTACACGATTTGTTCAGTAAACTTAAAGGAGGACTACATTCCACAGTCTGGTGCCAATTATTAGCATCGGTCTGGACACTGTCCTGTGTGGACAATCTGTTGCTGATCACATGACACAGGATGCACTATCTTTGGCGTCCATTCCAGAGCTACAGATAAGTTGCATATATGCGTAAAGTATCCCCCCCCCCCTGCAAACTATTCAAAACGTAATTACTTTCAATTATCATCATGCGTATAACAGAGCTAATTTCCGAAACACAATTACAGGCTTATTTACTTTCTGATTCAAGCCTATATTTAGAGCAGTTTGTACATCTAAATCATTATTTCATTTTTTTTGCCAGCTTGTAATATCGGCATTAACTTGACTCCTATTCTCTGTCACTATCCCGCTTGTAATATCTGCACTCCGTTGACTCACATTCTCTGTCACTATCCATCTTGCAATATCTGCACTCCGTTGACTCACATTCTCTGTCACTATCCATCTTGCAATATCTGCACTCCTTTGACTCACATTCTCTGTCACTATCCAGCTTGTAATATCTGCACTCCGTTGACTCACATTCTCTGTCACTATCCGGCTTGTAATATCTGCACTGCGTTGACTCACATACTCTGTCACTATCCGGCTTGTAATATCCGCACGCCGTTGCTCACATTCTCTGTCACTATCCAGCTTGTAATATCTGCACTCCGTTGACTTACATTCTCTGTCACTATCCAGCTTGTAATATAGTTGAATGAATAGATTCAAGCATGCTGGGCTGACAATTCGCCTGCACCTAGTGAGTGAGTGAGTGAGTTGGGTTTAACGCAGCTTTGAACAGTATTCCAGTTATGTCATTTTGTGTCGGCTTCATCTCGGAAGGAAGTCTATAGTGATGCAGGTCTTTGACATTCGGGTCTTCAGTGAAACACATGAGCACATGTATGCTACTCTACACAGTAAATTGCATCGCCTCAGACTACTCATGCCCCCTCTGCACTTAGTCATCCTGTAAATTAACGCGTTAAAAGCTATGTCCCATGTGTGTAAGCATGGTCCAGGTAACCTGGCACTGATCAGCTCCATATCTGCGTTGTAGGATGCTGTGCCCCTCACTCTGGGCCAGGAGTTCAGTGGCTACACCCAGCAGATGGCGTACGGCATAGAGAGGGTACAGGCCACATTACCCCGGGTTCAGGAACTGGCTGCTGGTAGGTTAGCTATGGGGCTCCAAAAATGTTCCACTACGTTCGATATTTTATGTTTTGACCTTGTTTTGACATGATCTTACATATTTTTAAAATTCTTTTTTGAAATGACAGACGAAGAATACTAAACTTTGTTTGTTTTTCCTCATTACATCATATTTTGTTAGTCATAAGATTTTAGTGTTAGTTTGTTGACATCAGTTATTATGCAGAAAACATTTCATTATCAATGAGACACCCTCCGTGGTCCAGTGGTAGAGCGGAAGGCTGCGGGGTCGATCCCTGGCCGTGTCATACCAAAAGATGTTAAAAGATGGTACCCTGCCTGGTGCTCGGCATTAAGGGTCTAAAATAAGGGCTTGTCGGCTCAGAGTCAGTGTAATGTGTTTGAGTGGGGTATCCATGTTAAACTGCGCCATCAGTTGACTAGAACTATAAAACTGACATTGGTCTGGACGAGTACACACAGACAGGCACACACACACATGCACGCACTTGTGCATGCACACAGCTGTATAAGTGCAACAATCTTTAACAAGATGTTAAACTCCATTTCACCTGACTTTACCTTACCTCACCTTACCTCATAAGATTGAGTTTGTTCAACAGGAGGCACAGCAGTTGGAACTGGACTCAACACAAGGAAGGGCTTTGCTGAGATGGTTGCAGCCGAGGTGTCTCAATACACAGGTAAATGCCCCAATACACGTTTGTCTTGGTAATATATTTGCACATGGTTACCTCCCTTGACTCCTACTCATGTATCCTGTTGTTGGTACTTTGTTTTGCAAAAAGTTGGCAACTGTTTGTTTTCATATTCCTTCAGCATTTGAGATTTTAATGATTCAAGTTTTTAACAAAAGTCAACATATCCGATAAATTTCAAAGACATGTTAAACATTATTATTTTTTCTTATGATTTGAATACAATAATCATTAATATACGGTGGGGTAGCCTAAGGGTTAAAGATTTCCTGAGAAGACCTAGGTTTCATTCCCCACATGGATACAATCTGGAAGCCTATTTCTGGTGCCCCCCACTCCAACTGTGATATTGCTGGAATATTGCCAAAAGCAACATAGAACCATACTTACTCCCCCATTAATAAATATTACCTTATGTTCTTTCTTGTGGCAAGTTGCAACTTATTTTAAAGCAAGAAGGGATGAAATGCTTGAGCACAGCAACAATGCTCAAAGAGAAATCCAAGCCAATTACTTAATTATGGAATCGTGGGGAAATTGAGCCTTTGGAAAGCTTCATTGACAAGCGATCAGCCTGACTGTGTATGACTGATTATGACTAAACAACTGCCTCGTGTTTCTACCTCCATTACAGGGTTGTCTTTCAAGACCTCCAAAAACAAGTTTGAGGCTCTTGCGGCCCATGATGCCCTAGTAGAGGTCCATGGAGCGTTGAATGTTTTGGCATGCAGTTTGATGAAAATAGCCAATGACATCCGCTTCCTGGGGTCGGGACCTCGATGTGGGCTAGGGGAAATCTCCCTGCCAGAGAATGAGCCTGGGAGTAGCATTATGCCAGGTGAGTGAAGGGAGTTGCATTATGCCAGGTGAGTGAAGGGAGTTGCATTATGCCAGGTGAGTGAAGGGAGTTGCATTATGCCAGGTGAGTGAAGGGAGTAGCATTATGCCAGGTGAGTGAAGGGAGTTGCATTATGCCAGGCGAGTGAAGGGAGTTGCATTATGCCAGGTGAGTGAAGGGAGTAGCATTATGCCAGGTGAGTGAAGGGAGTTGCATTATGCCAGGTGAGTGAAGGGAGTTGCATTATGCCAGGTGAGTGAAGGGAGTTGCATTATGCCAGGTGAGTGAAGGGAGCAGCATTATGCCAGGTGAGTGAAGGGAGTTGCATTATGCCAGGTGAGTGAAGGGAGTTGCATTATGCCAGGTGAGTGAAGGGAGTAGCATTATGCCAGGTGAGTGAAGGAAGCAGCATTATGCCAGGTGAGTGAAGGGAGTTGCATTATGCCAGGTGAGTGAAGGGAGTAGCATTATGCCAGGTGAGTGAAGGGAGTTGCATTATGCCAGGTGAGTGAAGGGAGTAGCATTATGCCAGGTGAGTGAAGGGAGTAGCATTATGCCAGGTGAGTGATGGGAGTTGCATTATGCCAGGTGAGTGAAGGGAGTAGCATTATGCCAGGTGAGTGAAGGGAGTTGCATTATGCCAGGTGAGTGAAGGGAGTAGCATTATGCCAGGTGAGTGAAGGGAGTTGCATTATGCCAGGTGAGTGAAGGGAGCAGCATCATGCCAGGTGAGTGAAGGGAGCAGCATCATGCCAGGTGAGTGAAGGGAGCAGCATTATGCCAGGTGAGTGAAGGGAGCAGCATTATGCCAGGTGAGTGAAGGGAGCAGCATTATGCCAGGTGAGTGAAGGGAGTAGCATTATGCCAGGTGAGTGAAGGGAGTTGCATTATGCCAGGTGAGTGAAGGGAGTTGCATTATGCCAGGTGAGTGAAGGGAGCAGCATTATGCCAGGTGAGTGAAGGGAGCAGCATTATGCCAGGTGAGTGAAGGGAGTAGCATTATGCCAGGTGAGTGAAGGGAGCAGCATTATGCCAGGTGAGTGAAGGGAATAGCATTATGCCAGGTGAGTGAAGGGAGTAGCATTATGCCAGGTGAGTGAAGGGAGTAGCATTATGCCAGGTGAGTGAAGGGAGCAGCATTATGCCAGGTGAGTGAAGGGAGTTGCATTATGCCAGGTGAGTGAAGGGAGCAGCATTATGCCAGGTGAGTGAAGGGAGTAGCATTATGCCAGGTGAGTGAAGGAAGTAGCATCATGCCAGGTGAGTGAAGGGAGTAGCATTATGCCAGGTGAGTGAAGGGAGCAGCATTATGCCAGGTGAGTGAAGGGAGTAGCATTATGCCAGGTGAGTGAAGGGAGCAGCATTATGCCAGGTGAGTGAAGGGAGTAGCATTATGCCAGGTGAGTGAAGGAAGTAGCATCATGCCAGGTGAGTGAAGGGATCAGCATTATGCCAGGTGAGTGAAGGGAGTAGCATTATGCCAGGTGAGTGAAGGGAGTAGCATTATGCCAGGTGAGTGAAGGGAGTTGCATCATGCCAGGTGAGTGAAGGGAGTAGCATTATGCCAGGTGAGTGAAGGGAGTAGCATTATGCCAGGTGAGTGAAGGGAGTTGCATTATGCCAGGTGAGTGAAGGGAGTAGCATTATGCCAGGTGAGTGAAGGGAGTTGCATTATGCCAGGTGAGTGAAGGGAGCAGCATTATGCCAGGTGAGTGAAGGGAGTAGCATCATGCCAGGTGAGTGAAGGGAGCAGCATTATGCCAGGTGAGTGAAGGGAGCAGCATTATGCCAGGAGTAGCAATGATAATGTTTAAGTTTGTAACGAACTGTTAATTGCTGTGCTGCTAGTGTCACCAATCTGCCTCTCAAAACATCCGCAGCCGCAAATTACACCCTCAACTAACAATAGAAATACAATGATTAGGCTATAGGCTGTTTTACTTATGTTATGTATGATGAATAAACATAGTACATATACAGTGCACACTTTTGTTATTTATCGAGTAACGTGATGTGGTCACACGACTTGATCCAAGATGTCTGATAGTCAAAATGCTTATAACGAACTACGGATATAACAAACTAAAATTAGTGGTCCCTTTGAGCTTGTTATAACGATATAACCGTTTACTGTATTTGTTGGAGGTTGTCGGGTAGCCTAGTGGTGAAAGTGTTCGCTCGACACGCCGAAGACCCGGGTTCGATTCCCAACATGGGTACAATGTGTGAAGCCCATTTCTGGTGTCCCCCGCCGAGATATTGCTGGAATATTGCTAAAAGCGGCGTAAAACCATACTCACTAACTCACTGTATTTGTTGATCACATATGTGAAAGATATGTTTCTCCCTCCCAGGAAAAGTCAACCCAACTCAGTGTGAAGCTCTGACGATGGTCGCCGCCCAAGTGATGGGCAACCATGTTGCTGTGTCTGTCGGAGGAAGTAACGGACACTTTGAACTGAACGTCTTCAAGCCCATGATGGTGCAGAACGTACTTCAGTCCATCCGCTTGCTTGCTGATGCCAGCCTCTCGTTCACCAAGCATTGTGTCACTGGCATCAAACCAAATAGGGAAAGGATCAGCCAACTGTTGAACGACTCGCTGATGTTGGTCACGGCCCTTAACCCATACATCGGCTATGACAATGCAGCAAAGATCGCAAAACATGCTCATAAAAAAGGAACAACCTTGAAACAAGCAGCTCTTGACCTTGGTGTTTTGACAGAGGAGGAGTTTGATAAATATCTGAAGCCTGAGACGATGCTGGGCCCAAAGTGAAGTCTGTTACAACTATAATGCATGCTAGTCAAGAGATTTTGCTGTTGTTTTATCATTCCTGGCGGAAAGTGGTATTTTTGTTCTTCTATATAGCGTATACATATATTATACACAAGTGCTGGTCTTTATGAAATACAGAGACAATGAAATAAGGAATTTATCTGTTGAATGAATTTGAGGACCGGTCATTTACTATGGGATTGGGGTGGGGAGTATCTGAAGGAATCAGGGAGAGTCAGCAAAGAGTTTGAAAGTCTCTTGCAGAGGGCTATGGAGTTTTAAATAATATTAAGAAAATATCAAGTGCTTTTGCATTTTGTCTTTTCTGGGAGGGTTGTGAAATTGTTTACAAGGACATGGGGGGAGGGGGTCATCTGAAAATATGGCAAGCTTTAGCTATAGGGAAGGATCATTATTTTCAGTTCATCAGTGCATCAAAAACATACAACCCACCCCCCCTGTAATAAATGACCGGTTCAATGTGTGTTTGGATATAGAATCCTTATAGTCTTTAATAATTTCAGGGAAAGCTACCAAACAGGGTGTCAGCATTATTTTTGTGAAAACATTCCTTTGTGACTTATTTTAGCAAAGGGAAAATCAACTTTGTACAATCAAGTCTTAAAGAAAATGATCATGTTTGGGACATTCTTTTACCTTGCATGTATCGTGCACAGTGACTCCCCGTTAATCTGGACCGTACGCTTCTAAGTGAAATCGTATTGATGACGTAATTTCCAACTTATCGAATTGTCGGTTTGGAGTATTATCCCAATGTATGTATGTATGTAGGCGCTGACAGTAGTGGTGTTTATTGGCCAAACAATTTATTGCAGGTATCTATATTGGAATACATGTTGCGATATGTTGGGAGCTAAAGTGATTGAAAGTGACTTCACATGCAGATCCTATTTTATTCATACTAAGTAAATATTACTCAGGATGGTCAGTCACCGCCATTTTGTAGTCTTGGATACAGGGGAGATAACAATGTGATAGAGTAAAATCACTTCCTGTTTCCGTTGTTTTGTTAATCAATCGATGGAAAACAAAATTTGTGAATGAATGTACATTTTAGGTAAATAGATACAAATAGTAATGAAACTTGTTATAATTGTTTACTTAATGTACCAAAACACACAACAAATATTGCAATATGTATCGTTTGAAATGTGTGTATGGGTTAGTTCGACCAGAAATTATTGAGAATGAGAACATTGTAAATTACGGATTTTTACTCACTGCCAAAAGAAACGCTAACCATGGAAACTTATAGAGAAGTATGTCAGATATGTTTCCAATCTGTACCGTTTATTGACAAAACAGTCAAGTGTTACCACAGCGTGTCTTTATTCTCCTCACGGTATGCTGCACATGATTTCCAAACTTTACATGCTAATCCTGGATCTAGGACGTCACATGTGATACGTTCATGAGCATCTGTTCCCGCAACATAACAGTATGTTTGTTTGTGCATTGAACCAATCGAATATCTCTTGGAGATGCGTGATTCTTCATATGTTAACCAACATGTGTGGTATTCGCATTTCTTTTGGCTGTGTATATTAGGTCATAGACCAAGAGATCTGCATGTCCAACAAACACTGCTTACCTAAAACTACAAAACAGCAAACTGTTCAATATTTTGACAGGCCACCTCTTTTCCTAATACATGCTTCAATGCAACGAGGCATACCTCCTATCAAGGAAGTTAGAAAATCATGAGTCACACTGTCCAAATATCTCACCACCTCAGTTTTCATGTCACATACATTTTGGCGATTTCTTTTTTATTGATATAGTCCTTCATGATTCTCCAAATATTTTCAATTTGGTTCAGGGCTGGACTGCAGCAGGGCCATTCCAGACGTGTAACATTTTGCTTGTTTACTAATTCCTGAGAATGTTTTGCTTGAATACCCACCCATCACCATACGATAATTGTTGTTGGAAGGAGATGTCCCTTTAGAATAGGGGACACGGGTCGCCCAGTTGTCTGAGGCACCACATTTAGCTGTGTAGAGTTACGTCCCTTGGGCATGTCAGAAACCTATGATCGATTATGTTTCTAGGTTTGTCAGTACCATACCCTTGCTCGTGGATTTCACCGAAGTGGTAAACGTCTGAGACATGCATCACTTCGGGCTTTCCTCCCACATTAAGCTGACATGCCGTGATATAACTGGAATACTGTTAAAAGCAGCATTAAACCTAACTCACTCACTCACTCACTTCCTGTAGAATGTCAGTGTACACTGCACTTGACATGTTACCTTCAAATGCACATAATGGTGTGGCAACCAACAGATATCCCACCACACATGAACATTTAGGACTGCACTTTGGACACTGGTAAATTGGTTTTCTGTACCTTTGGTCCACATTTTATGCAGTTTGGATATAGCCACACTGAACATTCATCTGAGAACATAACTTTGTCCCAACTGAAATTACTATTCTCATAAGCACCAGTTACAACATTGTTCAGGTTTTAGGAGTGGTGATGGAATTCCCCTTGATTTTATGACTAATATTTTCTATGCTATTCTCAATAGTTTCTGGTGAAACAATGTATCGGTAATACAATGCAGACCCAGACGACAATCATCATTGATAATTGCTCTAAAAGCAGGATTCCAGATTAAAAGGGTTGCATTGTATATCAGAGGATGAAAGGTCCTTGAAGATGAGACTAACTTCAGCCTTGCACCAAGCCAAGTAGGCAGTTGATGGATTTGTTATGGTTATGGTATATATATAAAGATAACATTTTTAATGATGTGATGTTTTATTATGTGCTTTAACATGGTTCCTGCCTTATATGTTAACAGTGTTAACAGTCTATTGGACATGTTGAGTACAAGTTGTATACACTTGTCTTCTTAGAAACTCACATGAAATATGCACACTTCAGTTTTTTTTTGTGCAAGAAAGACAAATCAATATTCATCACTAGTCACATTGTCACTAATATGATTGTTTATCCAATAAATCACTATGATTGGTCTTAATTTATATTGACCTTAATGTTTTGCCACTTTTGTTCATCAGTGGACAGATATTGTATTTATTATTGGCCCATGAACCAATCATACAAATATATTGGTCCTGCAAAGCATGTTTTAAAATAATATATTAAAAATACTGGTATTTTATGTTAGACTTTGTCTTGAGTTGACTTTGATTTTATCAATTGTTGTTCATTGTTTAAATATGTACAAAATCTTGAACATATTAAAGGCTCTTACAGAATGGTGTCATAATTTTGTATTGGACAGCAGTTGTATTAATTATCACCTGCCCAAATGAAGTTTTGCAGGGGATATAGAAACGGGCTGTGTCCGTTTCTGGATTGGAATTCATAAACCATTCAATATTTCTTCATGCAACTTTGTATATGCACCAGTCATGCATTGAACTGATGCCTTTTGCTGTTTAGGCTTTTTTAAAAATTATTTTGAGTTTCCAAGACAATAATTTGTACTCAGGTTCAAATTGGGGAAGGGTTCGTTTGTGGAGCATAACTCCTTAACTTTTCCAGATTTCTTTGTTAAACGTTTAAAACACATCAGGCATACTTACACCTGGTACCTTTTGCTATTAAGGATTGTTTTGTTTTTTCACTGACAGTAAGTTGGATTTGAATGAGCATTGGAATCATTTCCGGAGAATAACTCCTAAACAATCAATTATTTCTTTGTATACACATCAGGCAAATGCTAAATTGATGCCTTGTGGTAGTCATGTGAAGGTATAGAAAATAATTAAAAGAATGAAGGGAATCATCGGTTAGTATGAAATTAAATGATAATGTCACTTGCACAAGCTCTAGGATTAAGTGTGTGTGTGTGCGTGCGTGCGTGGCTTTTTTATGTACAGCTTTAAAAGAGCAGGGGATATCAATATTTTTTTCATCTTGTTTTGCTTTTCTCCATATACTGTGATAAACAGCATATTAATCAATGACTTCAGTCCTATATTTTTTTAAGTGCCTTGAATATAAGCATTGATACAAGTCATGATTTTTGTCCTCCAAAAATCATCAACCTTTGCTGATTTTCTTTTAAATGATTATGTATTTGGTGATGATCTTAAGCATTTATATGAACAATCTTTATCTATATCAGTTTCTGGATTATCTTGTTCAAACTTGATTAATTGCAGGCTGTTATATAACCAGAATATTGTTGAGTTGTGTAACAACTCGCACTCACACACAATAACAAAAAGCTTAATTGCATGAATAAATCAATCGTAAATACATATTGTTCTTGTTGAATTTGAATGAAAATCACAGCAATGTACACAGGACGAAGAAGACAATTGCTGACATTTGACCAAAGAACTCTCCCTCGGCATGACATCAAGATTTTTTTTAACTTTCCAATAACTGAAGATGTGAAAATAATCTTTGAAGCAAGGGTGATCCAGGCCATCTGTGGATTTGAGTGTGGGTATTTTATGAATATATACTCACTACAACTCGCTCAAGACTTTTAAATATTGACTTTATATAAACATCTCATCAATGGTCACATGAAATATGTTTTTATACCTGGCCACAAAATGGGGCGGGGAATATTGGAACGGAGTTCGTTCGTCCATCCGTCCGGTTCTCAAAGGGGACACATTTTCTCAAAAGCTATTGTCAGAGAATAGTGACCGTGGGAGAAATGAATTTTGCACACTGGTCATGGTCTCAAATAAGTTCGAAAATTGATGTCAAAAATTCAATTTTTACAGTTATGTCCCTTGCTCCGTGTTTTTTAGCTTAGTGCATACTACGTAAGATGGGGACAGGTTTTCTCGGCAACTAATGAAGTAACATGGATGAAAGTTTGCTTGCATATCTGAGAGATCCTTTTCAAGACTGAGTTCGAAAATTGGTCCCGTCAATTATTTTTTTACAGAGTCACGGCCTTCGATCCGTGTTATTTGTGCAATGCTGGCAAATTTTCTCCCAAACAGCTGAAGTAAGCTTATCTAAGAGATACTTATCAAGACTGAGTTATTTTTTTTCCAGAGAAAGGGCGTTTTGTGTGTATTAATTTCACATTTAATCACTTGTTCTAATGGCAAAAAGCGGCCCAAGCGCCTATACCTTTTTAAGGCTTTATTGGGTTCTTTTTATAGTTTATTATTCATAACTATATGAACAAACAAACTTCAAATGTGCCTCATGTCGGGGGATGGTGAGAACGCTGTTAGTCGATGATGATAATAAACACCCTAAACAAAGTTTCGACACAGACGTTGGTAAATTCGACTGCAGCACGAGTTTTACGATGTTGTCCGCAATATTCAAGCTATTTCACGGCGGCCTGTATAAAATCGAATTAAGAAGAAGTACTTGATATTATTGACAACGTCCCAAGCTGTCGGGGTGCAATGACATGTATTCAACAAAGTCGCCGAGCCTGACTGCCTGTTTCAGCTTTTGTTTGTAGTTGCCTCTTACGAGTGAATGTTACTGGGACACATTCTAACCCGGAATCCCTACTGAGACCACGTAGCAAGTTGTGCCTGCCTTTTTTTACATATACTTACTTAAATTCAAATAATAAATATACTGCATCCATTATAAAGACCACTTCATGAATTTGTTGATGCCTATTTGGGAAATGTTGCTTTCAGGGACTCTATCAGTAAACGATAGCAATGATATCAGGAGATTGTACGAGCGCTTCAAGTACAGTTAATGTCACACTTGGCTCGAATAGATATAAATTACATGTTTTTGTATCTACATATAATCGTGTAGAAACTACATATGTATTAAATCCTTAAATCTTGGTAAAATATGGTTTTGTTCAGTTTAATGTAAATTAAAAATCTCAAGAACATTAATTCATACAGTTATAGTGTAAGGGAGCAAATGCTTCTTCGGGCCACAGGCAGCAATTTTCCAGCTTTTTAACGGTAACTAGCTGTCCGGATCAGGCAAATCAGTGACTGAAGCATGAGCGACGATTTTCATGCTATAGAGGAACGCTGACATGCAGTATAGCCGACCCGCATCAAACGACTATTTGATACCAATGTATTTCGGCTGTGGGAATAGCTGGGGATTCACCCAGAATCACACTGGGGTCAGAAGGAGAAACCTGATACAGAAAGACCTTTCCTTAGAACAACCACAAACATTTTTATCCTGTCGACTGTTTGCTATATTTGGTGAAGAATGAAGAATGGTATATTTCGTAACTTGAGCAACGTATTATTTATAGTACATCACTGCCACTCGAGGGTTACATGTTATCTGTTATAATGGAATGTGTCAAGTCTTGTAGTTATTTTTAAATTGTTATTCTGGTGGGCTTTCCTGAACACCACTCTTCGCATCTCCGTTATGTTTTTCATCAGGACTGCCAGCGTCGTTCATTTCGGCACTCTTCCTCTCCGCCCTCCTCTTCTTCTTCCACAGGTTAACAAGTGATGCCAGGAACATGAAGATGCAAGCGATGAGGCCGACACTGAGCCACATGACGGCGATTCCCACAGCCAAGGCCTGCTTGTCGTACAGCTGACAGAACTGGGCGCCCTCCGCCCCACTCCACAGCTCACAGGCCGAGTCTACCACCACGCCCACAACCAGAGGTGCTGGGATAGTACCTGGAATATCAATTATTCTTCATTTCGCTTCCGAATGTTCATCCTTTAACTATCCAGTTTAATAAATATCCATCCTATTTTAATAAACACCCTGAATGTTTCGTCACCTTAGTTTCGATCGGAAGTCACCGTCTCTGTCTTTTATCACAAACACAGAATCTCTCTAGCTAAAGAGATTGAAATGAACAACCCATCAAAATGCCTCGTCTGAAAGCGAGCTCTTGATATCTTTAATCGAATCACAATATAGCTATATATGTACCTTTAGCTGGAAAAGATTTTTAGACAGGGGGATGTAAGACCTTCCGTCTGCACTGAAGGCGGCACGCAAACGACGAGTCGAGTACTGGTGTTTCAACCATATCAAAACAGTGTAATTTGATTGGACGTCTCTGTTTTAATTTTGTCTGATAGTGAAGCTAACGTACATTGGCGAGTAATGTCAGATCCGAAATGTCGGCTAAAACCAAGAGCATGTAACAATTGACGTCGTCATGCCATCTCGCCGTTCCGAAAGTCCTTCGATTATCTTAAGTCTATGGTAGTTCGTATGGTTCCGCCAAAAGTGCTTTGTGGAAGTCAGCCCATGCACCCATTCAATTTACAGCCTAAAATTAGTCATTCCACGAGGTGGACATCAATAACAAATCCGAGCTCATGGTTTTCACCTAAATGGTAAACATCTAAGACCGGCACCACACGCCGTGATATACCTGAAATAATGTTGACAGCGGCGTCTAACAAAATTCCTCACTCACATGTATTATTACATCTGCATGGCTAGTCTTCACATACAAACGACTTCAAACTTACCTATCACCCTTACAAATATCATCTTTATTCCGAGAGCAAAGGGCTGTATATCTGGATCCACACACCTGTTCAAGATATTGTAGGGTAAAAAATATATATCATATCATACACTGCACTGCAACAAGTAGATATATCGATATTCTTTAACGACCATCTATTAACCTACAAACGTATCCGACCACTACGATGTCAACTTTGTTGTTGAAGCCATTTTAAGAATTTCTGTCTCATTTGACCAACACTCAATTTAATATATAAAATGTCAACGCCAGGGAACAACCAGTCTCGATTATCCACCGAAACAGATTCCAATGGGTAAGGGAGGATCACAGAAAATCAGACTGGCCTTTCTGTTTTACACCCAAAACATAATGTCGCCTTGTTATGAATTACAATTAATAAAGTGCAAAAAACTCTCTAATGCTACATCCATGTGACCATTAATGGATAAATGAATGCATGCTGTTTGATGCCGGCATCGACGACATTCGCGCTAAATGACAAGGCCTCATAAACCAGGTCACATTAATTGTATAAGATTAACACGGTCGCTCTGTACCACCGGAGTGCACATACGGAACAGAAGGGGCCACTAGTCCTCAGTGCTGCACCTACCTGAGTGTACTGAGAGCTGTTAAAGTAGCACATAAGTAGATGGCGATGTACATAACAAACAAGCAGGGCATGACGAGGTACACCTGCCAGCAGTCGGTGCTACATTTGCCCGCGGTCGCAGTGGCCAGCGCATCTGTCACACTGGTGTTGAGTCCAGCTGCTATACAGCTGCAGTTGGTGAAAGTCTGCAGAACAAGGAGGAATCTGAAGCAGCTTATCCAATATACCGCAGTTAGTGCAAACATCTCTACACAACTTCATATTGGAGGATTCCAGTTAGTGCAAATATCTCTACACAACTTCATATTCAAGGAGAATAGTTAGTGCAAACATCTCTACACAACTTCATATTGGAGGATTCCAGTTAGTGCAAACATCACTACACAACTTCATATTCCAGTATACTACAGTTAGTGCAAACATCACTACACAACTTCGTATTCCAGTATACTACAGTTAGTGCAAACATCTCTACACAACTTCATATTCAAGAAGAATAGTTAGTGCAAACATCTCTACACAACTTCATACTCCAGTATACTACAGTTAGTGCAAACATCTCTACACAACTTCATATTCCAGTATACTACAGTTAGTGCAAACATCTCTACACAACTTCATATTCCAGCATACTACTGTTAGTGCAAACATCTATACACCACTTCATATTCCAGGACACCAGTTAGTGCAAACATCTCAACACAACTTCATATTCCAGCATACTACAGCTAGTGCAAACATCTCGACACAACTTCATATTCCAGGATACCAGTTTGTGCAAATATCTCTACACAGCTTCATACTCCAGGATACCAGTAAATGCAAACATTTCTACACAACTCCGGTTCAACTTGACAAGAAACTATATGTGATACAATATTATCACGTACATAGTTAGTCATTTGAGCTTATGATATAACATATTTGTTCATAATGGCATATTTCCATCAGTGATCAAAGTCTCACCGATTGATGAAACTTACACTTCGCAGCCATATTTCTTCGTATGATCAAACATGATGTATTTGAGAGATACATCAAGTGACTGTATATGTTTTTGAGACGCCCTGAAATAGCATTTCAGTTATATCACGGTATGTCAGCTTAATGGCGAAGTGAAAGTGACGCAAACCCCGGATGTTTAACACTTAAGCTGACAAACCAAGAATATATTATATATATTTTTCATAATCAGGTTGAATCTTAATTCGAAACGATCAGCGAATCCTCGAACAGCAAAGAGGCGCAATTCTGAACAGCTAATGTAAGCATCACAGGGCAATTGGCCATTAAAGCTCTAGAGGGTCTATGAAGTTTTGTGAAATTAAATATGAATAATTAAGACAGAATTTGGTGTGGTATCAGTTTTGACGACCTAGTGACAATCCCCACCATCACATCACCATCCATGCTACTGTCCAGACAACCCGCGTGGCAGGGTGAGAAGTAGACGAGTCCATCGCTGCTACAAACAGGGCTGAAGTCCTGACCTTGACACTGGCACTGACCTTGACAGGAAGCAAGAAACCCTGACACATCGCTGAAATGAAAGTGTCAAATGATGATGAAATGTTCATAGAGCGAAGGTAGCAAAATCATTTTGAAGTCAGGTTCGGTACAGGTATCAAATCTGATCTTTGTAAACATCTCTGATGACAAAAGATTATTTCATCTGAAAATATACTGAACAGAAAAATAACTTAAGTTCACATACTTATATTGTATGAATGTAACCATTACACCTGGTGACAGATGAACTGATGTCATGTGACGTCCATTCCACACAGGCACACAAACACGTTTTGCACGTGCATTCATTATCCTCGGTAAAAGCACGTGCATTGTAACTCTTGTATACTTTATAAAGGTGGATATCAAGCACCGACTGAGACAACGACTGCCGCCTGTGCAAAGAAGGACGGCCCTAGGAATGTTGCAGGCCGGTAACTCAGCAGCTGCCGTAGCAAGATAGTTCTCTCACGCTACAAGACTTGCACAACGTCAACAGCGAACAGGTTCCGTTTCTGATTGACAACCCTATGGCCGACCCACAGTTACAACACCAGCACAAGATCGCTTTGTGAAGGTCTCTCGTCTCAGGAATAGAACTCAACAAGAACAGCAGCCGTAGTTCAAGGACAGCGGCAGCAGAATCAGTAGACACGACTCGACGACATCTCCACGCTGAAAAACTCCACTGTTGTTGTTTAAATTCGTTGTTTAAAGTTGCCTCCCTTAGAGGTAACAGAATCCTGTAATCGTGAATCCCGTTTCTTGATCTGTCAGCATCACATACTTGTTCCCTTTATTCACATCTATGCCTTGCATCACTTTGAGGACGTGAAACTAAAATCCTATTCAAAATGACGTTAAACCAAACTCACTCACTCACTCTTTAGTAGACCTTTAATGTGATCCCGGGCAGAATGGGTCCCCAGTACGTCAAGTTTGTGGTTATTAGGACCGACAAATGGTGTCGCTCCTCGTCTGAGATAGCTTTCTTTGTGGAGTGGATAAAGCGCCTGTCAGGAGAGCAGAATGTCGTGGGTTCGAAACCCGGCCTCATTATACCAAAAGTGCAATAATTGTGATCACGACGTTAAACCCCATTTCACATAACATCAATCTCTGTTCTGCCTTGTCCAAACTATTAACATCCAGTCGCGACATAGCTTGACTATGCTATTGTAAACTAAGATTTTGGCACCCCCTAACAACTCCAGATGGTGTCAGAGGAACGTTACCTATCTCCCGGATAGGGCAGATCCAGGCCAATCATGCGGACATCAGGACAGGCAGCAAACATAGAGAGACCAAACACCAACACGATCAGGTACAGCCCAGTGGTCACCCTCTCCATTCCCAGCAAGTCCAGCTTGAGACGCTTGATCAGATAGCCGGCCAGTAGGTAGCCGCTGGACGCCACTATAGCCTTGACACCTGAAACACGCATCCAGATGTGTTCTTATGCTTCAAACACTGTGTCTACACATGGGTATTTCAGTCTCCTCGGTCGAGGTTCAATATCGCGACAAGGCACCATCAAGGCACCATCCTCACTTATCCACCGTTTTATACTTCCATTCTGACAAGTAAATAACCAGGACAACATCTTCGTTTCGGAAGTGACGCAAGCTCTCTTATCACTAAATGCCCAGTTACACAGGGCTGCGACCTTTGTGCCACCTTTGAGCGATCAAAAACTGGCCACGACGCTCAATGGTCGCCTAAACCCAGAAAATCATGTTTCTATGCACACAGTTACTGCTCGAGTTCTTCAGCGTCTGCAACCAAAATGAAATACTGCAGGTACAAGCCATCTATTTATAGGCAGGCTGAGGAGGCACTACAGGTAGCTCAAAGGAGGCAGAAAAGAGGCAGAAGCATTGCTATTGTGTCTCAAGGGTTGCCGTGGTCGCCGAATGGAGGCACGGCGGTCGCCACAGTCATCGTTCAATGCACGCTGCTGGTCGCCCAAAGGAAGGGCAAGGGAGGCAGAAGCATCGCCAAGATTGACGGAAATCAGCAGAAGGCATCTATTACCTGGAGACCATTGGGCGACCACCGTCCCTTCATTCTGCAACAACGGCAATGCTTGTGCCTCCCTTCTGCCTCCTTTGAGCCACCTTGGAGCAACCAACCTCCTCGGCGACCTTTGTGCGACTGTTTTGAACATGTTTGATCAAACAACTAGAATACAAGAAACATACCCTTCGTATCTGGGAAGAGTGTGGCTAGGGCCCAGGTTTGACTATACCGTACCTATGATGTACCCTGCTGTTTCGTAGTCCATATCAAACTCGTGACTGGCGAACTTGAAGATGAACATTGACATGCCAGCTATGGCTACACCTTCTATAGACGACCCGATGCTGATGAACACAAACTCCAAGTCGAATATCTGAAATTGGAAATAATTACTCCAATTGTGATAATTTATATATTGGGATTTGTAACATTTCCCAACATGTATACAGTTCTGATTGTGTACTAGGTTTAACGAGGAAATGAGCAATTGAATGTTAAGAGTCTTGTGTCGTTGTTAGCACTATTATAACAAAGAGAAGTCGGGAATGGTACTTACAAGCTTAAAGAGAGCCTTAAGAAAATCGGTTATCGTTTTCTTGAGAAATTGAAATAAGTTTTGGGGATCCTCATCCTTTTTCTCTGATTCCAGTTCCTTTCGTTTAGGACTGTCTGAAATGGTGATCAATCAGTGAGTCAGATAACACGACGATCTCAGACAGCGAGCGAGAGAGTGACAATTAATATACATTTTTCGATAAAATCCTAGCACTTATTCTCTGACTAACTTGGGAACCGTTTAGGGTATCCTGATATAACAAGGGAGACAACAATTGTGATGATTACAACCGACTTTTTCTCTGACTCACTTGGGAACCGTTTAGGGTAGCCTGATATGACAAGGCAGACAACCATAGTTATGACACCGCACACGATGAAGCCGAACCACCACGCCCCAATCCAACGCTGGTCCCCTGGTCCGAACGGCAAGCTGTGAAGTCAAGACAATGAAAGTGTTGTTTTGGAGAGCCAAAGGGATGGGGTGGTCACACACTGAGATGTGTGGTGCCTGGGTGCTCTGTTTGTACTGGCTATCACTGGCTTGCCTGATCCAGACTGGATTATTTAAAGATTACTGTGACACAGCTGTACATAATCAAGTCTGGACCAGACAAACTAGTGATTGACATCATGAGCAACCCTCCACTCCATGTCTGACATCCTGATCCCCTTAGTCGCCTTTTACGACAAACATAGCTACTACTGGGGACCTATTCCAACCCGGAATCCAAGCGGGGTTTTGGAACGTTTGGTTACGTAACTTTTTTATCGACGTTACGAACCATACAAGGACCTACAGGAACTTTATTAACTATTAAAAAAACATAATAAATCACACATTCAACAATTTCCTGACGATGTTTTTACAAATTCCCACGTATATGGGTAAATAGATCTGTTATATTTGCTGCTTTATTAAGAATCACGTGCGATTGAAAAGTCCACAAAGTAAAGCAGTGGACAGTGAACATTTCATCACAATGGATACAATTAGGTTCATCCTCATCAGTTTTTCGAGGGGAATCTGATCATCATGTTATAAGAACCCGCACCTGTCCGTGTCCACCCTGTCAAAGTCCACATACATGTAGAGGATCATTCTTCCACCAACTAATGCACTCATGGCAGCACCAACTGTAGTCACAGTGTTAATGACTCCTGAAAAAATATGACTTTGTGTGTGTGTCATGACTAAGCAGATGAAGTAACAACCAGTTTAAGATCGAATTCTCTTTAACTTTTGTAATTGAATTCATTCGTCTGCTCAAAAGAACAGGGAGGATAGAGGAAACATAAACGGATGGATGCTTGGAGGGGGAAAGTTACCTACTCATTGTGAGAGTGAGTGAGTGTGGTTTGTAAAAAGACGAGACAAAGCCTTTTTCATAGCCATACGAAACCTCGAGTGGATTGTACGAGCACGTGTTTATGAATCATTATCAAATAGTGATGACACCAGGTGTTCGCGAAAAGGTGAGCGTAGTCTGCCCCAGTGCTGGCACCCATCACAAACACATGCAACGGCAAGTCAAGTGTTCACTTGAAAAACACAGGAACATATTTTGGTACGTCAAAATATGGAATTGCATCGGACATCGTTTTTGTCACTGGTGCGTCAAATATGGAAATGTCCTCCACATGTCTACCATAAAACTTATCGCTTCAGTGAGGCTTTGAATGTTGTAGCATTGATCAAACAACTTTTGAGCAAGAGTCGTATGACGCTCTTTGAAATCTTCATAGAAAGAGCATGTTCGATTTTACCTCAAAAGTTTCAACAAATGGGTTTTCCCGACAGAATCGATTATATACCGCCATGATAAAGCTGGAACATTGCTTACTGTGGTGTAGACCAAACTTCTCTCACATCGCACTTCCCACTCGCTTGATGTACTGGACACAATCTGTCCTTTGAACTGCGGTCATTCAGTTCATATATCAGCCTGATTTGATGGTGGAACGTAGGACATATATGCTTGGCGTATCAGGTTGATATTCTGATCGCCGAAAATAGTGACATGAATTAACGGTGGAAATGTGTCTCAAATAACATCAGATTAATCGCATCCTTAACACTTAATTTTCTGTAATAATACCAAAACGAAAGCGAATGAATGAGAATGAGTGAGAATTGTTTTGCCCTTTGAGTAATATCACGGAGAGGGACATCAGAAATGGGATTCACACATTGTACGCATGAGGGGAATTAAACCCGGGCCTTTGACGAGACGTAGCTTTTCATCCATGCTTTAATCACTAGGATACCCCTACGCCCATCTTTGGGCTGAGATTGTCATTGAAGATGAGTGAGTGAGTTTGGTTTAACGCCGCTTTTAACATTATTTCAGTTATATCACGGCGTGTCAGCTTAATGTGGGAGGAAAGCCTGAAGAGATGCAGGTCTCAGACGTTTACCTCTTCGGTAAAACCCACGAGCACGGGTATGGTGCTAACTAACCTAGAAACATAATCGGGGCGAACCGGGATTCGAACCCACAATCATAGGTTTCTGGCGTGCCCAAGGGACGCAACTCTGTACAGCGAATCGCGGCGCCTTAGACGACTGGGCCACCCGTGCCCCCTCATTGAAGATGAACTGAATGTGAGACACTTAATGTGTGGACAGGACGGATCCAGAATAGTTGTTCGCTCGCTATCATTGCTGTCGTACTTTGCAATATCCCAAGTACACGGGTGGTTTGGGCCATCGTAATTTGCTGTGCAGTGTTGCGTCCCCCAGCTTGCAAGGATCCACCGGTAGTTGGTTCGAATTCTGTATTCGCCCTGAAAATTGTTCTTGGTCACCAAAGTCCTGCGTCACTAAATTTTAAGCTCACGGATCATGACATAACTAAAACACTGTTAGAACATGTAACTCACCAATAAAAATAGCTGACTTAGCAACTGGCGCATTGTTGTCAATGTAGGCGATCCCCAGCGTGTAGAAAGTTGTACTGCCGATACCCGAGAGCACCTGGCCCGCAAGCAGCATCGAGAAGTAGCCCATGCCACCTTGACCTTCACTTGCTTGAACCGCGCTGTTATTCGCAGAAGATGACGAGTTAGTAGGGCAGGTTGTTGGTGGTTCGTGTGTTCTGTTCACAGCTAAAAACATCATTGTAATGTCGTCTTAACGCCACACTCCAGCGTTTCCATCACGTCATATATGGCTACCAGTTAAGACCGTCCTTTAATGACTGATGTTGCACAACGACTAAAGTGACCTGGAGTCAAATTGATCTATTTGGGTTTCATGTTGCTTTGAACAACATTTGTTCTGGTTCACGGAATGTCAGACTTTGGTGAAACGCCATATCTTTGGGAGCTGTGATGTATCAGACCAAATGCCACATATATCTATGGGTACTCACCATGACTTGGAGCTGTGTATGGCTCCAACAGATAGTGAGGCAGTGAATTCAGAGTAAGACCAACACCGAACAGGAACATGCCTAACGAAAGTCCTTTGGCCTTGTTGAACTTGCTGCCGATATAGCTGATAAAGGCCACACTGCAGGAGTTGCCCAGGTCTGAGGCTGTTGCAAGGGTGGCACTGATGGTACTAGGCAGGTGGAACTGCTTCTCAATCTCCTCCAAGGCAGTCCCCACCCAGCCAGATGCAAACCCCATGGTGAAGAATAAGATGGCAGCACATGGCATGAAGAACGCCAGGCTATTGAACCACTGCAAAAACCTGGAGTCAACAGTACAATGACAGCCTCAGGGAAACGATCCGAGGCAAGAGTGTCCACCAGCCTATAAAGTCTCGTGAACGCTAGACTTTGATATAGGCTACTGGACACGCTTGCCTCTGGAAGAGGGATGCACATTTATAGAATTGATTTTCACTTTGTGTGAGTTCAGTGGAGTATGAACTTTCATGGAGTGAGGGCCAGACTATATATATATGATGTTTACCCTCACTCTGTGAAGGTTCTTGGACCAATGAACTCCAACAAAGTTAAAGTCAATATTTATATTTTTTTATAACGCTAGATTTTACCTCAAGAGGTGTAGGCCTAGATCCATACACATTATTTTAGTACGTGTGACTTCAGGTTTTCACTGACAGCCATACAACAACCATCTGTATCGCGAAATAAAATAGTTCCTCAATACGAGAGGTGATATGAGCGTATGCATGCTCAACGTGCTCTACAGGAACAACTTTTGTAGTTTCTTTACATCAAATGTATTCAAATAATATCCTCATTAAATAAGAAAAGTCTGTTAAGAACTATCTCAGTTGGTCACAACGACAGTGCGTCGTAATACATATACAACAGGGACAAGACGTCAGAATGACTGACACGACAAACGTGACGAGAGAGATTTCCGAATTTGTTCTTGAACATGTGGCTATTACAAATGTTTATCATCACTAATAAATTGGCCGATCATTTAAAGATGATTGTAAAGATGTGTCCAATAGATACAAAGGTAAATTCATAGATTACTGCAGACTGCCACTGTAGTTTAAACACGGATCGAGTCGATACTACGGTAGTTTGGATCGATGTGGTTTTCTCAGTTTCGTTATCTAGGATGGGTTTTAGCGAGAATATCCTTGAACGGACACGCAATCAAACTCTTAGATTTATCCCAATGTATGCTAAAACGCTACGTTCAAGATTAAAGTGTCTAAATGATGACAAACAACGCTTCTGTATTTATTCGTTCTTGGGAAATCACAGGGGTTACGGTCTCGTACAAAACGTATGAACGTCACACTTATGAACTTCAGTTTCGCAGTTATGTGACCAACCTTTCGTCCAATGGAAAAGCCGTATATCGTGTAAACTTCACTTTAAAAAAATATTTAATTGATCATGTCACAGAAGCTCGAAGGCACATTGTTTCATATAGGCTCGGTATCACAATTGGTTTGATTGACCTTTTGCTATAAGTCTTTCTGTTCAATACAAAGTATCCTGCACAGTCTTGACCATTTTCCAACGTGCGAAACCAATGTAGGTTCATAAACATGCATGTCTTTCTGTTCTAAGGCATTGTGTCATGAGAACAGTCAAGTGAAAATCCTAAAACACCTCATATACACTAATAATAGAATTGGTTACATTTATCATTTCATTCAGGCAAATCAGTCGGATGTTTTTTCTACTATGGATTCCGTTTTCTTTCAGTTCAATAAGAAATGTGAAATATTATTTAAATCCATTCATTTTGTCTACTAGTGAAGCGATTCTTTAATGATTAACCAGATTACACGGAGATAATGTCTCAGTTTACTGATCACGACGTTTAGAAAGAATTGCTTATCTATTAATCTGAAACATGCTTACTCACGGAAGAAAGCTGATTGGGCTAAAATGTGCTTACGTTGGATTCTTTATGACAATGCATTTCTTGATAAAGTGAAACTGTCTGAACAACAAAACAAACATTTGCTGTAATAATTCAACTTTCTGAATCAACAAGGCAGTTTGATCAGACATGAGCTCCTGTACCATCGGTCACCATATATCACTGGCTAATTTGCTGATAGCGGGCGTGTAAACATCCACCATCATCTATCATACAACTGCAGGTTACAGGTCTGACCCCCGTCTTGATCTAACCTGTAGATAACTCTGAAGCTTGCCAAATCAACGCCCAGTTTGTGACCTGAATGTAAAGTTGACTGGCCGTAATAAAGGTTTGCTACCCGGTCGCACTTGGCCTAAAACCATCTTCCAACTTGTAGCCTCCGCTTCATCTGTTGTAAACCATACTCCAACATGTAACCATGGCTAGTTGACCCCCATGCCACATCCCTAGTTTTCTTAGTCATACCCCTAGCTGCTACCTACTAGGTTTAATGGGCATTCAACCATACCCCAATGTATAACCTTTGTCTAATCCGTATAAGGAGCTGAAACATCAATTTACTGAACCCCCAAACAATACCACAAGATGATGCATTGGATTGATACACCAAATTGTGAGCCAGGTCTATGGTATTCAACCCTATCCTTGGAATGAATTGAGCCAACTATGGTCCAACCTGTAACCCCGGTATAACCGACTCAAAGATATTACCTAGATTTAAGTGGCCCAAAGATGTAACACAAATGTAACTGACCATGGTATGATGGGTTCCCAGCCGTACCAGAACTTGTAGTCGGAGTTATTTTGCCCCAAATTGTGAACGCAACTGTTTTAATTCCGGTTGTTTACCTTGGTTTAATTGGCCCAACTATGTACCCGTCTGTATGGATCCCACTTGTTTACCCTGGTTTGATTGGCCCAACTAGTTACCCTACTATATGGGCGCCGGTTATTTACCTTGGTTTAACGGGTCCCCAGCCATACCACAGCTCCCTGCTTTCATCATCTTTGTCTTTAGCCTTCGTACTCTGTAATAAAGGGAACATGTCCAGCTTACAAGTGACGCCCTAGAATGTGTATATTTACAATGGAAACCATTTATGAAGGATAAACAATACATTGGATTCCCTTATCATTAATAAGAACATGGTCTGCCATGAAATCATGTGGCTATTCGTATTTATTTTAATAACCACTTTATGATTATTAATACGCAATGTCATTTAGAAAGTGATCAAATGTAACATAACCCGTGAAGATCCGGGTTAGAATAGGTCTTCAGCAACCTATGCTTGCCGTAAAAGGCGACTATGCTTGCCGTGAGAGGCGACTGACGGCATCGGGTTGTCAGGCTTGTTGACTTGGTTGCTGCATGTTATCGTATCCCAATTGCGTGGATCGATGCGCATGATGTCAATCACTGCAGTGTCTGGTCCAGACTCGATTATTTACAGAGTGACATAAAGACGTCATATAGCTGGAATATTGGTGAGTGCGGCGTTAAACAGACTACAAGTTGTCGTACTTCCATTATGTGTGGGAGCCTTGGTGGCCGAGTGGGTTAGATCGCCGACTTTGTGTGCTGGCGATTATGTGCCTCACTCTGAGAGTGTGGGTTCGAATCCCGATTGGGACTCAACCCTAACAAGTACTATAATATGTACTTTACTGAGAAAGTGTTATCCCAACTATACAATTTGTTACAGGTATAAAAAGTGTTTCTTAATGCTTTGAATTCTTCTATTGTGAGCCTTTGTCTAAAACCGTCTCGATCCTCATCGTTCACAACTGCTCAAACCCTCCTTTAAGGGGTGTAAAAGCGTATCTTTAGGTGTCAGTTAGATGATGTTGTATCAGTGAAGAAAGAATTGATTCTCTGCCTGCCAAAACCTCTCATGTCGTCAGTGTTTACAAGTTCGCAAAAAAACATTAAAAACATATTTTAAAAATGTGTTTTAACATTCCCCGAAACATGAACTACTGCATATGTGTGTGAACGAAAGGGAGTGAAGAAAGGGGTGGCCAGTCATGCAAAGCTTTGTAGTGTTACGTCGCTTGGGCGTGTCAGAATCATCTGATTCTGGGTTCGAATCCCAGATTCGCCCTAAAGATATAACTTGATTTTCCACCACTATACCACCCTAATGGGTTTCACCATAATGGCAGACGTCTTAGACCTACATCACATCGAACTTTCCTCCCACCTTAATCCAACACATCGTGACATAACTGAAAAACTGTTCAATGCGGCGTTAAACCCAACTCACTCACTCGCTGTAAAAGCTTTAATACGAACGACCATGTTCAATATTAGTATGCACACGTAAATTATATAGTGAAAATGTTTTGTGACTGCATTTATAAGAATATACATATATCATAACAGAACACTATAAAATGTCACCCATGTATCAGTTTTCAATATGATCAAAATTTACAATTGAATCTTTCACTTATCCAAAATTAACGGCTTACCATTTTGAAGCTTGAAATCAGACAGTTGCCTGAATAAGTCGGTCACTTTCTACAAACCTTGACCCAAGCTCCGTGGCCTAAACACTGTGTCACTATTCCAGGTTAGAACATAGAAGCGCCTCCAACAGCTACACATTCATGAAACAAAGCACCACAAGCGGTAGATACTATAAGGCTTGTTAAAATTAATCTGTTGTTTGTCATTTTCTATCTGCCTCAAAATTGCCGCTGCCTCCAATTTTTTTTTATTGTTATGCAATAAGAAACGACGTTTTTTAACTCAAATTTCGTTTTGGCACCGGATTCTGCTCTTTTGCACACTCCATTCATTGTGCGTCAGATTTGTAGATACATCATGTAGTAGTCACCGTGGCTTTTGCACTTGCCTTTATGCTTAGAGACGTTAAGTGTGTACAAAAAAATGGTCACGCAGTACATAAGAATCAAACTTACTTGATACAATTAAATTAAAATCTGACCTCCCTACCCATGAAGTTTGGAAAAAAGTCACGAGAAACGAGACTATTTTTTAACTGGTCTTACGAAGATGGCCCCGAGATTGTCTGATGGGACGGTACGCTGTGTCTACCGGTTGCAAAGATGCCCGTAGCCTAGAAACTACGGCATTGTCTCGCTGAAGTCAACTCTCAATATGGTTTACACTGTGTTTTAAGGCTTGCAAATTGGATACATTGCCAGTGATGATTTGTTTGTTTTTTGTTGTTAAACCCCTCACTATATCAATAGTATTCCAGCTATATGGCGGCGGCCTGTTAATAATCGAGTCTCGACCACACAAACCATTGGTTGATAACATGAGCAGCTTCCGAAGCAGTCGGGGCACTTTGACACGTCATTTAAGTCACCTAGCCTGGCCACCTGATCTATTTTTCCGCCTCTCACGACCAGCAGAGGTTGCTCGGGACGTACGCCGACCGGATATCCCCACATGGTTCACATTAAGCCTCAGTCACACAGATAATGCGACCGCGATGCAACCTCCTTGCACCAAAATATTTGACAATCGCAATGAGGTTTCAGGGGTCTCTGAAAGGTTTCACTGAGGTCGCTACAAGGTTTCAGAAGGTCGCAAAACCCATTCGGTCACAACCAGTCTTTTGAACATGCACAAAAGACTGGCTGCGACCGATTTGGTCTCTCGGAGGTTTCATTGGTCTCCTGGAGTTCCCCAAGTGGTGTTATTTTAATCGCAGATTGGTTTCCTCTTGCGGCGATCGGTTTCGTCTACTCGTCGACTCTTTGCAACCTAGTGGCGACCTATCGGTGACTGATCAGTGATGAGGTGGTGATCGACCGGCGCTTCATCGGTGACAACTTGAAAGAAATGGTTTCATTCAGAAAAACACCCTTTTTATATGCATTTAGTTTTGATCGGTGATCGATCGACAACCGACCAGTCCCCGTCCAGTTGCAACAAGTCACTGACTAGTCACCGATCGGTCTCAACCAGTTGCAAACATTTCGTCGTATCTGAGGTGAACAGTTGCCGATCAATAACTGACAAGTTGCAAAACCTATCACTGATTGATCGGCGATCATACCCTAATTCCAAATATGGGCAGAAGTAGTTGCACCGGTCTCAGCGATCGCCAGTCGGCCGCACAAGAAATCAGTCGCCAAGAGGTTGCATCGTGGTGGCATTGTCTGTGTGACTGTAGCTTTAATGGAACACTGGAAGTAACATTTCTCCTTGCTCAATAAAGAGAATGCAATTACCAGTGCCTGTTTCATAAGTTACTGATGTTATAAAACCATGAGTGAGTTAACATTTAACGACGCATCGGCATTATTTCAGCCATATTGCGACGAGAAAAAGTTTTAATAACAACAATAACATTATGAGTGACATGTGTTAATAGCGGGGAGGGTTTGGGGGGGGGGGGGGGGGGGGGGCATATTTTTAAATTTAATCATACGTATATAATTTGTTTTAATTCCAACTTCGGTTACGCAGCAAATACTTTATACGTATTTGCATATATTTGAATGTTGGCGGGGGATTGTGCATAATTAAATTGAATTTGAACATTTCTTGATAACCCAACACACACACACACACACACACACACACACACACACACACACACACACACACACACACACACACACACCACCCCAAAAAGAAGGGATGGATATGGTGCGTTAATGCAAACAAATTAAAAAATATTCTATAACAAATATTACGGTTTTTCGTGGAAATCACCATCAATGAAGTGTGATAATCAACATGTATTAAGCAATTTGCATTTTATGCATACATGTATAGTGAGTGAGTGGAGTTAGTTACATAAATGCTCAGTTGTGTTTCACTTACATTACGGCGTGGCAGTATAATATGGAAGGAATCGTGATGTAGTCTCAGACGTTTACATCTCTTTGTAATCCACGAGCATTGGTTTGCTGCTGGCAAACCAAGAATAGTACGCAGGGCGATCACAGGATTCTGACACGCCAAAGGGACGAAACTCCACGAAGTACAGCAACGGTCATTCTGGATAAATGAACAATGGTTATTGTATCAATTAAATACACTGTTTAAACGGAAAACATTTAACGTTTATATCTTTGTTCAATGCACGGGGATTAAAAATGACAAACGATGTATACATAATGGTCAAAATACATATCTTGAAGTCTGTTGGCACTAAAACATCACACTTGAGCAACAAGGGCAGGTTAAGTACATGCGTGTTTTTGGTTCGTTGTGTAACGCCTCTCTGAGTAATGTTCCCGGTTGTCTGTAATTGTATGAAACTGGACCAGTCTCTCTGAGAACGTCTCACGTCAAAGGTGTACAATCACACGCAACTAACCGAGTTACCCAATCTAACTATTCGGACAATCAAGTCGCCAAGCATAGGGATTGGGAGACCAGTTCTAACCCGGAGCCTTAAACCAAAGCAACAATCGCCCTGAACTAGTACAGTTAAACCCTCAATGAGATAGATTTGAATTACAGTTTTAAGTATTGAGTTTATGCTTTGCAATATTACCTAAAGGGGTTAAGTCTCAAGGATCGGAACATACAAATAATTCACTCGGGACAGATAATCCGACCTGTTCATCAAAGCTCGTATGTGATTCTTTAATTTTGTTGTGGCAATATTTAGTTTCATTTTCTCAGTAATGGCTCGTACATGTAAATTTGGCTTTACCGAGAAGGCAAGACATATAGCATATAAGTCATTATTTGGGATGGGGTGCCCTATCACCTGACCCCGATATCCTTGCACACAATGTAAAGACACGACCGCCGGTTATGTACATAATGAGAGGTTCTTGTTTAACGCCGCGCGCAGCAATAGTCCACGGGACTATGACGACGGGAGTATTTGTGATGACAAACGAATTGCAGTTTGGGATAAATCGAAAGATGTTTGTTATTTTGGTTTCCCTAATAAAATTCTACTCCCACCTGCCAAAGAAAGCAATTTTCGTGCATATTTTTTCATTCTTGGAGCCATAGGAGATTTGTATTGTTAGAAAATCAAGGCATTGTTTTAAAAGCCAAGATGGCCGTCAAAATGGCGGACAAAACATTCGGTTCCTATATATTTCTTAATATTCGTGAAATGGAGAGAAGAATGGGTTACACAATTCATTATTGAGCACTACTTGCAGTTTACCTTTAAAAAACTGACATTTCGACATATACTACACAGCATCTCACGTGACCAAACAGTGGACGTCGCATTTGTTGACACTGTCTCCGTTTCTAAGCAACCAGCGACTCCACAGCCCAGACACACACTGTCTTCACCACACCAACCCCCTGGTTATCACTCTCGTAAACAATCACATGGTGTTCTTATTTCTGACCCATTGGCGTTTTTGTTTAAGATGTCATGAGTCGACCTGTAAATCACCCTCAATACTGAGTACTCATTTCGCGGGGTACTTTATTTACGTAATGGAACTCGGTGAATAAAGGTTTTAAATTTGGTGGTCGGAGAGGAAATACTGTCATCTTTTGCCATAGTTCACAATGGTAAGTCTTTTTAAGATTTGTTTATTCACTCAATGTTACTTCTGAAATAGGGGTCCCACTTTTGTATTATTCTGGGGTGGGGGTGAGTTGGGGAAGGAGGTGTTAGGATTTTTATTTGAGACAGGATATTTTTTCGTTCGGTCATTGCGTCTATTTTAATTTATAGTAACTGTTATTTTCAGGACTTCCAACATTTTTTGTGGGTAAAACCTAAGGAATAAAATAAATAGTCAGTCCCTAACTAAGCACCAAATAGTCGGCTCCTAAGTTAGTAACAAATAGTCGGCTCCTAAGTTAGCAACAAATAGTCGGCTCCTAAGAAGCAACAAATAGTCGGCCCCTAAGTCAGCACCAAATAGTCAGTCCAAAGTCAGCACAAAATCGTCGGTCCCAAAGTCAGCACCAAATAGTCGGATCCTAAGTTAGCACCAAATAGTCGGATCCTTAGTCAGCACCAAATTCATGTGCGTGCGTGTGTGTGTGTGGTGTGTGTGAGACTCACGGTAATTTATGCCGGATTGTTTTACACACCGTTTCAATTAGGAACAGATAATCAGTACCTACTAGAACTTACAACAGGCAACCTGAACGGGCATTACGATCTGCATGCCAACATAAGATGGTAATGTCCCCAGCTCGGACATAAGGCCCCAGTGGATGTCAGGAGACGAGGATGTCAGCAGCTTCTGGTCAACCCTCCATACCATTCTCTCCAAAAGGGCCGATGACTGAGCCTCATGAGCATGGACCATCTGGATCAGATGCGCTGTATAAATCTATCATTTAATATTTATTAAAATAAAATTGTTGTGGCAATATGGTTCCTAATGGACCAGACAGGTGCAGTGGATGACCTTTTGTAGCCAACATGGCTGTCAATTCTAAATAGCTACATGAGAATGGGGGAACAATTCGCTTCTACACATGTTGGTTGAGTAAATATATAGTTTAAATAATGAAATAAAAGGTAAGTGCTTTCGGATATTCAAACTACTATCAAAGAGAGTCCAAACAAGATGAAAGTTACATTAAAACAGCCTATGTTCAAGGCATTTTATTCATATGCCGTTATTTAAGAAAATGTACTGTAGACAGTTTCACACAATTACATGTACGTTTGTTAAAAGATTTTGATTTTTAATTATATTTACCTAACATACGGTTTAGGGGATATACCAAAAGTAAGACATACGAAAGAGATGAGCTTTGAATTAATACCTTCAGAATTCTGCCTTCATTTTGACGGTATCACAAGCCAATCAAAACTGCAATCATTCATATGAATTATACAGGTTTTCGGGTCACGTATGACCCAGTGCTATTTGCTATGCAGGTTTCTGCCTCTTAGCTGTAACAGGATCCGCTGATCGTGATTTTTATTCCATGATTCAACACGATTACGGTCCTTGGTCTTGCACCACCGTCTCGTGCTTGTGGGTTTGACCACAGTGATAACATCTTCGACCGACCTTGGGCTTTTCAAAAAGCAAAGATGTCGTACCTTGTTGTTAAAGTGACTGAAGTTCAAAACTGCTCTATACAAATCATTCACCATCCTCAATATTCCCAGTGCTCGCATTTCGGTAAACCTACGCTAACCCTGTTCTCCCGATCTCAGTTTCCTGCCCTTGATTTTCGTTTACATTTTACCGACCAATCAAACGTCGAGGTGAGGAAAAATGAAATGGGTAAAGGGATGGACATGAAGACATCCTTACAATCAAAAATATTCTTGAGGGCTTTCGTTTGTAACGTTTTTCAACGTTGAATTTCTTGCGAACTCTATCGTAATCAACTGGACCGCCCGCCATGTTGTTGATAGCGCCAACCCAACATTGAGGCTGGTGTGTAACTCGCATTCTGATTGGTCCGTTTGACTGAGTAGCGTAGGAAATCAAATTGGCTAATGAAAATGAAGGGCGTATAATTTGAGATCGCGAGAACCACGGGATCTACGGGTTAGAGTAGGTTTAACGAAATGAGAGTCGTGGAGATATAGAGGATGCTCATTCACAAATGATACTCAATACTTTACGAACCACAGGGGACACTGGTGGCCGTATCGTCTATACCTCCTCAATTCGCCGTGTGTCACCTAGGTGTGCCAGAATCCCATGATCGTTGATGTTGATCCCCGATTCGCCCTTATGATCCTTGGTTTGTCAGAATCATACACGTAGTCGTGGGTTTCACCCAAGTGCTGAACGTCTAAGACCTACATCACTGCGGCCTTTTTTCCAAGTTAAGCTGTCAAGTTGTGATATTACTGAAATAATACTAACCGCCTCCGCTAGTGGTAGAGCGTCTGCCCGGAGAGCGGAAGGTCGGGAGTTCGACACCCGGCCGCGTCATACTAAAAGACGTTAAAAGATGGTAATTGTTGTTACCCTGCCTATCGCTCGGCATAAAGGGGCTAAAACAAGGACTGGTCGGCTCTGAGTCAGTAAACTGTGTCTGAGTGAGGTATTCGTGTTAAACTGCAGCATGAGATTATCAGTGGGTTAGCAGCACTAGTACACACACACACACACACACACACACACACACACACACACACACACACACACACACACACACACACACACACACACACACACACACACGACCATGCACGTGGCCATATCAGTGCAATAATCTTAAACGCAACTTTAGAGCCCATTTTACCTCACTCACCAACTGAAATAGTGCTCTAAAGCGGCGTAACATGTCACCTATTCACTCGCTCACTCACTTATTCTCTGTAAACAATCAGTTGTTTTCTATATTATTTTGGTACTAATTTTATGGTTTATGTACAGGGTGATGATAAGGAATGCAAGAAGGAAGACGGCAGGGAGACGTGGTACGGCTGGGGCGCCTTCAAACCAAGGTAACTCGTACGACTGACCATAGATTAAAATCTAGCCTATGAATTACACAGATAAGTGAGTGAGTGAGTATGGTTTTACGCCGCTGTTAGCAAATATATTATTAATCTATGTACAAGGCATTTTATTCATACGCCGTTATTAAACAAATGTACTGTAGACAGTTTCCTAATGACAGTTACATGAATTTCCTAATACTTCGTTCTATTAATGTATAACATGAGTATTGTTTCAAGGTTCCTGCAATGGTTCAACACCCTGGCGTGCTTCATGACATTCATTGTCCTCGTGTACTTGACCATGGGGTTTGCATCTGGCTGGTCCGGAACATCCTTGGAACAGTTAGAGAAACAGTTCCACCTGCGCAGCACCGTCAGCGCTACGCTAGGCACAGCCAACAGCCTCAGCAGCACCTGCACCATAGCCTTCGTCAGCTACATCGGCAGCAAGTTCAACAAGGCCAAGGCATTAGCCTTCTCCGTGTCTCTGTATGGGGTTGGTCTGGCTCTGTGTTCGCTGCCTCACTATCTACTGGAGCCCTACAAACCTCCCAGCCAGGGTGAGTCTCCCACCAACTCTGGGTGAATCGGGCGTGTTTTAGTTACTAGTATATCACGGAGTGTCAGCGGAGTGAGGAGAGTGACGACTGTCAATAACGTTACCTCTTTGGTGGGCAGTGTGAATCAGGGATTTGATCACGTTGTCATGATCTGTGCCCTCTAACAGAGACGTGATCCTTTGTGTGCAGGGGCGGTCGGGTAGTCTGGTGGTTAAAGCGTTCACTCGTCACGCTGAAAACCCGGGTTCGACTCCCGACATGGGTACAATGTGTGAAGCCCATTTCTGGTGTCCCCCGCCGTGATATTGCTTGAATATTGCTAAAAGCGGCGTAAAATCAAACTCACTCACTCACTCACTTTGTGTGCAGCCCGCTGACACGTAATGAATGCCAAGCGAAAAAGGCGAAACATGAAATCGGATATCCCATGCAAAGGGAGTGAGGGAACTTTGCCTGTTTGACTTTGGGAACGTGGGCTTGAAAAACACATGTTGGTTCTTTCTCTGAGCAATTTGTCAAATCAGTGAATGTCTCATCTGGGTCCAGTCTAGTACAGTGATTAAAGGATTCCCTCGGCAAGAATACATATCAGTAATTCCTCGTAGCTCGCATGTGATTTGTCGTGGCAATATTTAGTCCACATATTTATTAATACTAAATATAAGATTTTATTTCTATATCCCAGTGAGTGAACGAGTGAGTGAGTGAGTACGCCGCTTTTAGCAATATTCCAGCAATATCACGGCGGGGGACACCAGAAATGGCCTTCACACATTGTACCCATGTCGGGAATCGAACCCGGGTCTTCGGCGTGACGAGCAAACGCTTTAACCACTAGGCTACCCGACCGCCCCTCTATATCTCAGTAATGGCTCGTATGTGTAAATTGGAAGCGGTGTGGTAGCCTAGTGGTTAAAGAGTTCGCTCGTCACGCCGAAGACCCGGGTTCGATTCCCGACATGGGTACAATATGAGAATCCCAATTCTGGTGTCCTTCGTCATACTCACTACACTGGGGTGGCTTAGTGATTAAAGCTTTCGCTCGTCAAGCCGAAGGTCCGGTTTCGATTCCGCACATGGGTACACTATGTGAAGCCCATGTCTTGTGGCCCAGGGTGTAATGCTCATCCAGCTACGGGACTCGTGGGTCACCATGCAGACTTCCTTGTTTTCAGCAATGTACAGCACGGAAAGGACGCCCATCTGCCCGACCAACGTCTCCTCTCCCTCCAATCACAGCTCAGTTCCAGCAGCACAAGGTGAAGGTCACATGGTCTACTTCTCGATCCTTCTGGTGGGCCAAGTACTGACGGGTATCGGCAGTTCACCTATCTTCACGCTCGGGTTTGCCTATATTGACAACAATGCATCAGTTACCATGGCAGCAATTCTTATAGGTGAGTTTCGCCAACACGTAAAAATACCCCAACAATACAGCTGTAACGTGTAAAAGAACAGAATGAAATGACAATTGGGTGGTGACTTAGCTTTCTATTGATTCGGTCTCTACTTGGATATCTACACAGGTAATAGCAGCAGCCTATCATGATATAGCAGTAATACTTGCTTGATGGACGACCATCTGAAACGTGTTCGTACTTGCTTGGGCACCTTTCCGCGAACACCTGGTGTCGTCACTATTTGATAGATTCATGAACACGTGCTCATGATACAGTCGGAATCGTGTTATTATGGAAATGGTTTTGTCTCTTTTATTACTCACAGGCTAATCATTATGGGCCAGACATTTGCTATTCTATAGGGGATTGGATTTGTCTTTATAATATAATTATTGTTTTAGCATGCTGGAATGTCCTGGAACAAACCGTGCTGTAAATAAAAAAAAATGAAAATCGGCTCTTTTTTCATAATATATATATATAAATATATATATATATATATATATGGGCGGATACAGCTTTTTTGAAAAGGGGGGGGTGCATAAATTAAGATCTATTTATTGTCTTTGGTGGTAATTTATACAGAAATAAAGATTTTTTTCGAAATAAAAAGGGGGGGTGCGCACCTCTGTATCCGCCCATGATATATATATATAAATTTGTATATATATATATATATATATATATGTGTGTGTGTGTGTGTTGTGATAAGCAATAATATTAACAACATTTTGTAAAAGGTAACAAATAGCACACAGATACTATGATGAAGCCAGCTATACAGTAAGAATGAAAAACAGCACACAGCTAATGAAGCCACGTGTACAGAAAGGATAAGGATTAAAAAGTTGTAACAAGCTTATTTGATATTAATTATAAGAGAAAATGTTGTTGGATTAGATCTTCATAGGCAGGTGGGAAGTAATACCTTGATCTCTGTTGATCAAAGGTTTGTGACGGCGGATCCATCAACTCTCGGAGTTTTCTTTTTAATTCAAGTTCGACAAAGGCCATATTCTGTCAACAAAGCATCAGGATTTTTTTAAAAACTTATCCACAGAGTTGTACGTTTTCTTTTTTATTCTTTCATATAATTAAATTATGGGCCCTTATTTGGTGATATCTGTTTGTACTTCGATAATCAAAAACAAAACTTGCTTTTGCAGGAATATTGAACACTGTGGGAGTGATTGGTGCAGCCTTGAGCGCCCTGGTTGGCGGGCGGATTATCCAATACCTGTATGTGGACTTTGACAGGGTGGATACAGACAGGTGGGTGATGTCCATTGTCTGGTAATAAGACAACGGCTAACATGTTGCCACAATAATACATACACCCCTTTCCACCTGTGTCTTTCTTGTGGATTTAGGTAGATATGTCCGTTTATATATGATATTTATGAAACCTAAAACACACGAGGGTAAAAATCTTTCTATCATATGGCATTCTTGGAATATTGCCATTCACTATAGTATATTTATGGAATTATGCAGGTATTTTTATGCAGGACGTCTTAAACTATACCACTTAGATGAAACGAACGTGCACGGGTATTAGGAACAGAATCAGAGCGAACTGGGATTCAAACCCACGATGGATCCCATATTTTGGCATGCCTAAGGGGCACAATTTTGCACAGTTAATTGCGACGTATTAGACGACTGGACCACCCGTTCCCCACGTGATGCGTCGAAGCTTGGGGCATGAGTGGAGTCGCCTCGGGTGCAGATCTGGGTGGTTATTGCAAATATTCAAACGATTCAAGCGATATCAAGGCAGGGAAAATAGGCTTCACACACATGGGCTTGAACCCGGGCCTTCGACGTGACGAGCGAACGCTTTATCCACTAGGCTACCCTACCACCCCTCAACCATTTATAACAGTTGTTGTTTAGTGTTTATTTGTGTGCAGTACACACACGTAGTTAGTGAACTTACAGAATTACTCGTTTAGTTAGAAAGGTTTTACGCTGGATTTAGCAGTATTTACGCAAAATGAAGACGGGGACTCCAGAAATGGGCTTCACGTCTTGTGACCAGGTAGGGAATTGAACCCCAGGTCTTCGGCGAAACGAGCGTAAGCGTGAACCACAGGGCTATCCAACCCGCCGGAAACAGTAAATTAAGTAAGATTATTAAGATACGTAATTGTGTATGTACGTTAAAACTGTCCAACCTCTAGAGAGTTTCAATCACATACTTGTTATCATTTGTCTAATTGTCACAGCTTGTCGTTTGACTCCCTGGACCAACGTTGGGTTGGGGCGTGGTGGCTTGGGTACATCGTGACTGGAATCCTCATCCTCATCATGTCCCTCCCCATCTCTGGATTCCCGAAATATTTCCCCAGTGAGTTCTACATACACACATGAGTCGAGTATTACGCCGCATGTAGCAGTTCTCTAGCAACATCACGGTGAGGGACACCGTGACCAAGCGTCACACATTGTACCCAGGTGGAGGATCGAACCAGGGCCCACTTGCACAAAACGATCTTAGCGCTAAGACTACTGTAAGCCTATGTTAAAGTATGGGAGTTAAGATCATCTTAGCGCTAAGATCGCTTTGTGCAAGTGGGCCCAGGCCCTTAGTACGACGAGCAACCATTAGGCTACCCTATAGCTGCCCCCTCTATTTATTAAAGGATTCATTCGGAAGTCATATTATTGATACACGTTACCTGTGTATTTCATAACACAAACCAATTTTACCCCGTGACCCCAGAATATGTACTCTCTCTGCCAAGCCCACTTGCTTTATAGGTGCTGCAAGTTACCCCAAGTCTAGGAATATGTACTCTCGTTGACAAGCCCTCTTGCTTCACAGGCGTTGCAAGTTTACCCCATAACCCTGGAATATGTACTCTCGTTGACAAGCCCTCTTGCTTCACATGTTCTACGTTCAACTGTCCTGTACGGGGCCAGCAATACTGACGGTAGCCTGTAAATGATCTGGACCAGGCAGTCCATTGATTGATATTAAACAACGATCCACGCCATCGGGGTATGATGACACGCCATCAAGAAAGTCACAGGGCCTGAGTACCCGATTCCGTTAATCGCCTCTTACGTCAAGCGCAGTGGACTCTTACGGCAAGCATGTGTTGCTGAAAACATGTTCTAACCGGGATCTTTACGACGGGTTCGATGGCGAATGACTCCAGTGGATAGATAATAATAAAATGGAGGTATCCACTGGTAATCGAGGAAGCTCCTATATGTGAACAAGCGAAAACGTTTAGCACTTGGAAGGCAAGGGGATGTGTGTTGGGGGTGGGGGTGGGGTGGAGGGTGGGTCCAGTTATTTTTGGGTTGATATATCAATATAAAGTGCCCGGCAAAGAATGTATACACCTATGTTTAATATTTTAATATTATGGGCATGATAGTTGTGTTTTGGACCTAAAGCGACAGTTTTCAGCCTAGTAACGTTTCGTAAACGTTTGTAATTTTAGGGTCAAATCCAATTTTCAAGTGTACACGCCCTTGTTTACTGACATGGATGACACCGTATTTATTTATTAACATTTCAGACAGTCCTCACAGAGAGGAATTGGAGAAGAACACACATGAGCAGGTCAATAAAAACCTGTATACCTATCTCAAGAAAAGTGTTACCGACTTTTTCAAGGCGCTCTTTAAACTTGTAAGTACATCATACATGGCGATATCGGGTAGGGATCTGTGTATCTCACGTTTGTCTCTTCTGCCGAAGGGCATTACTTGTATCGGATCTCTTTTGTGACATATCACTGTGAAAAGTCGCAACCATTAGCCAGCCAGGATCCGCTGGTCGTAAGTTCGAATCCCAATGTTATCTTCATTATAAAGCTTGGTTTGTCGGCACCCAAACGGGGGCTGGAGCTAATGGGTCTCACCACTGACACCACTTGGGTGTTTATCCCACAATAATCTGACATGCAGTGATATAACATTCACTCACTCACTCACTCACTCACTCACTGGGTCGCACCACTGACATCACTTAGGTGTTTATCCCACAATAATCTGACATGCAGTGATATAACATTCACTCACTCACTCACTCACTCACTCACTGGGTCTCACCACTGACACCACTTAGGTGTTTATCCAACAATAATCTGACATGCAGTGATATAACACTCACTCACTCACTGATTCACTGGGTCTCACAACTCACTCACTCACTCACTGGGTCTCACCACTGACACCACTTAGGTGTTTATCCAACAATAATCTGACATGCAGTGATATAACACTCACTCACTCACTGATTCACTGGGTCTCACAACTCACTCACTCACTCACTGGGTCTCACCACTGACACCACTTAGGTGTTAATCCCACAATAATCTGACATGCAGTGATATAACACTCACTCACTCACTCATTCACTCACTTTCACACTCACTCACTCACTCACTCACTGTTGTGACAGCTATGTTGATCATTGACTATTTTATAAGTCTTTATAATCTATAATATCTATTGAATAATCTATTATTTTCAATATAACTTTAGGCCAAATTATTGTTCCAGTATTTTTGTGGTCATTGTGTAAAAAAGCACATGTGGTTGTATTATCAAACACCATTCCAATCAATATTATACTTATTACCTAGCTCACTCATCCAATGTGACCCGTGAAAACCCGGTTAGAATAGGTCTTCAGCAACCATGCTTGTCGTAAGAGGCGACTATGCTTGTCGTAAGAGGCGACTAATGGGATCGGGTGGTCAGGCTCGCTGACTTCGTTGATGCATGTCATCTTATCCAGTTGCTTAGATCGATGCTCATGATGTCAATCACTGTATTGTCTATTCCAGACTTGATTATTTACAGACCGCCGCCATATTGCTGGAATATTGCTGAGTGCGGCGTCAAACAAGAAACAAACATCCAATATGTGTAAGAAGAGTACGTGCTAATATTTCAGATATTCGATTTGGAATTCATGCTCATCAGTGTAGCGTCAGCTATAGAAGGTGTGGCTGTACACGGAATGGCAATGTTTGCCTTCAAGTTTATTAACCATGAATATGGTTTGGACTATGAAACAACCGGATATATACTAGGTGAGGCACGTTCCCAGGTGAGTGAGTGAGTGGGTGGGTGGGTGAGTTGGGGGAGTGAGTGAGTGCGTGGGTGAGTGAGTGAGTGGTTTTGTGGGTGAGTGAGTGAGTGGACGAGTGGGTGGGTTGGTGAGTGAGTGGATGGATGGGTGGTTTTGTGGGTGAGTGAATGAGTGAGTAAGTGGATCTCGGATCCACGGCGTGGCGGTTAAAGCATTAACTTGGCCAAGTGGGTTGGCATAAAACATTAAAATTGGAAATTATTATAATATGTCTATTTCATACAGGTTCAAAGGCTATCATTGGGTCGGTTGGCTACCTCCTGGCCGGGCTTCTGATAAAGTGGTTCAAGCTGGACTTGCTGGGAATGGAGAGAATGGTCGCTGGTCTGCTCTTTGTTGCCACGGTGTGTGGCCTCACGCTCTTTGCTGCTTGTCCTGACATCAATATGATTGGCCTGGATCTGCCCTACCCTGGAGACAGGTTGGGGTCTTTAAAGGTTGTTTGTTTGTTTGTTTGTTGTTTAACGCCGCACTCAGCAATATTCCAGCCATATGACGGCGGTCTGTAAATAATCGAGTCTGGACCAGACAATCCAGTGATTGACATCATGAGCATCGATCTAAGCAATTGGGATACGATGACATGCATCAACCAAGTCAGCGAGCGTGACCACCCGATCCCGTTAGTCGCCTCTTACGACAAGCATAGTCGCCTATTACGGCAAGCATAGTCGCCTATTACGACAAGCATAGTCGCCTATTATGGCAAGCATGGGTTGCTGAAGACCTATTCTATCCCGGGTCGGGGTCTTTAAAGAAACAGCTCCGGCATATGCCGCCCATATACATTGTATGAACATTGTACTTTATGTCCGATGTAAACTGAGACAAAAATGCTTGAATGACGACAATCAAACCTGCTACAACTGACATTTGGTCCAAGCCTATGAGCTCATGGCGAATCAGTGTCATGACAGGACCGATGATCATTGTCCGCAACAAGGTCAAGGTCATGCTGTCTCCTTGTGTCCAATGTCAGATACGTGCATCTACACGTCAGTGTCAACAGTTTCATATTTCTCCTCAAACTGATAAGAACTGATTTCCAGGAGCAGGTGTGTCATTTCATTAAACCACGATCTCCCTGGTGACCTGACTGAGACATTTTCCCGTTTTCGTCTTTTCTCAAGGTGAATATAACGTATGCTGACGTTCTCATGCATGAAGCTGACTACATCTACATTATTAAAAGTAAATTATTTAACAAAATGACTTTGCTGGTTTCTCTCTATGAACTTTTCCCCATCATTTGACACTTTCATTTCAGCGAAGTGTCAGGCTTCCTTGCTTCCTGTCAGGGTCAGTGCCAGTGTCAAGGTCAGGAGTTCAGTCCTGTTTGTAGCAGCGATGGACTTGTCTACTTCTCACCCTGCCACGCGGGTTGTCTGGACAGTAGCATGGATGGCGATGTGATGGTGGGGATTATCAATGGGTTGTTAAAACTGATAGGACACCTGAAGGGCTTTGTGGTCTATTGCTCTGTGGTCTATTGCTCTGTGGTCTATTGCTCTGTGGTCTATTGCTCTGTGGTCTATTGCTCTGTGGCCTATTGTTCTGTGGTCTATTGCTCTGTGGTCTATTGCTCTGTGGTCTATTGTTCTGTGGTTTATTGCTCTGTGGTCTATTGCTCTGTGGTCTATTGCTCTGTGGCCTATTGTTCTGTGCCCTATTGTTCTGTGTCCTATTGCTCTGTGGCCTATTGCTCTGTGGCCTATTGCTCTATGGCCTATTGCTCTGTGGCCTATTGCTCTGTGGTCTATTGCTCTGTGGCCTATTGCTCTGTGGTCTATTGTTCTGTGGCCTATTGCTCTGTGGCCTATTGCTCTGCGTGGCCTGCAGGTTCCGCTGAGCGTGGTTTTAAATTTAAGATTCAACCTGATTATTAAAACCATATAATAAATCCTTGCTTTATCAGCACTACACCCATGGTCATGGGTTTAACCTCAGTGATAAACATCTGAGGTTTGCGAGATGCTTGCACTAACTGTAGTGTACTGGAATATGAAGTTATGTAGAGATGCTTGCACTAACTGTGGTGTACTGGAATATGAAGTTGTATGTAGAGATGCTTGCACTAACTGTAGTATACTGGAATATGAAGTTATGTAGAGATGCTTGCACTAACTGTAGTATACTGGAATATGAAGTTTTGTAGAGATGCTTGCACTAACTGTAGTATACTGGAATATGAAGTTATGTAGAGATGCTTGCACCAACTGTAGTGCACTGGAATATGAAGTTGTATGTAGAGATGCTTGCACTAACTGTAGTGTACTGGAATATGAAGTTATGTAGAGATGCTTGCACTAACTGTAGTGTACTGGAATATGAAGTTGTATGTAGAGATGCTTGCACTAACTGTAGTATACTGGAATATGAAGTCATGTAGAGATGATTGCACTAACTGTAGTGTACTGGAATATGAAGTTGTATGTAGAGATGTTTGCACTAACTGTAGTAAACTGGATAAGCTGCCTCAGATTCTTCCTTGTTCTGCAGACTTTCACCAACTGCAGCTGTATAGCAGCTGGACTCAACACCAGTGTGACAGATGCGCTGGCCACTGCGACCGCGGGCAAATGTAGCACCGACTGCTGGCAGGTGTACCTCGTCATGCCCTGCTTGTTTGTTGTCTACGTCACCATCATCACATGCGCCACATTCTCGGCTTTTACAACTCTCAGGTAGGTACAGCATTGTCTCCTCTTCTGTAGTGTCTGTGGCTGATCGCACTTAGGTAGGTACAGTCTTGTCTCCTCTTCTCTAGTGTCTGTGGCTGATCGCACTTAGGTAAGTACAGCCTTGTCCTCGCTTCTCTAGTGTCTGTGGCAGATCACACTAGGGTAGGTACAGTCTTGTCTCCTCTTCTTTAGTGTCTGTGGCTGATCGCACTTAGGTAGTTGGAGCCTTGTTTTCTCTTCTGTAGTGTCTGTGGCTGATCGCACTTAGGTAGTTGGATCCTTGTCTTCTCTTGTCTAGTCTCTGTGGCTGATCACACTAGGGTAGGTACAGTCTTGTCTCCTCTTCTCTAGTGTCTGTGGCTGATCACACTAGGGTAGGTACAGTCTTGACTCCTCTTCTCTAGTGTCTGTGGCTGATCACACTAGGGTAGGTACAGTCTTGTCTCCTCTTCTCTAGTGTCTGTGGCTGATCACACTAGGGTAGGTACAGTCTTGTCTCCTCTTCTCTAGTGTCTGTGGCTGATCACACTAGGGTAGGTACAGTCTTGTCTCCTCTTCTCTAGTGTCTGTGGCTGATCACACTAGGGTAGGTACAGCCTTGTCTTCTCTTCTCTAGTGTCTGTGGCTGATCACACTAGGGTAGGTACAGTCTTGTCTCCTCTTCTCTAGTGTCTGTGGCTGATCACACTAGGGTAGGTACAGCCTTGTCTTCTCTTCTCTAGTGTCTGTGGCTGATCACACTAGGGTAGGTACAGTCTTGTCTCCTCTTCTCTAGTGTCTGTGGCTGATCACACTAGGGTAGGTACAGCCTTGTCTTCTCTTCTCTAGTGTCTGTGGCTGATCACACTAGGGTAGGTACAGTTTTGTCTCCTCTTCTCTAGTGTCTGTGGCTGATCACACTAGGGTAGGTACAGCCTTGTCTTCTCTTCTCTAGTGTCTGTGGCTGATCACACTAGGGTAGGTACAGTCTTGTCTCCTCTTCTCTAGTGTCTGTGGCTGATCACACTAGGGTAGGTACAGCCTTGTCTCCTCTTCTCTAGTGTCTATGGCTGATCACACTAGGGTAGGTACAGTCTTGACTCCTCTTCTCTAGTGTCTGTGGCTGATCACACTAGGGTAGGTACAGTCTTGTCTCCTCTTCTCTAGTGTCTGTGGCTGATCACACTAGGGTAGGTACAGTCTTGTCTCCTCTCTCTGGTGTCTGTGACTGATCACACTAGGGTAGGTACAGCCTTGTCTCCTCTTCTCTAGTGTCTGTGGCTGATCACACTAGGGTAGGTACAGCCTTGTCTCCTCTTCTCTAGTGTCTATGACTGATCACACTAGGGTAGGTACAACCTTGTCGCCTCTTCTTTAGTGTCTGTGGCTGATCGCACTAGGGTAGGTACAGCCTTGTCTCCTCTTCTTTAGTGTCTGTGGCTGATCACACTAGGGTAGGTACAGCCTTGTCCCCTCTTCTCTAGTGTCTGTGACTGATTGCACTTAGGTAGTTGGAGCCTTGTCTCCCCTTCTCTAGTGTCTGTGGCTGATCACACTAGGGTAGGTACAGCCTTGTCTCCTCTTCTCTAGTGTCTATGACTGATCACACTAGGGTAGGTACAACCTTGTCGCCTCTTCTTTAGTGTCTGTGGCTGATCGCACTAGGGTAGGTACAGCCTTGTCTCCTCTTCTTTAGTGTCTGTGGCTGATCACACTAGGGTAGGTACAGCCTTGTCCCCTCTTCTCTAGTGTCTGTGACTGATTGCACTTAGGTAGTTGGAGCCTTGTCTCCCCTTCTCTAGTGTCTGTGGCTGATCACACTAGGGTAGGTACAGCCTTGTTTCCTCTTCTTTAGTGTCTGTGGCTGATCACACTAGGGTAGGTACAGCCTTGTCTCCTCTTCTCAAGTGTCTGTGGCTGATCACACTAGGGTAGGTACAGTCTTGTCTCCTCTTCTCTAGTGTCTGTGACGGATCGTACTAGGGTAGGTACAGTCTTGTCTCTCTTCTTTAGTGTCTGTGGCTGATCACACTAGGGTAGGTACAGTCTTGTCTCCTCTTCTCTAGTGTCTGTGGCTGATCGCACTAGGGTAGGTACAGTCTTGTCTCTCTTCTCTAGTGTCTGTGGCTGATCACACTAGGGTAGGTACAGCCTTGTCTCCTCTTCTCTAGTGTCTGTGGCTGATCACTCTAGGGTAGGTACAGTCTTGTCCCCTTTCCTCTGGTGTCTGTGACTGATCACACATGGGTAGGTTTTTGTTGGCATGAATAGTTTGGGTGTTAGTGTTTCGGTTATTAGAGGTGTTTATACAGAGTATACTATTTAAAGTTGGACAATTTGACAGATTCGAGTATAAATAATGATAAATATAGAAGGAATTCGCAGGGACTGGAAATTGAGTTCGAGAAAATTGGCAGTTCGACACATCAAAGGTCCGACTGTATTTCAGTGGCGTTTTCTGGTTTAATAAATTGATGAAATTTAACCTCGCGTCCGAGATATTAATGCCAAAAAGCGTTGGATCAACACTGGATGGGTTCAATCGCTGTAAGACCTCTTCTTGCCGTAGTGATATATAATAGTGTTTGGCAGTCTGGGCAATGATTATATCATAAATGTATTTGATATTCGTCAACTTTTCCCTTCTTCCACAGGTGTGTGGACCAAGATCTCCAGGCATTTGCGCTTAGTATAAAGATGATATTTATGGCAGTAATAGGTAAGATTTTGGGCAATATTAATATTTTAGTCCGGTTTTGCATATTTGCCGAACACTGAAATAAAAGAAATGAAAAATGTTCCATAAACGACTTATACTGATGCTAAGCACCAAGTAAGTTACCACTTTATCGGAAAGAGTTCAAAGTTTTTCGATCGAACCGGCTTCCATGTTTCGTGAAATATGTTTCCAAAATTTTGATTTTCCCTTTCGTAGCTCAGCGGAACTTTCAGAAGAAGTGTGCAGGGCGAGTAGTCATTGCGTCTATCCTTCGTAAAAATTTACGTTCTACATGTCTTCTGAAACCACAGCTGAACGTTGCAAGGATGATGGGAAAACCTGCTCACAGAATGTTGACCTGATATTGAACATGGCCGCCACGGCAGCCATATTGGAAATGCCACCCATTAGTAACCATTATGTATCATTATGAAGTAAGTAGGCGGTTTTATTGTATCGAAACCTACTTTCATACATTCTCGTTTACTCTTTCAATTGTGACCAGTTCGAATGCGAATATTCAGAGTTTTTTGGCGAGATACGAAGTCTTATGGTTCTATTTTGTATCTATCCGTATAATAATAGATGTTTTTTATCATCTAGCACAAACGTATTTTCAACGAAGAGTGGGTAGAGATAAAATACACTAGTGAAACCGCCTCAACTGTTTTATATTTAGATCCATGCGGATTCAAAGTGACCAAAAATATCCACAACTCCCCAAAAATCCATTTTCCCTTTTTATCGAGCATTTGGTCTCTACATTTCACTTTTGAGGTACAATCGAGCATGATTTCTACGGAGATTTCAAAGAGCTGCCTACGGCTCTTGATCAAACAACGGGGTTTCAACAGGGCTATAGCTTTCAATGCTCACAGTAAAATATATAAAACAATTATGGTGGACATTTCCAAGTTTGACACAAGTTATATCGCTTGCAATTCACTACTTTGACTTGTACCATACGTTTCCGTGTTTTTAAGTGAACACCTGACTTGGCTTTGCATGTGGTTTTTATCTGATGACAGAATGATATTCAGTAAATGTTGGATGTCTGATACATTGCTGAATTTTGACATGGTCAAAATTTTATCTTTCAAGTCATGAATACGTCACATGTATGCAAATATGTATGTGATCATTGATCACCCAAGGGTGCAGCTTTACACATGGAAACAGTTCAAACACAACAATCTCCTGCAATGGCACACTGCTCCGTTATTCGCAGTTCGCAATCTTACCGTATGGCACTTTTCCCAAGGCACGTAACTCCAGACCAAACTCTCAACTCTAACCAAAAGCTCGATGAACATTACAATAAAAATAAAGGGGAAAAAGTTATTTCCAGAATATCTATTCAAGGCTTTGACGATCTACACCAAATATACCAAATACATGTACTTCACAATTTAAACATAAATCTGGTCGACTTTTGAGAGCAAGCTGAACACGAAAACCGAAATTTAAACACGTTGTGAAAAAAAACGATCTGAAGGGAAAGCACATGTAGATAAAAGAAAAAAGAAGCCATCACCGTGAAAGCATATTATAATTTATAAACATTCTCACCATTGACCTATTTCACGTCATAAGACTTGAACACGTAAGTCGAGTAAGTTCCCAAATCGCTTTCATTTTTAAAAACAAATATGTATATTCGAGTAAGTTCCCAAATCACTTTCATTTTTAAAAACAAATATGTATCTTCTGACTGCTTATGCAGTCTCGGGGAAAATTGAACCGGATACTATAGTGTAAATTTACGAACAAGGGAAAAAGTTTCAACACAGGTTTAGATTTAGATAGTTTCTTCATTATATTATCTATTTACTAAATACAATGACTCATGGACCGGATTCAGGTCTCAAATCTGCGACGTTTCCAAGTTTTTGTCATGGTCAAAGGGAGACAATTCAATCGATTTTATTCCATCGGGTAAAGTTTGTGGTCAAAGGGAAGTAATTCAGTTGGTTATTTGACTCTGCGCCTGTCTGGCAAATTTGCGGCGCGTACTAAGAGGGAACCAGTTTACTTGGTAATTCCAAACGGAGTTACGTCCCTTGTACAAGCTCCCTTCGGGGTCTACATGCAAACTTCAAACACTGTGTTTTACTTATCAAATGGAAGTAGTCGTGTTAAGAAATTAATCGTAGACTGGTACCCTGTTGTCATAACTGCTTGTAGTACGATGAGGAGCGCTAGCGCCCTAAGGTAGGCAACCCAGTCTAAAATAATCTCAGTATTTTCTTGGACTGTCGCTGTGAAGAGCTTGAATTTTCCAATAGAGCACAGAAAATGCTACACGATGTGGGGAGTTTAATTTAACACACTGTTTGGAGCTCATACAACCTAAATCTTATTCTATTTTTAGTATATAATAACACGATTATCTCCCTTAGACCATTCAGTGGATTCACGGTATGACATGGCTGACCGCCTTAACAACACACCGCGCCGGCGAGGTCATCTTTCAACGACGTTTACAAAACCGTCGCGTGTTTACTTCTATCTTGATTCATAGAAATAAAGGTAGAGGGGGTAAAAAAGATGAAAATAAAGGTTATAGGTGAATACCTATTCAAGATTCTGACGATCTATACCAAAGAGTTGACATGTCTGGTCGACTATTGTGAGGTGTCTGAACCCCAAACCCGAAATTGGAACACATTGTGGAAAAAGATCTGAAAGGAAAGAACACGAAGATAAGAAAAAGAAACCATCACCATAAAGTCATCTTGTATTTTTTTTTTTAAATCGTACTATTGACGAACTTGAAGTCATAAAACATAAACTCAGGTTCGCATCAGTTCTAAAATGACTTTAATCATATGTTAATTTAATAACAAATATGTATCTTCTGTCATGCAGTCGCGGGTCTGAGCTAAAGTTTATATTTTACACCACAGAAATATGCAAATATCATTTCCTTAGTGAAGTAGATTTAATATTTAAGAAGCATTTGCACAAAAAATTCCTACAATATCAACATGGATATGATATCAAATGTTTGTTTTCGATTTTACCAGCTGGACGAAAATATGACATCTACAGTCAACCAAGTAAAACAATCTCAGATACCACGCAAATACCAGAATTATTTCATAATATACGTATTGATTAAACTGAGGTTTCTGCAAAAACAAATGAATCAGATTCTTGAATCTTCCTGAAATAAGACAGTAGATCGAAGCACACACTGGTATTTATTTTTAATGAGGGCTACTGTCCAGCAAGTTCACCCGGTCTACCCTATCGGTTTCGGATTTGCAGGAGATGAAACACGCAAAAATAAGTAAGGACGCCCTCCTAACACACCGTTACTCCCTGTAACAATTCCTAACAATTAATTATTACTATATCTACTAGTAATGTCTATTGTATTACATACAAGGAAGTCTCTAATATCCGGACGGCAGCGTTTCCGTTAATCGTCTTGATTAAGAATCTCTGGATTAATGAAGCTTGTAAGCCCTTGTTTCCAACACGCCATCAGAGACCATATGATATCTGATATATAGTTTCTGATGCCATGAAAGATTAACTATAGCCATGAAAAAATCGGTTGTTTTTAACTTCTTTTGAGTTGTATTTATTTTCCGAACAGCGGGTGTCCGTATTAACAGGGTTTCAGTGTACTGACGTTCACACAGCAATCTCCCAAAGGCGGACTTTAATGACACGCAGTGTGATGTTAACTTCACCATACTTTCAGGAAGTATTCCGGCATCTGTGGTGGTGGGCGTGGTGGTAGACTCGGCCTGTGAGCTGTGGAGTGGGGAGGAAGGCGCCCAGTTCTGTCAGCTGTACGACAAGCAGGCCTTGGCTGTGGGAATCGCCGTCATGTGGCTCAGTGTCGGCCTCATCGCTTGCATCTTCATGTTCCTGGCATCACTTGTTAACCTGTGGAAGAAGAAGAGGAGGGCGGAGAAGAAGAGTACCGAAATGAACGACGCTGGTAGTCGTGATGAAAAACAAAACGGAGATGCGAAGAGTGGTGTACAGGAAAGTTCGCCACAATGATAAGACTTGACACATTCAATTGTCCATCAACTATGAACGATTTTGTGTGATTTTATATGACATCGGTGGACTCTAAACATTACAAAGATGCTGAATACAAGACTACAGAAGAAACAGCTTATGGTGTTGGTAAAAGTTCCCCAGAATGACACTAGGGATATACATGGAGAACGTTACAGACGTAGCTTGACTAACATCTAGTCTCTGAAATGGGCATATTTTACAGAAAACTACATTGTTCAATTATCTTAATATAATGTGATAAAAAGGAGCCAAGAGCAGTAATCTAGACTTACCCACTATTATAGACTTGCATGGGCTGTATTGGATACATTTGTTACAGGGTCTGTATGTAAGACAGACTAAGATGTAGCTGTCCTTTCACAAACAATTATGCTTATGATTATCAAATATTTTATGTACCTGCTCAGTATGTGGCCAAATAAAAAGCTGCTTTCATCATTATTTTTGAAATGGCAGAAAGGTCGATTTTTAACGAAGAGCACTATCAACAGAGCAAAGAGAGGGGTGCCGCCTTGGGACAACATTGCGACACGTGACCATATTTTGAATGGTGAGGGGAAATGGGGTTTGACGTCGTGTGTGTGTGTGTGTGTGTGTGTGTGTGTGTGTGTGTGCGTGTGTGTGCGCGTGCGTGCGTGCTTGTGTGTGTGTGAGCTTGTTCTAGTCCGGATTGATGCCGATTTATAGTGCTAGCCCACTGACATACCACGCCACAGTTTAACATGAATCCCCCACTCAGACACAGTATACTGACTCCGAGCCCACCAGTCCTTGTTTTAGCCCCTTAATGCCGAGCGCCAGACAGGGTAACAACAAGTACCATCTTTTAACGTCTTTTGGTATGACGCGACCGGGCGGACGCTCTACTACCAGACCACAATGGCGGTCTATCCTGAATGGGGTGGCAAAACTGTGCAGACACCTTTGTGAAAGACTACAGGTGCAGGGATGTCATATAAAAATATAGCAGCTGACACATCAAAACTACAGTAGCTGACAATGATATACATGACGTAAATCATAAATTAAAGAATGAATGAATAAACAACATAATATGAATATTTCGTTTACCAGGTGCACGTGGTTCTTATCTATCGTCCGATTTTCGATCAGAACGTTGAAAATTCTAATTTCGTTAATCCGCCATACCCGTTAATCCGACATAATCATATACAACCAACCATGCTGGATTAACGAGACTTGAATGTTTATCAGCATGTCATTTGCACGCGATACACGCACAAATATATATAATTCATATGTGAAACTTCTGATAAAATCGTATGTGAATATCTTAGCCTATGATACAATTAGGAATACATTCTCAGGCCAACTGATGTGACACTGCATCTGCATAGACAATGGGGGGTTCGCACTGGTCAGGAGGAGTTGTCTGTTTTGCTGAAACTCATCGTCAACATGTTCATCCTCAATATCTTGTCGTACTAAGGTTTGGTTTGGTTGTTTAACACCGCACACAGCAATATTCCAGCTATATGACGGCGGTCTGTAAATAATCAAGCCTAAACCAGACAATCCAGTGATTGACATCATGAACCTCGGTATAGGATCGGTATGTTTGGGATCGATGACATGCATCAACCAAGTCAGCGAGTCAGACCACCCGTCTCTTACGACAAGCATAGTAGCCTTTTACGGCCAGCATGGGTTGCTGAAAGCCAACTCTAGCCTGATCTGCACGGGCCTGACGTACTAAGGCTAGGGCGCAGGCGGCGCACAGCTTGGCGACTGGATCACTGGATAGTCTTGCTCTACCTGGCTAAGCTATAACATAGTACTATGGATTTACTCCCACTTTAAGATGACTTGATGCATTATATATATATATATATATAGAGAGAGAGAGAGAGAGAGAGAGAGAGAGAGAGAGAGAGAGAGAGAGAGTCGAACCCGGGTCTTCGACGTGACGAGCGAACGCTTTAACCACTAGGCTACCCGACCACCCCATAATTTGTCCCACAAATGTCATTTGTGTACGAATTAACCTGAAGTGATTATAAATTAAGGATTTACAGTTTGTAGTCTACATATCTATTATCTATTCCTAGATGACCATATGTCAATGTCCCATTCAATTATCTTTATTTCAATTGTTAAAAGGTTATTCTTCTTTGTTGTTGAATTTGACAGGTTTAGGCCAAATTTGTTTTGCTGGCATGGCCAAAATGGATCTATATCTTAAATAATTTAATTTTAGTTTTAGCTGTTGTGTTGGTAGGTTTGTTGTTACAATATGAGTTGCATCCCTTAGCCACTGATGAACCTTGATTTTAGTGTAGTTTGTCAACAAAATTGACATTTGAACTTTGACAAGGATTATTCAGTTCATACTTTGTAGGATTAATCCCAGTTGTGGTGTCTCTAAATCTTGCTCAATCAATCCCAGCTCATTCTTAAATATGGCGTCCACACTGAAAATGTCATTTGTGGTCATGCATAACTCCGTCATTTCTGCATCTATCGTTATGGACTTTGATATGCTGCAGTTTAAGTATGTGGTTTTCTGAATAAGAATAAGTTGTCTGTCAGACATAACCCCATACAAATACCTGCTGCCCTCGGTCCTATTTTACACATTGAAAGCTTGTTGGTGATGCTGACATCTTCAAACTGGTAATGTGTGGGCTCGTGAATAACAGTGGCAGGTCCCTGAAAGTTGTGTACCTAGAGAAGATATGCATCTCGTCGTCTCCCACAGATACGGGATGGGCCCTCAGTCAGTCTCTTCGTGTTGTTTGACATAAGCAAGGAACTTATCGGCTTTAATCTGGTCCGATTTGGGGGATGGTTGTAGGTGTTTCTGTACGTATCATTAGGTCGTTGGCAGAGTTGACTCTTGCTGGACATCAGGCCTTGCAACATCGCCAGTGTGCGCAACTATTTCTTCTGCTCTGAATCTGTAGCCTTGGTAAGCAGGGTTAATGTTTCGGTCGGCCACCTTGTACACGTGGAACGAACTCAATATTCACTAAAGCATTAGCCATGTAGTGGTGAAATTATCTATTTGAAAGCAATATGATACTTTTAAGTAGTGAACTGTTATCCCTTAATTTCTAAACATAAATCATATACTATCTATATGTGAGTGGTGTGTAGTTTTCATCTAAGCTCTATAGTGATAACTTTGATCAGCTCACAGACAAGCCACGTGTAATATGGCCGCATTTCTTAAAACAAGCGCCAACTTTGACATCAGTGAGCAACTCCTAGTCTGTCTTACAGACCCTGATACAAATATATATCAAATACAGCCCATGCAAGTCTATAATGTTTGGCAAGTCTAGATCACTGCAGTATCTGAAAATGAAGAGAGTCACTGGGCTCCTTTTTATTATATTTTTATTAAGATAACTGAACAACCGTTTTTTTATGTACGATATGTTCATTTCAGAGACTAGATTTTAGTCTAAGCAACTCCCTCTCATTTTTGAAATCGCGTTTGCACCTTTCAGTGTTTTCTCTAACGTCCCCGAAAGCACACAGTGGAATCCTGTTGTCATGGCGAATACTGTTAAAACGTCTTTTACTCCTTAATCGCCCGGATTAACGTGGTTTTAAGTACTTTCAACTATACATTGCGAAATAATAATATGTACATATTCAAATGAAACATTTAATCTAAGTTGTTGCAGCGTTTGAACAGAAGTGCATATTGTGTTAAACAGAATAAACAGTTAATATTGGAAATGTCACACACACACACACACACACACACACACACACACACACACACACACACACACAATGTTTTGAATATGTTTACGCCTGGTAATAGCTAGGTCACATAAAGTGTGTAGATTAGATTTTCAGATTATTAACTATTTCGTTCATAATATCTATATCCTCCAGGAGATGATAATGAAAAGTGAGCTGAGTGGATCAATTTGACAATGAACGTGTTAGAGTGTGAATTATTATTCTTTCATTGAGAGGAAATGGATATAACGGAGCACTAGGCGGTTAGCCACGAGCGACGCCATCTGGTGTCAGATCGTATTCTAATTCACTACGTATCAACGACTCAATGCCCAATGTGTCCTTTGTAGTGGACTGGAATTGTATACTTTCAGTGGCATACACCATTTGCATAACAGAATATATGTAACGCATGATTTTAATATGATAGCCTGCTGTTTCTTTTTAAGTGTTTTTATATAACCAGTTTGGGTTTCGAGAGAGAATTGGTTCTATTGAAAACCTTCTTTAATTTACATGATCCGTTTCCGAATATACAAACAATTTCACATTTTGTACAAAACAAACACAGCGTTCACCTTCAGAGACAGAACCCAGCTTTGCGTCGCGAAACAAAGCTGGGTTCTGTCTCTTCATAACAAAACTGACGATGCGCAGGGAGAGCCGACAACCCAACTCCAGGACCGTGACATACATATGAGAACGAGATGCGTAGCCCCGATATAATGCTTCCAGTGTCAAATAAGCGCAGTATACCGGTGTTCCTAGGAAAGCTGTAAACGGGTGTTCTGTTTGTCGACATTTGTGCACAGTCATGTCGACCTGACAAGATTTCCAACACGATGTTAGGGCGGAGAGGATTCGAACTTTTTCGACACTTGAGGTGCCGGGATGGTGCCGAAAACTGCACGCAGATGTGGCGACACTCCTCCTCACTAACGAAGGCTAACATCAGCGAGGCGGTTAATGAAAAGGTAACACGACAAGTAACACAATCAATAGTGACAGTTATTCAGTAAGCTTATCGCGATGTTCTCCATCATCAGATGATCATGTTGTCAATGTTTATTTTTTATTTTCAAAACGTTCATGTCACTACAAGTTTTACTGTCTGACTCCTTCTAGGACAGGACGCAGTCTGGAGTCCTGTTAATTAAGGAAATAATATTCTAAAAAGTCGAGACATGTATTTCCCTGCCCAAGTATGTTCGGCATTTATTAGGATCTGTGGCAACAGAGACTTGAGCTCTTATTGCTATTACATTTTTTAAAAATGTGTTTCAATTAATATTTGGGGAAACAAATGGTTCAGAGAACATCAAGGTTATTGTTGTTGTTCAATATTTGTTTCTATGGTTAATAATGTAGTGTAGCCTACTTAGGTGTACAATACATGTAATAATGACAATGTGGTTTTTCACAAATGAGATTTAAATTTTATCGGAATAGTCACGTGCAGTATAAGAAAACTGTCTGTAACTAGTATTGTATTGTTGAAAAAACAAGAGTTTAATTTTGTCTTAGAATCTCTCCACTTGGTCTCAGCATTGAACTATGAAATATGATTTAAATATAACTGGAACAGTTCTAAACCCATGTTTGTTTGTTTGTTTGTTTGTTTGTTTGTTTGTTTGTTGTTGTTTAATGCCGCACTCAGCAATATTCCAGCTATATGACGGCGGTCTGTAAATAATCAAGTCTGGACCAGACAATCCAGTGATTGACATTATGAGCATTGATCCACGCAATTGGAATCAATGACATGCATCAACCAAGTCAGCGAGCCTCACCATCCGATCCTGTTAGTCACCTCTTATGACAAGCATAGTCGCCTTTTATGGCAAGCATGGGTCGCTAAAGACCTATTCTACCCTGGATCTTCACGGGTCTCTAAACCCATGTGCATGGTGTTATTACCATTGCCTCAGTTATGAGGTGACAAGTTGTATTCTATTTGATATAAAGGTAACGTTTTGTTAAGTTAATTTTTTAGCATGAAGATAATGTTATATGGTACATTAAGAAACGAATAATCGCATTGACAATTGCGAATTGAGCTCATTGTGGCAAGGGAGCAGTTGTTGTGTATTTATCATGTTTATGTCATGATGTAAACAGGAAATTATGAAGAATAATTGCATTAAAGGGGAAGTGTACACGCAAAATTCACTTTTTATCTTTTTCTAAACAAAACGAAATTTTAGAATTAATTAGTATCTGTGTTTGAAAATATACACTCATTTTTTTCACAGTGAAAGTAGGAAGCTCACAATAGTGTGAAAATGATATGCCGTTATGAGGCCTTCGTTTTTCGAGCTAAACAGGCCTGAGTTATCCCCCTTAGATTATGACGTAATTGGTGCCAATTCAACTGGGTCCCTGTCTATTCTCAACGCAAAAGATATCAAGTACCAGTTTGCGGTAAAACAACATGGCCTACGACACATTCCGGCGCAGTGGTGACTCAGCATATCACTATGCTGGCTGGCATCTGAGACGCTAGAATCACACACCTGTACCTACACCACGTGAAGCGGCTCTAACAAAGCATGATGACGTCATAATGTTTATCAATTGGCACCAATGACGTCATATTGCAAGGGGCATAAGCCATGGTGTTTTTGTTGTGGAAATAGAACACTTGGTAAATGTGAAAAATATAAATCGTTTTAATGCGAAAAATATGTTAATAAATTGTGATATTTTTATATTTTTGTCTATGACACTTCTAGGTTAACACTTTTAATGTGGAAAAAGTACAAGAAAAATAGGTTCATTTCCGTGTGAACTTGCCCTTTAACCGAATGTTCTCCAAGTGCTTGGAGCATTGGTCTGCACGGCTGGAAGATACAATGTGCAATTGCCAAATATTAGAATGGAGACTGCTGATTTTGTGACATCGTAGAACTATGGAATGTTGCTCACACTATCAACCACTGGTTTGGTTGGCCAAAAATGAAGCTGGAACACTGTTGTGTAAAGCAACATTCACTTACTGCTTTGTCCTCAGTACCAGTTTCACTATTTTCAATTCCAACCGATTCCATAGTCTAGTGAATAGAGAGTCTACTAAGAGAGTGGATGATCAGTGGTTCAATCCCTCTGAATAGATGTGACCGCCTCTGTGGTCTAGTGGTAGAGCGTCATACCAAAAGACGTTAGAAGATTGTACTTGTTGTTACCCTGTCTGGCGCTCGGCAGTAAGCATGGTAAGGGTCTAGAACAAGGATTGGTCAGCTTGGAGTTAGTATACTGTGTCTAGGTGGAGAATTTATGTTAAACTGCAACATGGCATCTCAGTGGGCTAGCACTATAAATCGGCATCAGTCCAGACTCGTACAAGCAGCCACAAACTCACCCACCCACGTGCATGCACTTCGCTATATAAATGCAATGATCGTGGAAGCGATGTTACACCCCATTTCACCTCACATTTGAATATATGGGAGCTTCACTGTACATCTACATCAATATACTATATGCTCTCAATCATGTCAATAGAGGTACTTTTATAATGATCATGTTGCTATCTTGACACAAGCCCTATACCCTATATACACAAGAAAAGTTCTAACACTGACCAATTATAGGTATTATTTAGGCAGTGTGTAAAGTTCAGATACATTTCAGCCAAACAGACGGAATGTCAAGTCCAATTTGTAGCCAGTCATGATTGTTTTCACACTGAACGGAACAACAAAGACAAATAACTACAGATGAGAATTATTTATACACAATTTATAAGTCCAAATAATTTGTTATTTCATATCATTGATTTGTTCACAAAAACTCCGCCAGACTATCCATTTTATTAGTTGACCATTCAAGACAAAAAAGATCCAGAGGACCTCAGACAGTCTGGCAGGCACTGCTTTAGGAAAACACAGTTTTCTTATATGGCTTACCCAAAACAAATGTTTAATGTTCAAATGAGACTGGAGCATGATTCCAATGGAGAAAGTGATGTTACACCATTTTCAGAGTCTTTAAATCTTAAAATAGTAGTGAATACAAAACTGAGGAACAATGTAGTGAATACAAGCCTGAGAAACATAGTAGTGAATACAAAACTAAGAAACAGAAGTGAATACAAGCCTGAGAAACATAGTAGTGAATACAAGCCTGTGAAACATAGTAGTGAATACAAACCTGTGAAACATAGTAATGAATACAAACCTGGGAAACATAGTAGTGAATACAAGCCTGTAAAACAGAGTAGTGAATACAAACATGTGAAACAAAGTAATGAATACAAACCTGGGAAACATAGTAGTGAATACAAGCCTGTGAAGCATAGTAGTGAATACAAACCTGTTAAACATAGAAGTGAATACAAACCTGTTAAACATAGTAGTGAATACAAACATGTGAAACATAGTAGTGAACACAAACATGTGAAACATAGTAGTGTATACAAGCCCGTAATACATAGTAGTGAATACAAGCCTGTTAAACATAGAAGTGAATACAAACCTGTTAAACATAGTAGTGAATACAAACATGTGAAACATAGTAGTGAACACAAACATGTGAAACATAGTAGTGTATACAAGCCCGTAATACATAGTAGTGAATACAAGCCTGTGAAACATAGTAGTGAGTACAAACATGTGAAACATAGTAGTGAATACAAGCCTGTGAAACATAGTAGTGAATACAAACCTGTGAAACATAGTAGTGAATATAAACCTTTTAAGCACAGTAGTGAATACAAGCCTGTGAATCATAGTAGTGAATACACACCTGTTAAACACAGTAGTGAATACAAACCTTATAAAAATAGTAGTGAATACAAACCTGTGAAACATAGTAGTGAATACAAACCTGTGAAACTTAGTAGTGAATATAAACCTGTTAAACACAGTAGTGAATACAAGCCTGTGAAACATAGTAGTGAATACAAGCCTGTGAAACATAGTAGTGAGTACAAACATGTGAAACATAGTAGTGAATACAAGCTTGTGAAACATAGTAGTGAATACAAACATGTGAAACATAGTAGTGAATACAAACATGTGAAACATAGTAGTGAATACAAACATGTGAAACGTAGTAGTGAATATAAACCTGTGAAACATAGTAGTGAATACAAGCTTGTGAAACATAGTAGTGAATACAAACATGTGAAACATAGTAGTGAATATAAACTTGTGAAACATAGTAGTGAATACAAACATGTAAAACATAGTAGTGAATACAAACATGTGAAACATAGTAGTGAATACAAACATGTGAAACGTAGTAGTGAATATAAACCTGTGAAACATAGTAGTGAATACAAGCTTGTGAAACATAGTAGTGAATACAAACATGTGAAACATAGTAGTGAATATAAACTTGTGAAACATAGTAGTGAATACAAACATGTAAAACATAGTAGTGTTAGAAGTAGAAGTAGGAGTACTAAGTAAGAATAGGATATCTAAGATAAGATATATGGATGAACAACTACTTTATTACAATTCGTTGTAGGTTCTAACTGCGTTATAAAGTGATGAATTATTGACCCACAATTGCTCACCGCCTTCCACTCCTGGAAACTGCTGTTTGTACTGTAATATTCTGCCTGGTGCTCAGATTCACACACATTAGTGACAATGCAGAATCTTAGACACCCAATCACATGGTCACATATATTCCACATTTCCTGTTCACAGGTAGAGTCTCCTGCTTTGAAACCGGAGCAGAAGTCGAATCCTTCATTCTCAGACTTCCTCACCGATACATTCGGACGACAACACACGTACCTGCGTATTTCCCTGACGGAGCGCTGCAACCTCCGATGTCAGTACTGCATGCCTCAGGAGGGGGTGCAGCTCTCCCCCAAGCAGATGCTTCTGAGTACTGACGAGATCCTAGCACTGTCCCAAATGTTTGTCAAGGAGGGGATCACCAAAATCAGACTGACAGGGGGAGAGCCCACAGTCAGGAGGGACCTGGTCGATATCCTCAGTGAGTTGTCCTTCTTGAAGTATGTTCCATTCAAAGGGGCCTCATGTCACCTCACTTAAAAGTGGATCTTTCATTCAGGATAGATGTTACATGCTTATGTACCTTGTATACTCCCCAGGGAGCTGAGAATGAAAATCGCGTACACACTGATCCTTTGACTGGGGTAATAATGTAGCACTTTGAGCATGCTTCGGGTCATAGGGTGCGGATTTGACGCATGAGAAATATGTACATTGCTATGATTATTATCCATATTTCATTTCATTGCGTATTAATTGCTAAAGGGGGTCACGGGTGGACCAGTCTTCTAAGGCGCCGCGCTGTGCAGAGTTGCGTCCCTTTGGCACGCCAGAAACCTATGATTTTTGGTTCGAATCCGGGTTCGCCCCGATTATGTTTCTAGGTTTGTCAGCACCATACCCGTGCTCTTGGGTTTCACCGAAGTGGTAAACGTCTGAGACCTGCATCACTTCGAGCTTTCCTCCCACATTAAGCTGACACGCCGTGATATAACTGGAATACTGTTAAAAGCGGTGTTAAACCCAACTCACTCACTCACTAATGGCTAAAGTGGGAGGTTCATCCAGTGGAGCCCTTGTCTATGGTTTCATTGTGTGTCATTCTTAAAGTCTAACTCAAGTTATTTCTTTTCAGAGGGACTGGACAGCTTACGATCTGAGGGTCTGAAGTCCATTGCCATGACAACCAATGGAATCACACTATCCAGACGGTTGCCTCTGTACCAGGATGCTGGTCTGGATCAGCTGAACATCAGTCTTGATACTCTAGTACCTCCAAAGTTTGAATTCATCACTCGACGGAAAGGTTTTGAGAAAGTCCTGCAGGGTATTGACAAGGCACTGGAGCTGGGATATGACCCAGTCAAGGTAGGAATATGCTGAGGAGCCAGAATAGAGGCAGTTAGTGAGTGCCACTTTGAACAGTGTACATCTTATTTCAGATTGTTGGAAATTAACGGCTGTCCTTGGTTTGCTGCTATATTATTTGAATCCAGGAACTTGTTATATCTGTAATTATTTTTCATGTTTTGTTACGATGAGGAAACCCTTGACTTTCATGCTCACTGATATTGAACACTGGTTACCATAGTTACATCACAACATGACAGCTTGGTGATGTCATCTTTTGTAAGCTCGGTTGTCAGGCATGTTGATTGTAATCAGAGAGAATCTAGGATTCAAAATAACTACCAGTTGATCATGGCACGACAAAGGGGAACAACTCTTGATCCCCTCAATAAAATGGGACATAAATATATTCCGGTATGTCATTGAACTAAATTGGTCTGCATTTGGGAAGAAGTTGATTTCAGTTGTTCAGTACCCAGATTCATTACTAAATTGGTAAGTCAGTCAGTTGAAGTATCTGACCTGTATAAAACTGGATAAAGAAGTGACTGAACATTTGCCAGAATAATGACATGTAATGATTTAATCAACAATTAAGAAATTCATCTGTCCAGCATGCACAAAGTGTGCCTTAATAGCAACAACTATCTTGACTGGTGCAGGCAATAAGGAAAATATTGAATATTTAGGCTTAAATTTTTTTTTGTCTTGGTTCTCAGGCACCGCCTGCATATTCATAAAATCCGCCTCATGTTTCATTTCTATTTCCATTTTCAAAAAATGTAAAAAATCCTTATACATAAAATCAATGTGATCCAAGATATCAGAGAGTTACATCCTATTACATGTGCACTGCTTTACTGCGCATCTTGTGTTATGGTCATGGCGGCAATAGGAATTTGTATGCCTGTTTTTGTAGCATGTGTAGGGAGGCCCTTCCCAGGTTGATGGAACATAACTGTTTATTTGGTTACATACTAGTTTGAACAAGCAACAACGAACAAAAACACCACCTGCCTGCACTATATTTTTAAAAGTCATTGCCTGAGAACCAATTCTTTTTTTTTCTTTTTTCAGCCTTACCCTGAGCATGCTGAGACTCTTATTAATAAGTTCAATAAATATGTCGGTTGAGCTTGAGTTGAATTTGTAGACAGGTCATCACATAACGTAGTATTGCCAGTTAAGTTAATATAGTACTCCAGAGAAGTAAAGTACTACCAAATTCTTTCAATATACTACAGTTAATCTGTCATGCCTATTCTTTTATTATACTACAGTTAATCTGTCATGCCTGATTCTTTCATTATACTATAGTTAATCTGTCATGTCTAATTCTTTCATTATACTATAGTTAATCTGTCATGCCTATTCTTTAATTATACTATAGTTAATCTGTCATGCCTATTCTTTCATTATACTATTGTTAATCTGTCATGGCATGACATATTAACTATAGTAATATGAAAGAATCAAGAATAGAGCTTGCCTGGTTGAAGACGTGATTCATGTTTATGTAGAGCTTGCCTGGTAGAAGACGTAAATCATGTTTATGTAGAGCTTGCTTGGTAGAAGACGTGAATCATGTTTATGTAGAGCTTGCCTGGTAGAAGACGTAAATCATGTTTATGTAGAGCTTGCCTGGTAGAAGACATGAATCATGTTTATGTAGAGCTTGCCTGGTAGAAGACGTGAATCATGTTTATGTAGAGCTTGCCTGGTAGAAGACGTTATTCATGTTTATGTAGAGCTTGCTTGGTAGAAGACGTGAATCATGTTTATGTAGAGCTTGCCTGGTAGAAGATGTAAATCATGTTTATGTAGAGCTTGCCTGGTAGAAGACGTGAATCATGTTTATGTAGAGCTTGCCTGGTAGAAGACGTGAATCATGTTTATGTAGAGCTTGCCTGGTAGCAGACGTTATTCATGTTTATGTAGAGCTTGCTTGGTAGAAGACGTGAATCATGTTTATGTAGAGCTTGCCTGGTAGAAGACGTGAATCATGTTTATGTAGAGCTTGCCTGGTAGAAGACGTAAATCATGTTTATGTAGAGCTTGCCTGGTAGAAGACGTGAATCATGTTTATGTAGAGCTTGCCTGGTAGAAGACGTGAATCATGTTTATGTAGAGCTTGCCTGGTAGAAGACGTTATTCATGTTTATGTAGAGCTTGCCTGGTAGAAGACGTGAATCTTGTTTATGTAGAGCTTGCCTGGTAGAAGATGTGATTCATGTTTATGTAGATCTTGCCTGGTAGAAGACGTTATTCATGTTTATGTAGAGCTTGCCTGGTAGAAGACGTCAATCTTGTTTATGTAGATCTTGCCTGGTAGAAGACGTGAATCATGTTTATGTAGAGCTTGCCTGGTAGAAGACGTTATTCATGTTTATGTAGAGCTTGCCTGGTAGAAGACGTGAATCTTGTTTATGTAGATCTTGCCTGGTAGAAGACGTGAATCATGTTTATGTAGAGCTTGCCTGGTAGAAGACGTGAATCATGTAAACACACTGGTAAACTTAGGTATTTAGGATTTCTGTGGAATACATTGTTGACTTTATTCTGATGTACTGAGAAGGATGGCAGGATGTAGACAAGATGTGATGAAGCCAGGTTAACTTTTCAGGTGAACTGTGTTGTGATGAGGGGCCTAAATGAGGAGGAGATCTTGGACTTCGTGGAGTTCACACAACACAAGGTAGGTGCATACACTGGGATTTGCTTGGGACAATCTGTTTGTCAGTCCACTGGACTCAATCAGAGGTTAATAGTAGTTAATTGTAGCAGGATCACGAAGGGGTACATAGGGTTTTATGCGTCCCTCGTTAGGTTTGATACCACGAGCCAGGTACATGGAGTTTTAAGCGTCCCATCTTAGGTTTTATACCACGAGCCTCTGGTAACACCTAACGAGGGATGCATAAAACCCAATGTACCCCGAGAACAAAGAAAACAGCTGTTTGATTGAGCTGAGGTTAGCTTGCGCTGTGTCACACGACTTCCATTAACTCGAAAAAAGTGTGCAGCTTTTTGCTTTGAAGCTGGTTATTAGGGATTCATTCTGCCTCTCAGAAATCTACGTGCAGCCTGACTTGCTCATGGTGGGGTATAAGAGGTGTTTTTCCCTGCTGAGAAATTGATTCCTCTCCAATACACAGTATCTTATCAAGATCACATGGACCAATCAGATCTCATCATTCTGACCTGAGGGTATATGATAATGTGATTTAAAACCTCTGCCATGTGAGATCAGCCAATCAGAATCAATTATTTTCAACTATTTTCCAAATTACTGGTAGACTGTAACAGAGTTAATGTTTACTAATACATTGTATTAAACCTCATTACATGTTAAAGAACTGTTGATGTTTCTTATATTTTTGTTGTAAGAGAAAAAACGTTGTGCTGTTGTATGTTGTGTTGTATGCCATGCATGTGTATGTGTATGTTTGAACCACAGAAAGTGGACATCCGCTTCATTGAGTACATGCCCTTCGGAGGCAACAAGTGGAACTTCAACAAGCTGGTGTCCTACCAGCAGATGCTGGACATCATCAGGTCTCGGTGGCCAGACCTTGACCGGCTGTCTGACCATGCTAATGATACGTCTAAAGTGAGTGCCTTCCAATCGTGTCAATGAAAGGAAATGTTATTTTACGTATTTTCATTTATAATTTTTTCTCACTACTTTGACACAAGGTGAGGTGAAATGGGGTTCAACATTGCATTCAATATTATTGCACATACTTAGCGATGCGCATGCAAGTGTGTGTGTAGCTGCTTGTATAAGTCAGGATTTCTGTCGGTTTTGTAGCACCAGCCCACTGAGATAACACGTCACAGTTTAACATGGATACCCCACTCAGACACATACTGACTTATCCCCTTTATGCCGAGCGCCAGACAGGGTAACAACAAGTGACATCTTTATAACGACTTTTTGTATGATGCGTCAAGGAGGATTGAACCACCGCCCTTACGCTCTGCAGGCATACACTCTATCCACTGCACCACGGAGGGGGTAATTTAACACAAGAAAATGATTGCTATTGTCCCTATCACCACGCAATTGGATACAATGACATGCATTAACCAAGTCAGTGAGCGTGACCACCCGATCCCGTAAGAGGCTACTAAAGGGATTGGGTGGTCAGACTCCCTGACTTGGTTGATGCATGTCATCGTATCCCAATTGCCTGGATTGATGCTTATAATGTCAATCACTGGATTGTCTGGTCCAGACTCGATTATATACAGACCACCATCATATAGCTGGAATATTGCTGAGTGCAGCATTAAACAACAAACAAACAAACAAAACGAGTCATATCAGCAAGTCCATTTGTTATATTTATGTTGGTTATCTTAGCTCTTATTCATGTTCATGGCAATGTTACCTACATCATGTGCATGGTAAGAAAAGCACTCTAAATATCTCAGTGGGGTCGCACTATGAAACCGGCATTTGTCTGGACTAATACAAGCAGACACACCCACACACACATATGGTTTCTTGTTTCAGGCCTACAAAGTGCCTGGATTTGCAGGACAGGTTGGGTTCATTACATCGATGAGCGAGCATTTCTGTGGCACATGTAACAGACTCAGGATGACTGCTGATGGCAACCTCAAAGTAGGTCATCTTTACTGCAACAATTTAAAGAATCTTAAGAAATCCGTGTATTGTTGAGTATAGTGGCACTGTGTGTTGTTAATGGTCTATAGTTAACATCATATGTCTGTCTTGGAATATATGGCACATGTATTTACAACACCTAGTGCATGGGCAATGTAAGGGCCATGCTTGTAGATTCCACCAAAGAGGTAAACAACTAAGATCTGCATCACTTCACGTTTTTCCCTCTTCACTATGATATAAATGAAATACTGTTCAAAGTGGTGTGAAATCGAACTCACTCCCCCTGGCTGTGTCACGGAGCATGATAGAGAATGACTTGGCCCTAAGGCATCATGTTATATGTGACATTGAGTATGGAACTGGTTTACATTTAACCATTGATTGTCATTGGGTGTGGGGACACAGAGGACTCTCTAAGATCAGTTAGTGATGCAGAGCAATACCTGCCAAAAACCTGCACTTGAGCTTTCCTATGGTACTTGCCACTATTTGCTGTCCACGGCAATATTTGCTAATATATTGGCTAGTGAACAATCCCAATAAGCACCCCTTCCGATTGATCAATGTACCAAGACATATTTATTCGTGTATAATACGCACTCGTGTGTTATAAGCACCCTTAATTATGGGCAATTAAATTCTGAAAAATATATCTGTCGTGTATAATATGCACAGACTTTTTTTGTATCATTTCAGGCTGCCAGCATAAACCACAAAATTTACAATCTTTTAACTCTGGTTTTTTTTCCCCAAATTATAATCTAATAAGAGCTCCGTATTTCTAATTTTGAGAGCAACCTGGGTGCTTATTACGTCAAATACGGTAAGCCTAACTCACTCATCCACTCCTTATTAAGCTGACACATCAAGATATAACTGTTAAAAGTGGCTTTGAACCCTACTCCCTGACTCCTTGTTTGTAGGTGTGCCTCCACGGAGAGGCGGAGGTATCTTTGCGAGATGCTCTGAGGAACAATACATCAGATGAGGAGATGCTGGAGATTATCGGGGCAGCAGTCAAGAGGAAAAAGAAGCAGCATGCAGGTGAAGAATCAGGGGTTGTCGGGGAGATTATTTTAGGCGAAATATCAGTAAGGAAGAGAATTTATGGATGTCAACTTCTTAATTATGAGGAACACTACGTTTCAAAGTATATGTATGATATGATGAGGGTGAAGGAGTAAGCACATACTCCGAAACGTTGTGTTCCTCATAATAAAGAAGTTGACATCCATAAATTATCTTCCTTATGTGTATCACTTCTAAATGCCTTTCAAAGACTTGAAATATCAGTGTTGAGTTTTTGGCAAGATAGATGATAAGTACCAGAACTAGATGGTATTATTAAAAAGGTAGAAACTGTATAATTTATTTCTTGTTGAGGAGATGTCTTGTGGCATGTGTAGAGCGGACTACTTGTGGAGCAGACATCTCACAGAACTGATATCTTGTTGAACAGACCTCATATAGATTAGATATCCTGTAGAACAGACTTCATGCAGAACAGACTTCATGCAGAACAGACATTTTCAAGAGCAAACATTTTATAGAGTAGATATCATGTCTTGTTGATAAGACATTCTATTGAGCAGATGTCTTCCAGAGAAAATATCATGTAGAGCAGATGTCTTGTGATGTGTAGAGCAGACTCCTCGAAGAGAAGATATCATGTAGAGCAGAGGTCTTGTGATGTGTAGAGTAGACTCCTCGAAGAGAAGATATCATGTAGAGCAGATGTCTTGTGATGTGTAGAATAGACTTCTTGAAGAGCAGATATCATGTAGAGCAGATGTCTTGTGATGTGTAGAGTAGACTTCTCGAAAGAGAAGATATCATGTAGAGCAGAGGTCTTGTGATGTGTAGAGTAGACTTCTCGAAAGAGAAGATATCATGTAGAGCAGATGTCTTGTGATGTGTAGAGCAGACTCCTCGAAGAGAAGATATCATGTAGAGCAGAGGTCTTGTGATGTGTAGAGTAGACTCCTCGAAGAGAAGATATCATGTAGAGCAGATGTCTTGTGATGTGTAGAGCAGACTCCTCGAAGAGAAGATATCATGTAGAGCAGATGTCTTGTGATGTGTAGAGTAGACTTCTCGAAGAGCAGATATCATGTAGAGCAGAGTTCTTGTGCTGTGTAGAGCAGACTTCTCGAAGAGCAGATATCATGTAGAGCAGATGTCTTGTGATGTGTAGAGCAGACTTCTCGAAGAGCAGATATCATGTAGAGCAGATGTCTTGTGCTGTGTAGAGTAGACTTCTCGAAGAGCAGATATCATGTAGAGCAGACATTCAGTAGAGCAGACATTATGTGGAGACGTTGTCTTGTGTTGTGTAGAGTAGACTTGTATCTCGTAGAAGTCCTGGAAATGTCTGGTAGAGTAAAGAACTGGTAGAGTGGTCAAGATCCACAGCAGACACATTGTCATGTAGACTCAATTCAATGCATTACATTTGATCTTTTCTAGGAATGCTGAATTTATCCAAGATGAAAAATCGGCCGATGATACTGATTGGTGGGTGACGGTGGTTCTTTCGTTCACGTATGTACACATTATGTGACACAAATATACAACAGCATACACATAAACAACAGTCAGCAATTTACTCAACTTATACCATTGTATACCCTCACCTAATCTACATAGATTATCCCGTTCAGTTCATGGAAAATAACTGGATGCTGATATTGCTTCAGGTTTACAGTACTGAAATCCAGTCAAACACTGTTATGTCGAACTTTGATGTGTCAAACTTATGATGTCTCGAAGTAAAAGCATGGTCCCTGTGTATTCCTTCTTTATTCATCATTTTCGGTTGTACTGAACCTCGGATAACTTGAAGTATTTGCATATGTACCTTCAACTTTGACACAACAGAGTTTGAAGTAAATCTTACTAAGTTTTGTTGATAACATATGATATATTTAGAAATGAAATAATTTTCCAAGTGATTTTTATTATGTTGCGTCCATATTATTTGTAGTGGAGAATAATATCCATCTGTTTGAGATAAAAATTAAAGACATTTTTCGGAACACAAAGCTTTTGATCCTGTTTTGAACAGATAAGAATGTGCCTTATTATTCTTTGTGGACTTGTGTTCAAAGTCGTAAACTCAGACGAACATAAAATACTTATGAACAGTAACCAGACAATCCCTGGATTGTGTCATCATGCGCATCGCAGTTGTCAGGTTTGTTCAGGATAAGATGTACAGCCATAATCATGTCACAGGTCAGCAGATATGTATCAGTGACCAAGTAAAGTATTGGCGTCCAGGATGTGATCAATTTTTAATGAATACACAACTAGATCAGTGGCCAGTAACAGCTGGGGACTGGCTCAGGACTCATTTGTTCTGTGATGAAAGTTGTCAATGAGGGGATATGGGGGTACCCTGTTCTCTGAGGTGCAGCAGTTCGCTGTGCAGAGTTATGTCCCTTATGAGTCCCAGAAACCTATGATCATGGGTTTGCATCCTATTCATTCCGATTATATTTTTCTAGGTTTTCCTGTTCCCTGCCTATGCTAGTCGTTTCATCAACATGAAAATGTCTTAAGATCTGCGTCACTTTTAGCTTTCCAAACATATCAAAATGACACACCATCTTATAACTGAAATACTGTTCAAAGTGTTCAAACTCACTCACTCTCTTTTAGATTTGTATGTTGTTTCATTTCAGACCACAGTTCAGACACAAATCATTTTAACCAGCCAAACTCACGACCTACAGCTTCTTCTGTGATACTGCCCATGTTTAGAAGAGAACACTTTCATAGACATAAATCAGGTTTTGTTCGTTTATCGAGAGATATTTTACATGTTGCAGTGGGAAAGGGGTCTCACTGCTCTAATCAAATCAGACTTTTTAGTGCCTTTCGTAAAACATTTTCTTCATATGATGATGACAATATGAAATATTGGGAGGCTGACCTTAAAGAACGCAGGAAGGAACTGGAGGACGTCGACCTTGAGCCAAGCTCAGGAAACCAGTCTCAATTAACACATACTGATGAGAAGGGCAGAGCGATGATGGTGGACGTTGGGTCTAAACCAGATACTGAACGAATTGCTTTAGCAGAAGGGAGAATTGTTTTGGGAAAGGAGGTGTTTGATCTTGTAAAGGAAAATGGAATTAAGAAAGGTGATGTTCTGACAGTTTCACAAATTGCAGGAATAATGGCAGCAAAGAAAACAGCCGACTTTATTCCTCTGTGCCATAACATTCCTATTTCAAAAGTTGAGCTGACGTTCACCCTCGAGGAAGAGGAATACAGTGTTTTGATCAGGTCGTCTGTGAAGACTCGAGGTCAGACAGGAGTTGAGATGGAGGCCCTGGTGGCTGTCTCCATGGCAGCGTTGACCATCTATGACATGTGTAAAGCCGTCACTCACAACATGGTGATCAGCGACATCAGACTTCTTAGCAAAACAGGGGGACAAAGGGGGGATTATTTCAAGGAAAATTGACATTTCCAGCCATTATCCTACCTCATCTTTTGCAAGAGTTATTTGGATGTTATAATGTCAAATATTCCGATGTAGAAGCCATAAGATTTCCAGGTCCCGTGATGGGATTCAAACTGAAGACTTTCTGTAGGACGATGCCTCGTGGTCCACCTGACCAAAGAGGTTAACCCCATCAACAAGCTGACAAGATAAGTGTGTCCTCTGTGGGATGACTCCATGCCCTATTACACTGACAAGGTATAATATAACTGAATTACTGTTTCCAAGAAGTGTTACCCAACTCCTTCACTCAGGCATTCATTGTCTATTACTATTTCTTTGTTAATTGGCTGCACCTCATAGATTCTACATGCCACAGAGGGTTGCATATTTAGTTAGAAATATACCCAGAATAGGCAGCTCAAATGTATCAAAGCAATAGCTATGTTGATGCTTTCTTTGAAATTTGTTCACAGCATCTTCCATCCCCCCGAAATATAAAGTGAAACAAATGTTCTTTAAAGCACCAATCTCATTAAAATCAGATTTTAGTTTTCGCTATCGCTAAACAAAGATCTGAAGACATCCCATTACAGGTCACGTCAGAATGACCTTTCGCAAATTTTGACAGACCAATGAAATGACTGACAAGAAATCGACATTGGCCAATCAGAAGGCAGCTTTCTCGAGCTTTACGACAATAGTTTCCAACTGGCGACTACGCTTCGAAACATATTTTGACGTATTCCCGATTATAATTTTAAAACTGAAAAGAACATTCTGGAATGGCTCATAGATGGCCTAGATTGTATGGATATAATCATAAAACCCGTAACTGTCGTTCGGAACACCCCGTGTTAAATATATCGTGGTTGCATGATCAGAAAACATTCCGACTGTCACTTTCATGATCTGGTAAGCCACACTCTGATTGGTTGGATGAAAGCTCGTTCTGACGTGACCTGTAATGGGATGTCCTCAGATCTTTTTTTAGCAGTAGCGAGAACTAAAATCTGATTTTAATGAGACTGTTAAAGCACTCTCCCCCCCCCCCCCCCCCCCCCCCCCCCCCCCTGTCATAGCCTGTCATAGTACCTGACGGCATGGATTGTTGATCACAATATCAATCACTGGAATGTCTGTCCCAGGCTCAACAATTTACAAGCAGGCCACTGGATATATCTAAAATATTGCTGAGTGTTGTGTTTAACAACAAGTAAACAAATGAAATCTTTAGAGAATACAAATTGGAAAAAAACCCATTTGGAACTGAACTTTTCTGGTCAGTTGACTTCCTTGCTTCTGGAAGATGGGGGGAAAAACTAAGCACCTCTCCATTATTATCTTGATATATTCTGAACTTCAATGTATCTGTTTTCATAAAGGTCTCATGCCGATATCTCAGTTCAGCAGCTTTTTAATCATAGATGATTATCAGTGTATGTCAATTATTTTATGTTAAACGTGTAATCAGACTCGGTGATTTTAACATGTTTGATTATCTCAGATATTGTAAATATCTAAATATCTGAAAATGATGGAAGGCTGTGTACTATTGATGTTCTGAAATATCAGGTGTGTATTGGAAATTCATATGTGTTTTCCAATAGCAGTGAATTAGTGACATCTTTTTTAACTATAGCTTCTTGTTGAGAGTTTCAAACACATACACATGTTTGTTGTTCTTCTGTGTGGACTGGGGCTGTCGGGTAGCCTAGTGGTTAAGCGTTCGCTGGTCACGAGGAAGACTTGGGTTCGATTCCCAACATGGGTACAATGTGGGAAGCCCATTTCTGGTGTCCCCCCGCTGTGATATTGCTGGAAAGCAGCGTAAAACCATACTAACTCACTCACTCTGTATTGGCAACAGATGCATGATACCATGAGCAATACATTACCATAGACACAGACAGTAGGGTGGTGGAGCAGTCCTGTGTTTGATGGGTTCATGCCAAGGATCCAGGTTCAATTCCCAACATGGTATAATGTGTGAACTCCATATCTGGTATTCAGCCATACTTCTAGAATATTGCATAATTCTGTACTCATTCGATCAGCGGTAGACAATCAAGTTGACATACACTTGCGACACTGAGGAAATTACAGGATTAAAAAACATATTTGTATTATCAATCACTGGTTTGCCTGTCCAGACTTGATGGATCTGGTGGTCAGACTCCTTGACTTGATTCATAGACACTCATCGTACCCAACGGCATGAATCATTGTTAATAATTTCAATCACTGGATTGTCTGGTCTAGGCTTGATTGTTTATGGGTTGCCCTCATGGCTGGAATATTGCTTTGTTGTTGTGGCTAAACAGCAAACAAACAAAATTAATGGGTGTGATATTTCATACCAGGATTTAAAGGGACAATCACTCACAATGTTTTACGTTTCACAAATTGTTTCACAATTTTTGTAGATCAGTGTATTTGTTAACCAGATGGTGATGATTTGTTGATTATGTCAATGAGGAAAAAGAATAAGATTAAACAGCTTTCATTATATGTGTTTTGTTACTTACTCCTCAAGTGGTTAATTAGGAAGGTTATACAGCATATAAGAACATATGACTGGTCTTGTGACACGTTCCACTTGTGGTAGTGTTCACTCAGTGAGTCTGTGATGTAACGTGATGTAAGATGACAACCACAACAAGAATAAATATGCATTTTACCATGAATTAGGAAACTATTCTGATTGGTCAATCAGAAGGTTCAAATCACAGTAACCACCTCTGATTGAACCCATACTTGCCGTAAAAGGCGACTTATGGGATGGGGTGGTCAGGCTCACTGACTTGGTTGATGCATGTCATCGTATCCCAATTGCCTAGATCGATGCTCATGATGTCAATCACTGGATTGTCTGGTCCAGACTCGATTATTTACAGACCACCGTCATATAGCTGGAATATTGCTGAGTGCAACAAACAAACAAACCTCAGATTGAAACAGCTGATTTGATGAATATAACTGACCGCCTGTGGTCTAGTGGTAGAGCGTCCGCCGGTGAGCTGAATGTCCTGAGTTCGATCCACGGCAGCGTCATACCAAAAGATGTTAAAAGATGGTACTTGTTGTTACCCTGTCTGGGGCTCGGCATTAAGGGGCTAAAAGAAGGACTGGTCGGCTCGGAGTCAGTATACTGTGTCTGCGTGGGGTATTCGTGTTAAACTGCGGCATGGTATCTCAGTCGGCTACCACATCAGCCCGGGTCCGGACAAGTACAAGCAGCCACACACACACGTGTATGCACGTCACTATCAAAAATGCAGTGCAAAAATCTTGGGCGCGTCGTTAAACCCCATTTCACCTCACGTCACCTATAATATAACTGTCAAAAACAATGTTCTAGCTTATGCAGCGCCATAGTTTTTTAAAGGCGAGCATCGATGTTTTTTCATAACAGATCGAAAACATTGAACTCACCTAATGCTGCTTACTCAATGTATTCGCTACCATCAAAGAGTTCGTATTTATTTTTCCATGGTAGAATGGTGCCAGACTGATAAGATAACCTAGCTCTACACTGAAAACTCCGAAACATTGACTGCATTAGACGTTTATATGTGTATTGCATGAATTAACGGTTGTGCACAGAGAAATGATTTCTTTTCCTGCATTCGTGTTAAACGGGAAAGTTTGTTCATTACAATCAACATCAAGTTTGATGTTTGACGGATCCAAATTATTCAGATAACTTGAATTTGCTATGGCTGCGTAAATTAAACAACCTGTTGATTGAAGAACCGGAGTCAACGATGGAAGGGAGACAACTCTTGAAACTTTCTCAGACAATTCATCACGACTCGGAACCTCTCCGAAGTTGTCTTTGAATATCCTTCAAGTGTCGTTTGTTTCTTTGTTGAATATTACAGCAATATTACAGCTATAATTATGACGACGGTCTGTAATTAATCGAGTCTGGACCAGATAATCAAGTGACTGACATCATGAGCATCGATCCACGCAATTGGGCTACGACGACATGCATCAAGCAAGTCAGCGAGCCTGACACGCGATCCTGTTAGTCCCAGTTGCCAAGATCTGATTTTAATGAGATTGATTCGATTTTGATAGAAATATGGAATAGAGAGAAATAATGTATAACACTGGATAAATGAAGATGCACTTAGTCAATGCGACGTTAAGCCTGTAACACACGCTGCTAACCGTTTAGCTGATCTCGTCCAAACTTTCAAGGTATAATATTGTGGAGAATCAATTTTGCCAAAATGGATAAGTTGCAAATACAACATTTTCCACTGTTTTAGAATCCATTCCTGGATTGGGTCAGATGTATATGAATATATTTACCAGATTTGCATCATGTGACATATATTCCAAAGACCAGCTGTCAATTGAATGGGTGTATCGTTAATGCAGTAAGACTAGTTGACTGAAGAGCAAGAACCCACTCAGACCGGCACAGTCCCACATTGTGACCACCCAATCCTCACTAGTCGACATGTATGGGGGACGGGACTCTCTGTTGCCTTGGAATCCCAATCTGGGAGGATTAAAATTGAATACAATCTTTAAGTCTACTATATTTTAATGTACGTTTTACAGGCGACCATCACCGCAGTTACTGAATATTATCAATTAATCGAACTACCGTTTGACTGGCTGAATTTTAAATCGGACTGTAAGCTAAATTCTATAAACAGGACATGATATTGGTCAATTTATCTTAAACTCACATTAAGTTTCTGAAATGAAAATATAATTTTGGTTTATTTGTCTTTCGAGTTATAATAATGAGCTCAGAGAATCTCTTATTTTCACGAAACTAGAAATCTAGATTGTCAAAGTATTGTACTGTTTCAGTGTCTGAATGAGAGCCTGAACCTTTGTGTTATAATAGATATATTATTACAATGGCCGTGTAGACCCAAACATTTGTGCCAGGTGAGCTATATAACCACTTTGGATTTTTACTGTAATGACATCAAATGTTTGTTTACTTTGGAACAAGTACACAAACATTTGCATTGAACCCAAAATAAAGAAAGACGAAGGGGACTCGAACTCGAAATCTTTGTTCCTCTCAGCATGAAACAACTCCGTGAAGGAAAGAGTTACTTCCCTTTCACCTTAACACGCGAAACACGATTTCGCAATTTTAATAGTAGATGAGTTAATGGCTTTCTCTTTTAAAGGATGTCAAAGTATTACTTCCTTTTACAAACTGAACCCATTTTAGTTTTTTAATGACATAGTTCTCAAATTTGCATTTTATTCCACATCTTAGAATTGTTTAACTTTCGTCTGCGGATCCGTAAGCCAAGTAATTAAATTAAAACGCACAACATCACACCACGGCTTACTGCGGTGTTAAATACAAACCGCTAACTTAACTTAGCCTACCCAAATTAGGTCCATCCTTCTCATGTAACTTTTGATTTTAACATCTAAGACAAAACGTCAATAGTCACTGATTTAAATGCCAGGTGAATGTCACGATTAGTTTGTTTTTATTCAATACTGTGACCTTGGAAAAGCTGAAAACATGGACAATACTTGAAATCCATTTTGAAGCGTCATCCATGAACTAGCAGAAATAGAGAAAACAGATCAGACTTCCTCATCTATAAAACATGGCAGGGATAACGCTTGATCATGTCAGTGTTAGTCATTGCTGACCAAATGAATCGAGTAAATACTTCATCGTAACATATAACAGTCTTTATTTACAGAATACCGTTAAGCTGTCAAACATTTGTAGTACAGCAGCTCACACGAACGAGCGTTTCTCTGTTCGTGTGAGTAACATTCAGCTCCATTCGTGACCAACTCGTGTTATTCCGGCACAAGCCGAATGTAGGTTACGGAAAGGGGCGACTGGTGACGAATGATTCAGCTCGCTCGTTAAAACATTGTAGCTATGTGCTGCTCTGCTTTTTCCTAATAGCGACCAGTAGATGTCCGATTAGACTAATATGTAGTGCCCGAAATGAAATTATATATACTGTATAAGGTTAAATAAGAATCATCCTACACAGGAACCCTTAAGTCTCTTGAAAGGGGACGAGTAAAGCTGTTGTTTGTTTGTTGTTTTACGCCGCACTCAGCAATATTCCAGCTATATGACGTCGGTCTGTAAATAATCGAGTCTGGAACAGACAATCCAGTGATTGACATCATGCGCAACGATCCACGTAATTGGGATATGATGACATGCATCAACCAAGTCAGCGAGCTTGACCACCCGATCCCGTTAGTCGCTTCTTACGACAAGCATAGTCGCCTTTAACGGCATGCATGGGTTGCTGAAGACCTATTCTACCCCGGATCTAGCTGAGAAAGTGATGAGAATGGAACGGGTTTTAGTGTTTTATAAAAGAAACATGCCCCAGAGAAGGATTTTGAAAGCGGATTTATAAGCGATATGGAGATGTCGGATAGAATAAGCGGAACAGTACATAGTTACGGTTTCGCAGCTACTGACAAGCCACGAGTAGTGTATTATAAGCTGTAGCAGGATTACGAGGGCTCGTGGTATAAACCTAACGAGGGACGCATAAAACTCCATATAGCCCGAGTGACCTGCTACAACGTATTTATCTCACCAACATGTTTTAACATGACATTGTAAAAGAATTAAAACAAATTCAAAATTGATAGAAAACAGCTGTACGATTGTGCTATGTCACATGACTTTCATTGAATATTGAAAAAGCGTGCCGCTTTTTGCATCGAAGCTGGGTATAAGGGATATATTCTGCCTCACAGAAATCCATGTGAAGCCTGACTTGCTCGTGGCGGGGTATATGGGATTTATTCACCCGCTGATGAATTTATTTCCCCCCAAAACCGGATATATATTAGTGTTTTATCAAGATCACGCGAAGGATCTGAATCATCATTCTGACATGGAGGTATGATAAAGTGGGTTATACACAACTACAGAGCATATAAACATCACGGCAAAATGTTGTGTATACATACAGATATCACAGGTAATTGATATAACCTGTATTCATGGAAGACCACGATTTGTCCATTCGCATTATAGTTGGCCATGCATACATTTATCACAGTATGTTGCCTAAATCGATATCTTGTTTAATGTTGTTGTTTATTTTAAAAAATCTTGCTCTTGTCATAACACTTTAATATCTAGGTCATATTCACAAATTGTCACCCGCTAACAAAAAAACTAATAAAATTCATATGATGCATACTGATGAAAAAATATAAGGGAACTTATAACTATTTGGCTGACGTGTTTAATGTAAATGCTTATATCAAAAATATATAAAATATATATATTATCGGGAGAAGGTTACTAGATGGCGTGTTTCAACCATTGCCAAACTATATATATTGTTATCTTCGGAGAATGTACATAATATTACACCAAACACATAATTCCTTTATAACAGTTCCATTTTTTTCTCCATCAGTAAAAATTCAACTATCTTCTTAATTTAAACGAAGCCAGTGGCCCAGATACGCCTCAATGGCATTTCTTTTCTGCAGTTAAATCCCATGATGCTAAAGAAACGCACGATAATATAAACCTCATTGTTTGATAAGCAGCGTTTGTAATGAGACATCGATGACTACCTTTAAGCAACACTGCCTCCAAATAAATGTACAGATAATAAATGTGGTAAAAAGGTGAATAGTACATTCCCCCAACTCCATCACACTGAAACATCGGATGCTGATATTTCAACGAGTTTGGTCAAACGTTATACATCCGACATCAAGTCTGCATCTTCAACTGATGCGCCGATGAATAAATTGTTTCCGGAAATGACATCACCACAGGACCCATTTGTTACAGATGTACTTGTCGAGGAAGGTGAAGCTGGTGTTGTGTACGGGGATGCTGAGACGACAGAGTTCCACGTTGGTGAAGTTGCCAGCAGGAAGAGAGAAGGTCTCTTGCCAACGCCGCTTGTGTGAGTCGTACACGGCAACCCGGGCCACGTTGCTCGCTGCCGAGTGGCTCATGCCCCCAAATACCCAGATGTTGTTACCTGAAAATAAACGTACACAATCTACTTTAAAGGGGCACTGATCTAACGCAATTCCCCGGACTGGTTGTTGCCTTTGTTATTGTTTTTTTCCCCGTGAGTACCCGGATGATACGCAACGCAACTGAGCGTGACCAGAGACTGGGCTACCGTCTGCAAGGACAGTTAAATAAACTTGGAGGCAATATTTGTTTTACGCATTTTTGCATAAACACTGATTGGTTAACTGTGATCTATAAAGATTTTGACAAAGGGCGCATGTTAATTAATTTCTTCAGCCTAAACAAACAGACAAAAAGAACGGCGGAGCTCATCGGATGTCGTCATTTGGAAATACCCCAGATGGTTATAGTTTGATACTAAAACAAGTATCCATGCAGTGAAAGCATTTTCGGATTTCGGATTGCGTCGATAATACCATTACTACTCCCTTGTTGTCATCCACGTTTTCTCGTATAACCCTACACTTGTGTATTTGTCGTCTGACATGTGAATGAGATATGTCATATCTGCTGATTACGTTTGATGGTGGGGTTTCAAGCTGGCTACTCGTTGACACGTCCCGTTCTTGGAATGACCCAACCGTGATATGGGTGGATCATCGGAACCGCAAAATGTTGTGTATACATACAGATATCACAGGTAATTGATATAACATGTATTCAGGGAAGACCACGATTTGTCCATTCACGTTATATTTGGCCATGCATACATTTATCACAGTATGTTGCCTAAATCGATATCTTGTTTAATGGGGTTTGTTTTTTTAAAAGTGGCGTAAAACCAAGCTCATTTTCTGTTATAATTGATTAAAGGGGAATTCACACCACAACTAGTTGGTACAATATGTTCCATGTACCTTTATAACCTAGCTGTGCCCTGTGAGTACCCCCTAGACTAACATTTAGTCTCTGAAATCTTATATTACACAATATCCTTCTTGACTCTAAAAATATAAAAAACAATTCCTATGCTGATTGAGCTGGCTAGACTTGCTTTTGTATGCATTTCTAGATTATTATTTTTTCATAAAATAAATATATTCCACGGTCATGGTGCAGGACTAAGTACCCCCTAATGGGGTGTTAACGCTCCATGTCCTTACTAGGGCTGGCCATACAAATTGCCCCACGAAAATGTGTTAGGAAACAAGATACGAGCACCGCTAGTGTTACATTTGTACAGGGTGATCTCCCCGTTAAGAGGAATCCACAGTCAATGACATCACATTAAATGCTGCAGATGAGACGAGGTCTGTCACTGTCTCCGTTTCTATGTCTGTCCATCAGGCTGTTTGTTTGTCTGTCCATCTAAAGTCTTTCTGTCGTCAGTGTATCCACTGTCTACTGTACGTATGTGTGTGTGTGTGTGCGTGTGCGTGCGTGCGTGCGTCTGTCCATCTATAGTTGACTGACTACTGTATGTATGTATGTATGTATGTATGTATGTATGTATGTATGCGTGCGTGCGTGCGTGCGTGCGTGCGTGCGTGTGTGCGTGCGTACTCCTTACCCATGCTTGCCGTAAAAGGTGACTATGCTTGTCGTAAAAGGCGACTAACAGGATAGGGTGGTCAGGCTCGCTGACTTGGTTGAAGCATGTCATCGATCCCACTTGCGTGGATCGATGCTCATGATATCAATCACTGGAATGTCTGGCCCAGACTCGATTATTTACAGACCGCCGTCATATAGCTGGAATATTGCTGAGTGCGGCGTTAAACAACAACAAAAAAAAAACCTTACCGAGTGCCACGGCTCCAGCATAGCTCCTGGTGTGGGGGAGAGGGGCGTGGCTGAGCTCCCAGGGTGGTCCTCGGCGCGAGTCGGGGTCCTGCAGCAGGCTGTAGTGACAGACGGAGCCCTCGTCCTTCTCCATGAACGTCTCGTGGTCGAAACTACGCCCTGGAATAGACAGTCAGGGTAGGACCAAGGTTGAACACTGCATTCGGAACACTTCATCTATATCACATCATCGACACATCAGAAACAGAACAGGAAAACCGGTGGATGATAGGGTGAGCATTCATGTATCCATGACAATGAGTAGACGACACAGCAGAACCTCTTCTTCTGTGGTAATCGCTATCCCACATTCCACTCTCAAAAGCAATCATAACCACTTCCTTAGTTAGCATTTACTTATCAGTGGCGATCACTCGACATATGGCGGTGTATTCTACCCAATATTCGCACTTGTGTATTTTTAATCCGGTCCCAGTTTCACAAGCGATCTTATCGCTACGACTAACATGTATGTTAAATTAGGAATAACGATCATCCTTGTGCGGGCGATTGCGGCCCAGTTCTCTGTTCCATAAAACGAGCTGATCTTATTGTTCATGGCCTTAATTTACAGAGCGATTTTAGCAGTAAGATGATCGTAACTCTCACACCTTAATATTGCCTTGCGACACTTTCACAATCAGGCCCAGTTTCACAAATCAATCTTAGCACTAAGACCATCGTAAGTCTATGTTGAAGTATGAGAGTTACGATCATCTTAGTGCTAAGATCGCTTTGTAAATTAAGGCCATGAACAATAAAACGCCTTCTTCAACACCTTTTTTTCTGTTGTATGTTCTCTGTTGTGAGAGGCTAATTGTGTAATCCGATATATATATATCCACGGCATTAAGCTCCACCTACAACGCATGAAGCGCCACCTACCTCCAAGTATGAATATCCCAGAACCATTGACAGGCACCATGTTATGTTTCTCTCTCTCCTTGGGCATGGCGAGACCCTCCGATACCTCAGACCAGACGTCGCCGCGAGGATCGTACACCCTACAACATATACAGGACAATATTTGTACACTTCGTCTCGTCGAAAAGCTGAATCTTTGAGGTAAAGCGTTTCGTCATAAAGAGACAATACGAATATGTATGCTGATGTGAAGATCGTGTGTTAAAGTGACAAATATTTCGATAACCAATATGAGATAATAATATATGACTATGCAGTGTCCTCTCTTTTTCTGAGAACGTTGCTCAGTCGTCCAAGACGCCCGGATTCGCTGTGTACAGAGTTGTGTCCCTTAGGAATGACAGAAACCTATAATCGTGAGTTCGAATCCCAGATTCGAGGTAACTCTTGTTTTAGGTGTGGCAGCACAATACCGCACCATACCTGTATTACTTTGGGCTTTTCTCCCACATCAATCTGTTGTGATACTGTTCAATGAGGCGTTAAACCAAACACACTCACTATGATCAAGTCCCCGTTTGGATTCAGGAGCTAGAACTTGACCCCGTCACACAAAGCGAACTTAGCGCTACGATTATCGTACGTCTACGTTAAAGTATGGAAGTTACGATCGTCTTAGCGCTTAGACCGCTTTATGGAACGGGGACCCAGCGACATTCTAGTTGTAGGAGTCGCGAGAGGAAGACAAAGGAAGTGGTTACAATGCGTGGCCCGAGATTTTCATCGTACCCCTATGTGGTGGATCGTTGCTAACACTTCCAACCGTTGGTTTGTCTTGCCCAATTTTGGTGGATAAATTATTCGTTTCGTAAAAAATGAAGTAATTCGCCCAACGAAAGTTCAAACCACGATTCCAACAAGTATGTCATCCATTTCACTTCGACTGGAATCACTTTTCTCTGACGACTATTTGAATCATAAATCACTGAATGCTGCTACTGCATCTTGCAAATGCGCCTTCGGGAAATGTCTCGGTGTATCAGCTACATCGTCGCGGTGGTTTATAAAATAAACAGACAGATTCTCTCCGAGGAAACTTTTGCATTACGAGAAAGTTTGACAAGGAGATGAAAAACGTCTTCAGCGGAAAATCCCAGGAAGGTCGCTCCATAACACGAATTTCCTTTCAAGGTTGTTGCAACCAGTTCCATGGACGCTTTTTGATGCTTGAAAGTGTATTTGATTTGGCCACTTGTTGCCTGTCAAATATCCGCACTGCATTACTCGCCGCCTGAGAAGAGCCAGATATCAGTCATTGATCATAACCACATTAACTTAAAAGCGAACGGTTAAAACGAAATAACGAAATATAGCGTTAGAGAACACAATTCCTAATAAACGCCAGGAAATCGGTGCATGTCGGGAAATATCATCTGTTGACAGTTCAGAACTGGATTGAAAGAGACAAATTAAACTCCTTTCCTGGCCAAACACGACATCATTAGTTACGTATGAGATATGTGGAGATGAGGTATGACTCACGCCCGGTCCTGCCGTGGAGCTTTGAAGTGACAGAGTCCTCGTTGCACAAAAGTCCTCCTTTTCATAACGGCTTATGCCAGATTACTGAGATTTTTTACAAACTAAGAGTGACTCTCCCCAAAGCCCGTTGGCCTTAAAGATGAATGCATTTTGTTCTCGTATTGTAGAGTCGTTGAAGTGCATGTATTTGCCGGACTGATAAATGTCGGTTTTCTTTGGCTGGTGACATTTTTCTGCACCGATCCATTGATTCCTAGCACTACAGGTGGTTGTTTAATAGCTCCAACATCGGCACTGAAGGATTCTTCAGTCCTGTCTCATGCCGAAATGAGCCCTACAGTCATAGCCTTAATAGGAATATCGATCAGTCAGAAAAATCAATGACAAAGTGCTTTCCAATAGCCCGTTGGTTTTTCGAGTTTTCTATTAGTCTTATCATTGGGTTACGGGGCCGCACTGAGGTTTGGCAGTCCTATTTTGTAGAAGGCAATGATTTGTCCGTCACTTGAATTATCGGGAGATAAGGCACGCGGCATTTATGCCAGGGTTTGGCTTTAATTCCCCGGATTACTTTGATGAAGACGCTCTTGGAGAGAAATGAGTAATAAATTCTTTGTATAAACAGTCTTGAGGAAATGTTGGCAATAAGACCTCTTGCTATCAGACGCCGGCACACATGGGATCCAGCGCGGATCTGATGTCTGTCGTCCTGGAGTGAAGCGTCTCTGTTATGTCCCTTCGTCTGATTAGATCCACACTATATAGCATGGATAAAAAGTGTGTAAATAGTATTAAGAGGTACAAGCTTAATAACAGCGTGGGGTAACCTAGAAGTGTGACATTGCGTACAGATTCCTGTCGGGCATTTGAGTGAGAGTACGTTTATCAAGGTCATTCTCTCGGATGTGTCAGTCTACCAAACAAATCTAAGTATTGTCAGTTCGTTGCCCTAAGGCAGATGTACCCATAGCACTGTTTGTCCTTGTATTGGCTTTTGATAGTCGAACACTCAGCCCTGTGACTACGCGTATTGAGCTGTGGTACACGTCCACGTTCCATTGTCCCTTCGTGTATTGAGTAGACGCACACTTTCGCTGTCAGTACCTGTATTGAGTTTAGATAAACGGACACTTTGCACTGTCAGTACCTGTATTGACCTCAGATAGACGTACACTTTGCACTGTCGGTACCTGTATTAATCTCAGATAGTCGTACACTTAGCACTGTCGGTACCTGTATTGACCTGAGATAGACGTACACTTAGCACTGTCGGTACCTGTATTGACCTCAGATAGGCGTACACTTAGCACTGTCGGTACCTGTATTGACCTGAGATAGTCGTACACTTAGCACTGTCGGTACCTGTATTGACCTGAGATAGTCGTACACTTAGCACTGTCGGTACCTGTATTGACCTCAGATAGACGTACACTTAGCACTGTCAGTACCTGTATTGACCTCAGATAGACGTACACTTAGCACTGTCGGTACCTGTATTGACCTCAGATAGGCGTACACTTAGCACTGTCGGTACCTGTATTGACCTGAGATAGTCGTACACTTAGCACTGTCGGTACCTGTATTGACCTGAGATAGTCGTACACTTAGCACTGTCGGTACCTGTATTGACCTGAGATAGGCGTACACTTAGCACTGTCGGTACCTGTATTGACCTGAGATAGTCGTACACTTAGCACTGTCGGTACCTGTATTGACCTGAGATAGTCGTACACTTAGCACTGTCGGTACCTGTATTGACCTCAGATAGACGTACACTTAGCACTGTCAGTACCTGTATTGACCTCAGATAGACGTACACTTAGCACTGTCGGTACCTGTATTGACCTCAGATAGGCGTACACTTAGCACTGTCGGTACCTGTATTGACCTGAGATAGTCGTACACTTAGCACTGTCGGTACCTGTATTGACCTGAGATAGTCGTACACTTAGCACTGTCGGTACCTGTATTGACCTGAGATAGGCGTACACTTAGCACTGTCGGTACCTGTATTGACCTGAGATAGTCGTACACTTAGCACTGTCGGTACCTGTATTGACCTCAGATAGGCGTACACTTAGCACTGTCGGTACCTGTATTGACCTGAGATAGTCGTACACTTAGCACTGTCGGTACCTGTATTGACCTCAGATAGACGTACACTTAGCACTGTCGGTACCTGTATTGACCTCAGATAGGCGTACACTTAGCTCTGTCAGTACCTGTACATTAAGGTCAGATAGACGCACACTTATCACTGTCCTTACGTACATTAAGCTTAAATAGACGTACATTTAGCACTGTCGTTACGTACATTCAGCTCAGATAGACGCACACTTAGCACTGTCGTTACGTACATTAAGCTTAGATAGACGCACACTTAGCACTGTCGGTACCTGTATTGACCTCAGATAGACGTACACTTAGCACTATCGTTACGTACATTAAACTTAGATAGACGCACACTTAGCACTATCGTTACGTACATTAAGCTCAGATAGACGCACACTTAGCACTGTCGTTACGTACATTAAGCTTAGATAGACGTACACTTAGCACTGTCGTTACGTACATTAAGCTTAGAAAGATGTACGCTTTGCACTGTCGGTACGTACATTAAGCTTAGATAGACGTACGCTTAGCACTGTCGTTATGTACATATTGAGCTTAGATAGACGCACACTTAGCATTGTCGTTACGTACATTAAGCTTAGATAGACGTACACTTATCACTGTCGTTACGTACATTAAGCTTAGATAGACACACGTTGGTACTGTAGGTACGCGTATTGAGATCGTCAGTTCGTGGACGTAAGGCAGATGCATACTTAGCACTGTTAGTCCACGTATAGACCTTAGACAGACGTACAATTGTCATCTCTACTTGTAAAGACCAGACGTACACTTAAGACGTTAAGTTACGCTTTTGGTTCTTTTATTGAACTGAGACAGATGTACACTATGCTTACTTTTGTCGACCAAAGACACAGGTATGTACCCGTGCTACCAGTACTTGTTGTATAAGGTAGCGCGTGTGGTCCGAGCGTTGTCCACCAGAAAATTTGGTTGGTTGGTTTGTTGAATTACGCCGCACTCGGTAATGTTCTAGCTATATGACGGCGGTCTGCAAATAATCGAGTCTGGATCAGACAATTCAGTGATTGACATCATGAGCATCGATCCAAGCTATTGGGATCGATGACATGCTTCAACCAAGTCAGCGAGCCTGACCAGCCGATCCCACCATAAGATGGCTGACAGTACACATGTCGAGATCGCGTGCTCAGCTGACCAGCGAGCTGCTTGACGTCGACGACGATAGTGATGATTATCATATCCATCATGTTCGTCGTTAGTATCATTATTATATCACAACTACCATCAACATGATAATAATGACACTGACGACGAACATGATTGATGTGATAATGATGAGGAGGAGGAGTAGGATGACGCTTGTAAAGCTCAGCATATGTATTCATTTAAATAAAAGACGTCCTTAATTAAGTTTCTTTAAAAGCATGAACACTAAAATATTTCTTCACCCTCGACTTGACTGTAATTCAAGTTATCCCACTTCTACAGCTCTTAACGCTTT